TTGCACTAAAATGTAAATTAATTATTGGGTTGCCCTGTTAGGGAGAAGGAGAATGAGGTGGCAAGGGTAAGGAGTGCCCTGTTAGGGAGAAGGAGAATGAGGTGGCAAGGGTAAGGAGTGCCCTGTTAGGGAGAAGGAGAATGAGGTGGCAAGGGTAAGGAGTGCCCTGTTAGGGAGAAGGAGAATGAGGTGGGAAGGGTAAGGAGTGTCCTGTTAGGGAGAAGGAGAATGAGGTGGCAAGGGTAAGGAGTGCCCTGTTAGGGAGAAGGAGAATGAGGTGGGAAGGGTAAGGAGTGCCCTGTTAGGGAGAAGGAGAATGAGGTGGGAAGGGTAAGGAGTGTCCTGTTAGGGAGAAGGAGAATGAGGTGGCAAGGGTAAGGAGTGCCCTGTTAGGGAGAAGGAGAATGAGGTGGGAAGGGTAAGGAGTGTCCTGTTAGGGAGAAGGAGAATGAGGTGGCAAGGGTAAGGAGTGCCCTGTTAGGGTGAGGGAGAATGAGGTGGCAAGGGTAAGGAGTGCCCTGTTAGGGAGAAGGAGAATGAGGTGGGAAGGGTAAGGAGTGCCCTGTTAGGGAGAAGGAGAATGTGGTGGGAAGGGTAAGGAGTGCCCTGTTAGGGAGAAGGAGAATGAGGTGGGAAGGGTAAGGAGTGTCCAGCCTGTCTCCTATCTGGAGGCGGTGAGAAGATTGGAAGGAACGAGTGGCAGGGAAGAAGCAATGGTAGTAGAGCCACCAGGACCACTGGAGGTTTCTCATCAACCGAGGGATAGTGAAATGCAATGGTCATAAACTGTACAGCACAACTGGAGAAGAAGTCTAAGAAAGTTGGGAATCATTGAATGCCGCTGAACGTTTTTTGGGTCTTCGTGATTTCACAGCCGAGGCCGCGCAAGAAATCCTGTCGGTGAATGTACCCCCAGCACAGGCCCCTGAGGGATGTATTTAGGAGTGGACTGTGATTGAATAAGTGTGATGGGTTTTCTTAGTTTACGTGTTATTTTGTATGATGTCGTTTTCCCTCTTTCCAGAAATGTTTTAGTTTCTTATTCAATACCCCGTCCAGCTGGTGGCGCTAATGCACCATTAACATTGGATGCTATCCGCCGTTAACCCCATCGAAGAAGATGAAGCTCTCTAGTTAGGTAATGTCATATTTTCAACGTCTTTGTTCCAAACCGTTCACCCCCCTTCCGCTGCAGCTGGCAACCATAGCTTCGTGAACACTGCAAGCATGGATGCTGCCGCTCCCCCGGTTGTCCTTGAACAGTCGGCGACAACGACCCAGCAACCAATGTTCGACATATCCAAGCCCCCCGTTATAGAAGGATTTACGCCGCTATCGCGACCCAGAGAAGAGACGTTCCAGGAGAAGTTTATGAGGAAGTCGAAGGAGAACCCCTTCGTCCCTATAGGTGAGTTGCGTAATGAGTAACTCTAGTGAAAATCGTCCACAGCTGTACCTAGTCGGCTTCGATGCATACTAGGACTAAGTTAGATGATTCATGCGTTGAATAGACAGTCATTTAGTCATTTAATGTGCGTCTTACGACCAAGAGACAACCGTTTTGTAGCTAGTTAGCTAACTATGCGAACTAATTTGCTAGCTAGCTACAGTAGGGAAAAGCATGCAATCAACTTAATTTGGTATGGCCAGCTACAGTTTTTATAAGATGTCATGCACAGTGTCATACACTAAAAGGCCTCAGCGTTGATTATTTGATTGGAACATAGCCTAGTGTGCCAAGACCCATTATGAAACGTTACAGGGGCCATAATGCCCTTGTCAAGGAGTTTCATAATAAACATGTATTATAATGGTGCAATCAATGGGTCATACCCTGGGTGCTAGGCTACACTGGTCTATAACCTAGTTAGGTATTGAACATTTATGTGAATATGAAATAGGGCACTACTTAATGTGGTCCTCTGTAGCTCAATTGGTAGAGCATGGCGCTTGTAACGCCAGGGTAGTGGGTTCGATCCCTGGGACCACCCATACGCCATAGGGCGGCAGGTAGATTTGTGGTTAAGACCGTTGTGCCAGTAACCGAAAGGTTGCTGGTTCTAATCCCCGAGGCGACTAGGTGAAAAATCTGTCGATGTGCCCTTGAGCAAGGCACTTAACCTTAATTGCTCCTGTACGTTGCTCTGGATAAGAGCGTCTGCTAAATGACTAAAAATTAAAATTAAAAAATTAAATTAAAATTAAATTATACGTAAAAATGTATGCACACATGACTAAGTCGCTTTGGATAAAAGCATCTGCTAAATGGCATATTATTATTATTCACATTGGGCATGCTCTCTCTCTCTGTAGCTATTCTTCCCCCTGTGGTTACAGGATGAATTGCATCTGAATGAAAACAAATGCGCACACTTATGCCTAAAATGTCTTTAAGATTTACAGTGGTCAGGGTGCCTGTTCTTTCACAGTACTGTGATTGGACACCTTCATAGGTCCTCCGTCCTCCAAAACAGAACAGAGAAGCATTGGGCCCCACTGTGAAACCAAATGGAAGCTGTTGAATGCTCCTCCTTTCACACCTATTCTTTTCAGACTGGTTACGGAAAACTTAATTGTTTTGGGTTTTAATAAAATCTATATTCTGCGTCTCTCCCCAGGTTGTCTCGGTACAGCTGGAGCGTTGATGTACGGTCTCCGAGCCTTCAAACAAGGCAAGACCCGGCAGTCCCAGCTCCTGATGAGGGGGCGTATCTTCGCACAAGGCTTCACCGTAGTCGCCATCATCTTCGGCGTGTTCGCCACGGCTCTGAAGAAAGACTGAGCAGCGTCGGGGTTGTATTAATCATTACTGCAAAAAACTTTTTGCAACGGGGGAAAAAAACGAAAACAAGGGGTTTCTTATCAGACAAGTTCTGGGAGTCCCTCCTTGTTCCAGACCTTTTTCTAGCGTTAGGTGGCTAGTGAATACGACCCAGGCCTTTTTATTTTTTTGGAAACACCCATAAAACTCCTGGCAGTTTATCCCATCATTTGACCTTTGGAGAGAACCGTGGTGGTGAATGAAATGTGTTGATTGAATGTGTAGAAAGGCTTAACGGAACAGATATTTAAAAGGCCAACCAACTGTTGTTGTTTTTTCCTTGACTCCCTTAACTGCGCTTTGGGCTGGTCCAGTCAAATGAAATGTACACCCTGTCCTGCAGATAGCAAAGCAAGCAGGGCACTGACTGCCTTGAGTTTAAAACATAATTGTGTAACTTTATAATTGAAGTGCAATGCAGCCATCCACAAAAACATCTCTGGGTTGGAGGAAATGGGCCAGCTGACCCCACTACCTCTTGCCTCTCTGTTAGTGAGATCCACCTCTGTATAATACAGATCATTATTCCAAGACTCTGAAACACCTTTTTAGCACTGTGTATTGCCAGTCCCACTTTGGCTGTGCCAGCCATGTCAAGTGAAGCACAGGTCATTGTATCCTCACACACACACAGGGTACATGTCTATCCCTTTATAAACATGTGAAAAAGTGAATAGTTTGTGTGCTGTAATACTTGAGAGAAAGATGGTGCATCGGTGGAGCATCTGGCTCTTAACACCTATAAAGCGAATAAGGGGTGTTATAGGCACTGGGGAAAGATGACCTGCCACTGTGGGGCTCTGTTAAGGGAGGCAGAGGTACAACTCAGGGATTTTCTAGTGCTAGTCCAGTGGTTCTTAGCTGGTTTTGGTCACTGAACCACCAAGTACATTTTTCTGCCCAGAGTACCCCTGAAGTACCCCTTCATGAGCATTTTGACAGTAAGCCTGTGGTCTCGAGTCTTCCCAAGTACCTGCTGTGTATCGTACACGGTCTTATTTAATGCTCACACAAACCCTTTGCTTGATTAAAACAATGACAACACCAAAAGAGGCAGATTTCAGAGATCATTTTTATTGATGGGACGAAGAGTTTTCCAATTTCCATGTCACATTCTCTCATCTGTGTGTTTGGATGGATGACAACGTCCCACTAGGCAACAGCTGATCACAGATTCAGAGGCAATGCAGTTGAACATGAAGGGGAAGTGTTTGAAAATATGACTCAACATTAGACTAGTGTTCATTCAACGGTTTACCACATGTTCATGTAATTCTAGATTTCTTGTGTTTAATATGGCCGTGATACGAGGACTGTTAAAAACGAGAGTGGCTGTGGATCTGAGTTCTACTGGACCTTTCTTCCAGGGGCTAAAGGTCCCGAAGATTCTGCAAGATGTGGGGGATTCTCTACTTCCTCAGTCTGGGCTGGCTCCTCTGGTGAATGGTTCTCATTTAATAAAAGTCAGGTCAAAGCTGAATCAATGCTTGCAAGATCACATGATATTGTACAGAACAGAAACTAATAAAATAGTATAATAATAATAATGCCATTTAGCAGACGCTTTTATCCAGTGACTTACAGTCATGCGTGCATATTTTTTTTTTTGTGTATGGGTGGTCCCGGACATCGAACCCACTACCCTTGGCGTTACAAGCGCCGTGCTCTACCAGCTGAGCTACAGAGGACCATGTTACTGTAAGACAAAAACACACAATTTCTTATGAGATTTTAGGTTGCATTTCTCTCATGCGGCCATAACGCAACAGCGTGCCACTGGACAGAATGTGCTTTGATTGAAACAAAAAAAACACTGATATGTTACAGTTTAACACCATCTGCTCTAGAAGTCACTCGCTGTTGCATAATTCAAAACACTACATAACTCAGATCTAAATGCACATTCCCATGAAACTGATTGAGATCAAAATGGTTGGCATGCAGATGCTGCATGGATGTTTCACTGGTAAAAAACTCGGGAAGAAATCACCATTTACGATTGACAGTGAGAAAAGTGAAGGGAGGGTGACGTAGCCCAACGTAGAGGTCAAGAGACATGCGCAGAACATGATATGGCACTATCCAGGGGGAACGGGGCGGTTACCCAAGGGTCCTCGGCCTGAAAACAACAAGCTCCTTATTATGTGGATTCTTCTGGCGCTTACTGAGGATCTACCTCAGAACGATTCCATGATTCTTCGGATGTGAAGACACTTATTTTTGTTGGAGCAGACGACATTGGCTCCTGAGTGGCGCAGTGGTCTAAGGCACTGCATCGCAGTGCTAACTGTGCCACTAGAGATCCTGGTTCGAATCCAGGCTCTGTCGCAGCCGGCCGCGACCGGGAGACTCATGGGCGGCGCACAATTGGCCCAGCGTCGTCCAGGGTAGGGGAGGGAATGGCCGGCAGGGATGTAGCTCAGTTGATAGAGCATGGCGTTTGCAACGCCAGGGTTGTGGGTTCTATTCCCACGGGGGGCCAGTATAAAATAAATATGTATTCACTAACTGTAAGTCGCTCTGGATAAGAGCGTCTGCTAAATGACTAAAATGTAAATGTAAAATATGGCTAGCCTGGTCCCAGATCTGTTTGTGCCGTCTTGCCGACTCCTATGGTCATTGCATAGACTGTATAAATAGGGTCATTGTCAAGTTTGGCAAGACGGCACAAACAGATCTGGGAGCAGGCTATTGGTCTAGCTTGGGAAGGAAATTCATTACATTTTAGTCATTTAGCAGACGCTCTTATCCAGAGCGACTTACAGGAGCAATTAGGGTTAAGTGCCTTGCTCAAGGGCACATCGAACAGATTTTTCACCTAGTCAGCTCGGGGATTAGAACCAGCGACCTTTCGGTTACTGGCACAACGGTCTTAACCACTAAGCTACCTGCCCCCCCAAATTCCAACAATTCATCTTGCCAAAAGCACAAACAGTGACAGGAGTTCAAAGTTCAACAAGGCCACAAGCTCATAGCATCTCAAATTTCAGGACACATTTCTACTAGCTACCTTAAAATAATCAAATTTACATTTACGTCATTTAGCAGACGCTCTTATCCAAATGAGGAATATCATACAAACAGTGAATGAAGAGGTCAGTGAATCAATTCTTAATAAAAAAAAAAAAAAACAGGCATCGGTGGTTTACAATCTCCTAATGTAGTGGGCGGCAGGTAGCTTAGTGGTTAAGAGCGTTGTGCTGCCCTTGAGCAAGGCACTTAACCCTAATTGCTCATTTTTTATTTTTATTTTTTACTCATTTAGCAGACGCTCTTATCCAGAGCGACTTACAGTTATTTTACATTTATCATACTGGCCCCCCGTGGGAATCGAACCCACAACCCTGGCGTTGCAAACGCCATGTTCTACCAACTGAGCTACATCCCTGCCGGCCATTCCCTCCCTTACCCTGGACGACGCTGGGCCAATTATGCGCCGCCCCATGGTCTCCCGGTCGCGGCCGGCTACGACAGAGCCTGGATTCGAACCATCTCTAGTGGCACAGCTAACACTGCGATGCAGTGCCTTAGACCACTGCGCCACTCGGGAGACTAGTCGCTCTGGATAAGAGCGTCTGCTAAATGACTAAAATGTAAATGTAAAAATGTGCCTGAACAGGACTGGCTAGGTTAGACCTCACACATTAAATCAGATTAAAATTACAGTCGAGATTAACGATTCATCTAATCTGTTATTTTATAAAAATACAAAAAACACTTGACATCCAAAATATTGGGAGAGGCATCATGCTTAAGAGATAGGGGTTTTACCTAATGCCCTCATAGGTTAGGAGAGGGAAGGAGTTTCATAAAAGCATTTACAGTAACAATATTTCCTTAACGTCAGTAATGTAGTGGTCAAATAGAAGCATTGCTGAGGGAAGTTCAAAGGACAGAGAGCAGGTCAGTCGTTCATGTTAAGGTACATTCATTCATTCATTCATTCAGAATAAGGAAAGACGGCGGAAGAGGCGAAGTACCTTTCCTCCAAAGTTAGAAACATGAGCAGAAAACAGGAGGCACCCTACACCAAAACATAGCAGAAAACAGGAGGGTCTGCACACAAAAAGAAGGGACCCTACACCAAGAGAAGACCTATATGATAAGAGACTAGTAGACGTTCTGCCTTAATGCAAACAGGGTTCCTAACTCAAGAGCAGGTGTTTTAAAGGAAGGGAAACAGGAACCATCATCACCACCCCTCCGTTCCATTGGCCCGACTAGCGAACCAGAGGTGTCTGTTTGAGGGCTATGAGGACAGAGCGCATCCGGGACACGTCCTTGGCTGTCTTGTTGGTCTTGGGGTTGAAGTCACAGAGACGGGCCACTCTCTCCCACTCCGTCCCTGGGCTGTCACCGTCAGCCTCAGACAGGAAGGCCTCTTCAGATGCCCTGGAGGAAGGGTTAGGAAGGGGATGGAGAAGGTGTTTGAGGGACGGTTTCCCCGGACGCACATTAAGCCTGGTCCTCAATGGAGAATCTCCTTCGAAATAACATTTTATTCCAGGACTTAAATCTGTGTCAGGAAAACCGTCCCATAGAGTTTAGCACCACTGACATGCCATGCTTCTGCAAACAGCACCTACTGCCTAAACACAAACTTTTCAAAAACACAATCACTTCCACGTCAGACTCATAGTGTGTGTACATTTGACTAAAACCGACACACACACACACACACAGTATTGAAAATAGGCTACATGCATTTCTGGCAAAATATCACAGCTGAAATAATGAATGAATTTCGATGAACACTGTTGTTGTGATTTATGGACATGGTCAAATACAGTCCAAATAAGCCCTCCCAAAAATGGAGCCCAACTAATGTGTTATTCACTGGTTTGTTTCACAGTTGGCAAACAAAGTAACTACAGGTGACTGAAACTAAGAGGTAGAATGCCAAGACAATAGAGAAGAGTTGTAATCCTACACAAAGCCTAGCACTTCAGAGTTGGCCTGTTTGTAGAAAGTCTTAAATCCTAGTGTGCAGTAGAACGGAACGAGACAGTGTCACACAACAGGCAGAGAAATAAAATGATGTAGGCCTTGAGACGTCGTTAGTGTACGTCTGCCATTCGGGCGGTGAATAGGCAAGACAAAATATTTAAGAGCCTTTGAACGGATTATGGTAGTAATGTCCTCTCACTGTCAACTGCGTTTATTTTCAGCAAACTTAACACGTGTAAATATTTGTATGAACATAACAAGATTCAACAACTGAGACATAAACTGAACAAGTTCCACAGACATGTGACTAACAGAAATGGAATAATGTGTCCCTGAACAAAGGGGGGGGTCAAAAATTGTGCAGTGCAGTCAAATTGTAAAGTGGTTATCCCACTGGCTATAGGGTGAACGCACCAATTTGTGAGTCGCTCTGGCTAAGAGCGTCTGCTAAATGACGTTAATGTGCCCTTGAGCAAGGCACTTAACCCTAATTGCTCCTGTAAGTCGCTCTGGATAAGAGCGTCTGCTAAATGACTAAAATGTAAATGTAAATGTAAAAAGTAACAGTCAGTATCTGGTTTGGCCACCAGCTGCATTAAGTACTGCCGTGCATCTCCTCCTCATGGACTGCACCAGATTTGCCAGTTCTTGCTGTGAGATGTTACCCCACTCTTCCACCAAGGCACCTGCAAGTTCCCAGACATTTCTGGGGGGAATGGCCCTAGCCCTCACCCTCCGATCCAACAGTTCCCAGATGTGCTCAATGGGATTGAGATCCGGGCTCTTCGCTGGCCATGACAGAACACTGACATTCCTGTCTTGCAGGAAATCACGCACAGACCGAGCAGTATGGCTGGTGGCATTGTCATGCTGGAGGGTCATGTCAGGATGAGCCTGCAGGAAGGGTACCACATGAGGGAGGAGGATATCTTCCCTGTAACGCACAGCGTTGAGATTGCCTGCAATGACAACAAGCTCAGTCCGATGATGCTGTGACACACCGCCCCAGACCATGACGGACCCTCCACCTCCAAATCGATCCCGCTCCAGAGTACAGGCCTCTGTAACGCTCATTCCTTCGACGATAAACGCGAATCCAACCATCACCCCTGGTGAGACAAAACCGTGACTCGTCAGTGAAGAGCACTTTTTGCCAGTCCTGTCTGGTCCAGCGACGGTGGGTTTGTGCCCATAGGTGACGTTGTTGCCGGTGATGTCTGGTGAGGACCTGCCTTACAACAGGCCTACAAGCCCTCAGTCCAACCTCTCTCAGCCTATTGCGGACAGTCTGAGCACTGATGGAGGGATTGTGCATTCCTGGTGTAACTCGGGCAGTTGTTGTTGCCATCCTGTACCTGTCCCGCAGGTGTGATGTTCGGATGTACCGATCCTGTGCAGGTGTTGTTACACGTGGTCTGCCACTGCGAGGACGATCAGCTGTCCGTCCTGTCTCCCTGTAGCGCTGTCTTAGGCGTCTCACAGTACGGACATTGCAATTTATTGCCCTGGCCACATCTGCAGTCCTCATGCTTCCTTGCAGCATGCCTAAGGCACGTTCACGCAGATGAGCAGGGACCCTGGGCATCTTTCTTTTGGTGTTTTTCAGAGTCAGTAGAAAGGCCTCTTTAGCGTCCCAAGTTTTCATAACTGTGACCTTAATTGCCTACCGTCTGTAAGCTGTCAGCGTCATAACGACCGTTCCACAGGTGCATGGTCATTAATTGTTTATGGTTCATTGAACAAGCATGGGAAACAGTGTTTAAACCCTTTACAATGAAGATCTGTGAAGATCTGTCCCGTGTAGCATGGCGTTTGCAACGCCAGGGTTGTGGGTTTGATTCCCACGGGGGGGGGGGGGGGGGGGGGGCCAGTATGATTTTTTTAAATGTATGCACTCACTAACTGTAAGTCGCTCTGGATAAGAGCGTCTGCTAAATGTCTAAAATGTAAATGTAAGACAGGGTCCTGAAAAAGGGACGTTTCTTTTTTTGCTGAGTTTAGGTGCCAGGCGCAGCGGTTTGAGTCAAGAACTGCAACACTGCTGGATTTCAAGCTGAATAGTTTCCCGTGTGTATCAAGAATGGTTCACCACCCAAAGGACGTCCAGCCAACAGCAGGCCAGTCGTCGAAAACAGGTCATTGATGAAAGAGGACAAACTAGGCTGAGAAACAGACAGGCTGCAGTTAGTCGACTGACATTCCAGTACAACACTGGTGCCCAAAGACCCATAAAACTAATGAAGAGCTTGTCATACCTTGAAACGAATGGGGTATGGTAGCCAATGACCTTACATAGTTCCACTTCTTCTTTTAGCAAAAAACAAGAAACTGAGGTTGCAGTGGGCTAAGGAACTAAAATTGGAATTGGAAAAACATTGCCTGGTCTGATGAATCCTGGTTGCTGCTGTTTCACGCTGATGGGAGGACATGCATCCATCATGAGGCGCGTGTCAACGTTGCAGGCTGGTGGTGATGGTGTGGGGTGTGTTTTCATGGCACACATTGGGCCCCTTGATAAAAGTGGAGCAACGTTTGAATGCCACAAGATATCATTGCCAATCAGTTGCATCCCTTCATGGCAGCAGTGTATCCATCTGCAAATAGATTTTTTCAGCAGGATAATGCCCCATGACACAAGGCTTGTCCAGGAATGGTTCCACGAATATGACAGTGAATTCAGCTTACTGCAGTGGCCTGCCCAGTCACCAGAGCTCAATCCAATTGAGCATCTGTGGGGATGAGATGGAACGAGCTATTCGGAGTAGAGATCCACCACCAGCCAACTTGACACAACTGTGGGAAGCATTGGAGTCAACATGGGCCAGCATCCCTGTGGAACGCGGAATTCGACACCTTGAAGAGTCCAATGCCCCGAAGAATCGAGGCTGTTCTGTGGGCAAAAAGGGGGTGCAACTCAATATTAGGAAGGTGTTCCTAATATTTTGTACACTCAGTGTATAGGACAATACAATTCATATGTCATCTGTAAGATGTATAGGATCAAACACGATATTGTCTCAATCATCATAGTGCAGTCAACAGTCTAGGGAATGGCCAGATATAATGCAATGTGACACTTCTAAGTCATTACTAGCCTATCGATATATCCCAAATAGCACCCTATTCCCTCTAAAGTGCACTACTTTAGTAAAGCGTTGGGAGTAGTACACTGTATAGTGAAGGTGCCATTTGGGACGCAGCCTGTGTTGTTGTCTATATCCCCGGCCGTGTTGCCCGGACACAGCGCTAGCCTGTCTCCATCTTAGTGCTCACAGTCCCGTTACAGCAGGAAAGAGAGTTGTTGTTGTCGCAAACTGCTACCGTGCCAGACTTGGACAGAGAGAAGGTTTGGTTTTACACTGAACAAAAATATAAAAACACAACATATAAAAAAAAGTGTTGGTCCCATGTTTCATGAGCTTAAATAAAAAGACCCCAGAAATGTTCCATTATGCACAAAAAAGCTTATTTCTCTCAAATTTTGTTCACAAATTTGTTTACATCCCTGTTAGTGAGCATTTGTCCTTTGCCAAGATAATCCATCCACCGGACAGGTGTGGCATATCAAGAAGCTGATTAAACAGCATGATCATTACACAGGTGCACCTTGTGCTGGGGACAATAAAATACCACTGAAGTTGTCACAACACAATGCCACAGATGTCTCAAGTTTTGAGGGAGTGTGCAATTGGCATGCTGACTGCAGGAATGTCCACCAGAGCTGTTGCCAGAGAATATAATGTTCATTTCTCTACCTTAAGCCGACTCCTACATAATTTTAGAGGATTTGGCAGTACGTCCAACCGGCCTCACAATGTGTAACCACGCCAGCCAATGACCTCCACATCCGGCTTCTTCACCTGCGGGATCGTCTGAGACCAGCCACACGGACAGCTGATGAAACTGTGGGTTTGGACAACGGAAGAATTTCTGCACAAACTGTCAGAAACCGTCTCAGGGAAGCTCATCTCACCAGGGTCTTGAACTGACTGCAATTCTGCGTCGTAACCGACTTCAGTGGGCAAATTCTCACCTTCAATGGCAACTGGCATGCTGAAGAAGTGTGCTCTTCGCGGATGAATCCCGGTTTCAACTGTACCGGGCAGATGGCAGTCGTGTGGGCGAGCAGTTTGCGTATGTCAACGTTGTGAACAGAGTGCCCCATGGTGGCGGTGGGGTTATGGTATGGGCAGGCACAAGCTACGGACAACGAACACAATTGCATTTTAAATCGATGGCAATTTCAATGCACATTCACTACATGACCAAAAGTATGTGGACACCTGCTCATCGAACATCTCATTCCAAAATCATGGCCATTAATATGGAGTTGGTCCCCCCCTTAGCTGCTATAACAGCCTCCACTCTTCTGGGAAGCCTTTCCACTAGATGTTGGAACATTGCTGTGGGGACTTGCTTCCATTCAGCCACAAGAGCATTAGTGAGGTCGGGCACTGATGTTGGGCGATTAGGCCTGGCTCGCAGTCGGCGTTTCCAATTTATCCCAAAAAGGTGTTCGATGGGGTTGAGGTCAGGGCTCTGTGCAGGCTAGTCAAGTTCTTCCACACCGATCTCGACAAACCATTTCTGTATGGACCTCGCTTTCGGCACGGGGGAATCGTAATGCTGAAACAGGAAAAGGGCCTTCCCCAGACTGTTGACACAAAGTTGGAAGCACAGAATCGTCTAGAATGTCATTGTATTCTGTATCGTTAAGACTTCCCTTAACTGGAACTAAGGGGCCTAGCCCGAACCATGAAAAACAGCCCCAGACCATTATTCCTCCTCCACCAAACTTTACAGTTGGCACTATACATTGGGGCAGGTAGTGTTCTCCTGGCATCCGCCAAACCCAGATTCGTCCATCGGACTGCCATATGGTGAAGTGTGATTCGTCACTCCAGAGAACGCGTTTCCACTGCTACAGAGTCCAACGGCGGCGAACTTTACACCACTCCAGCTGATGCTTGGCATTGCGCATGGTGATCATAGGCTTGTGTGTGGCTGCTCGGCCATGGAAACCCATTTCATGAAGCTCCCAACGAACAGTTATTGTGCTTCCAGAGGCAGTTTGGAACTTGGTAGTTGTTGCAACCGAGGACAGACGATTTTTACGTGCTATGCTCTTTAGCGCTCGGTGGTCCCGTTCTGTGAACTTGTGTGGCCTACCACTTCGCGGCTGAGCCGTTGTTGCTCCTAGACGTTTCCACTTCACAATAACAGCACTTACAGTTGACCGGGGCAGCTCTAGCAGGGCTGAAATTTCACAACCTGACTTGTTGGAAAGGTGGCATCCTATGACGGTGCCACATTGAAAGTCACTGAGCTCTTCAGTAAGGCCATTCTACTGTTTGGGAAAGATTAACAGAGCAAAGTACAGAGAGATCCTTGATGAAAACCTGCTCCAGAGCGCTCAGGACCTCAGACTGGGGCGAAGGTTCACCTTCCAACAGGACAACGACCCTAAGCACACAGCCAAGACAACACAGGAGTGGCTTCGGGACAAGTCTCTGAATGTCCTTGATTGGCCCAGCCAGAGCCCGGACTTGAACCCGATCAAACATCTCTGGAGAGACCTGAAAATAGCTGTGCAGCGACGCTCCCCATCCAACCTGATAGAGCTTGAGAGGATCTGCAGAGAAGAATGGGAGAAACTCCCCAAATACAGGTGTACCAAGCTTGTAGCGTCATACCCAAGAAGACTCAAGGCTGTAATCGTTGCCAAAGGTGCTTCAACAAAGTACTGAGTAAAGGGTCTGAATACTTATGTAAATGTCATATATTTTTATATTATATTTGCAAAAATGTCTAAAAACCTGTTTTTGCTTTGTCATTATGGGGTATTGTGTGTAGATTAATGAGGAAAAACGACAATTTTAGAATAAGGCTGTAACATAACAAAATGTGGAAAAAGTCAAGTGGTCTGAATACTTTCCGAATGCACTTTAAGCGTGGGATTACAGAGGGCATAAAAATAGTTCATAAATAGTTAAACATTGGTTCATTAGTTAAATCAACTTTGATGAAAATCAATACAAACGCAATGAGAAGTTACGTGTCATTTTGTTATTTCATTAGCTAAAAGAAATAGAGAAATCCATCCACTTTCCTTAGTTTACGACAGTTCAGATCTATTACAACATTTCAGCTTGGTGACGTAGATATAGGACACAAACGTCTGATTCTTCAAGCGTACAAACTGATCTCTGCATTTCTGACCAATCCTACATAATGAACAATATCTATCTGTTATAAAAAAGCAGGTCAACAAAACATTGGAGCCCTGGAGGCATCGAGGTCAGCTCAGCTATCACAGTTCCAAGTTTCCACTCAGTTTAGGCCATTTACCAAGAAATCCTGTTCACATTATTATTATTATATATTAGGTACATGAATAAAGTCAACTTTCTGTGACAATCTATAGAAAGTCTTTAATCCTAAATTTAAACATCCTATTTCCTGATCTGATCTCACGGAATAACAAGGAAATAACCACAGAAACACACATTCTGATCGAATCGTTGCTCTTAAGATTCTGATAGTGAACCATCACAGATACAAATCAGATCCATTAGATGAATATTTAGCCTTATCTCTATTTCGTATAATGTTATACTTGTATTTCCTGTTACGTTAGTTTTGAGGGAACCATGTAGGAACTAAAACAGAGCTAGGTAGGAACTAACCTGTTGTTGGCCTTGTTCTTCTCCATCTGTTCATTCTGGTGCACATGCCAGTCCTCCAGCTCTTTCTTGGCCTTCTGTTTCCACTCAGCCTCCGCAGCCTTGGACGCAGAGTCTTCAGGGTTCACATGCACACAGGGAGATGGTGATGGTATGATCAATACAGTCGTATTCAGTAGGAATGAAGTGGAAAGCAAACAGGTGGAAATGGGCAGGACTACCTGAATTTGTCCAATAAGAATAGCTTGTTTTCGTTTTTTCCCGTTGCAAAACGTTTTGCTACGGTGTGCTCTAATGAATACTACCCAGGATGAAATGTTTCAGTCTGCAATGCATTGATCTACAGAAGGCAGTGCTCTTTTCTCAGGAGATCAACTAGAGTCAATACAGCGAGAACAAGACCAACCATTCCATACAGGCCATGACAAAACGAAGGGTGGTTCGCACACAACATTAGACATACTATTCAACATTAGACAGAATATTCAACATTAGACAGACTATTCAACATTAGACAGACTATTCAACATTAGACAGACTATTCAACATTAGACAGACTATTCAACATTAGACAGACTATTCAACATTAGACAGACTATTCAACATTAGACAGACTATTCAACATTAGACAGACTATTCAACTTCAGATTTGTTTTTTTGTAGGTCTTTTATTTCGCTTTTTAGCAGGCAGTGGGAAAATGTGACATTTAGGTGTCAACCTTCGTCAGTGTGTACATTGAGTGGACAAAATACTGACTGAGAAGTCAGTAGTAGATACTGTATGTATCGTAGTAGTAGTAGATACTGTATGTATCGTAGTAGTAGTAGTAGATACTGTATGTATCGTAGTAGTAGATACTGTATGTATCGTAGTAGTAGATACTGTATGTATCGTAGTAGTAGATACTGTATGTATCGTAGTAGTAGATACTGTATGTATCGTAGTAATAGATACTGTATGTATCGTAGTAGTAGATACTGTATGTATCGTAGTAGTAGTAGATACTGTATGTATCGTAGTAGTAGTAGATACTGTATGTATCGTAGTAGTAGTAGATACTGTATGTATCGTAGTAGTAGTAGATACTGTATGTATCGTAGTAGTAGATACTGTATGTATCGTAGTAGTAGTAGATACTGTATGTATCGTAGTAGTAGATACTGTATGTATCGTAGTAGTAGTAGATACGTATGTATCGTAGTAGTAGATACTGTATGTATCGTAGTGTAGTTAGTAGTAGATACTGTATGTATCGTAGTAGTAGTAGATTACTGTATATGTATCGATAGTAGTATGTAGTGTAGATACTGTATGTATCGTAGTAGTAGATACTGTATGTATCGTAGTAGTAGTAGATACTGTATGTTGTAGTCGTAGTAGTGTAGATACTGTATGTATCGTAGTAGTAGATACTGTATGTATCGTAGTAGTAGATACTGTATGTATCGTAGTAGTAGTAGATACTGTATGTATCGTAGTAGTAGATACTGTATGTATCGTAGTAGTAGATACTGTATGTATCGTAGTAGTAGATACTGTATGTATCGTAGTAGTAGTAGTAGATACTGTATGTATCGTAGTAGTAGTAGATACTGTATGTATCGTAGTAGTAGTAGATACTGTATGTATCGTAGTAGTAGTAGTAATACTGTATGTATCGTAGTAGTAGTAGTAGATACGGTATGTATCGTAGTAGTAGATACTGTATGTATCATAGTAGTAGTAGATACTGTATGTATCGTAGTAGTAGTAGATACTGTATGTATCGTAGTAGATACTGTATGTATCGTAGTAGATACTGTATGTATCGTAGATAGTAGTATGTATGTATCGTAGTAGTAGTAGTAGATACTGTATGTATCGTAGTAGTAGATACTGAATGTATCGTAGTAGTAGATACTGTATGTATCGTAGTAGTAGATACTGTATGTATCGTAGTAGTAGTAGTAGTAGATACTGTATGTATCGTAGTAGTAGTAGTAGTAGATACTGTATGTATCGTAGTAGTAGATACTGTATGTATCGTAGTAGTAGATACTGTATGTATCGTAGTAGTAGTAGTAGATACTGTATGTATCGTAGTAGTAGATACTGTATGTATCGTAGTAGTAGTAGTAGATACTGTATGTATCGTAGTAGTAGATACTGTATGTATCGTAGTAGTAGTAGTAGATACTGTATGTATCGTAGTAGTAGTAGTAGTAGATACTGTATGTATCGTAGTAGTAGTAGTAGATACTGTATGTATCGTAGTAGTAGTAGTAGATAATGTATGTATCGTAGTAGTAGATACTGTATGTATCGTAGTAGTAGTAGATACTGTATGTATCGTAGTAGTAGATACTGTATGTATCGTAGTAGTAGATACTGAATGTATCGTAGTAGTAGATACTGTATGTATCGTAGTAGTAGATACTGTATGTATCGTAGTAGTAGTAGTAGATACTGTATGTATCGTAGTAGTAGTAGTAGATACTGTATGTATCGTAGTAGTAGTAGATACTGTATGTATCGTAGTAGTAGTAGATACTGTATGTATTGTAGTAGTAGATACTGTATGTATCGTAGTAGTAGTAGTAGATACTGTATGTATTGTAGTAGTAGATACTGTATGTATCGTAGTAGTAGTATAGTAGATACTGTATGTATCGTAGTAGTAGTAGTAGTAGATACTGTATGTATCGTAGTAGTAGTAGTAGATACTGTATGTATCGTAGTAGTAGTATGTAAGTCTGAAGTAGCTGTGTGAGTCCAAACTGGCACCCTATTCCCTACATAGTGCACTACTTTTGACCAGAGCCCTATGGACCCTGGCTAAAAGTAGTGCACTATATAGGGAACAGAGTGCCATTTGGGCCACACTTCAGCAGTCTCTGTTGTTTCCTTACCTAGTTGCTCCAGCCGTGCCTTCTGCTCCTCCCTCCACTTACGCAGGCTCTCAGGCTCTGCTCTCAGAGAGTCCACCTGGGCGATGGCCGCATAGCTGTCCGATGGACCGTTGGACTCCTGGGGGGGGGGGAGAAGAACCAGGACCAGGCATGAGACATAAGGACCACCAGTCATAGGCTGCGTTTACAAAGACAGCCCAATTCTGATCTTTTGCCCAATTACTGGCAAAAGACCTGATCTGATTGGTCAAAAATACCAATTAGTGGGAAAGACCTGATCTGATTGGTCAAAAATACCAATTAGTGGAAAAATTAAATCAGAATTGGGCTGCCCGTGTAAAGGCAGCCATAGGACCATACAGACTCGTCCATTATGAACTGATGTATACTAGCTTTTGGTGCTGTGGGTTAGACATACACCAGACAGACTAGTCCATTATGAACTGATGTATACTAGCTTTTGGTGCTGTGGGTTAGACATACACCAGACAGACTAGTCCATTATGAACTGATGTATACTAGCTTTTGGTGCTGTGGGTTAGACATACACCAGACAGACTAGTCCATTATGAACTGATGTATACTAGCTTTTGGTGCTGTGGGTTAGACATACACCAGACAGACTAGTCCATTATGAACTGATGTATACTAGCTTTTTGTGCTGTGGGTTAGACATACACCAGACAGACTCGTCCATTATGAACTGATGTATACTAGCTTTTGGTGCTGTGGGTTAGACATACACCAGACAGACTAGTCCATTATGAACTGATGTATACTAGCTTTTGGTGCTGTGGGTTAGACATACACCATACAGACTAGTCCATTATGAACTGATGTATACTAGCTTTTGGTGCTGTGGGTTAGACATACACCAGACAGACTAGTCCATTATGAACTGATGTATACTAGCTTTTGGTGCTGTGGGTTAGACATACACCAGACAGACTCGTCCATTATGAACTGATGTATACTAGCTTTTGGTGCTGTGGGTTAGACATACACCAGACAGACTCGTCCATTATGAACTGATGTATACTAGCTTTTGGTGCTGTGGGTTAGACATACACCAGACAGACTAGTCCATTATGAACTGATGTATACTAGCTTTTGGTGCTGTGGGTTAGACATACACCAGACAGACTAGTCCATTATGAACTGATGTATACTAGCTTTTGGTGCTGTGGGTTAGACATACACCATACATAAGGCACAGTGCCGAGCGATTAACCAAAACGTTGGTTATTAAAAACAACTAATTGACCAACGTCGGTTCAATTATTTGAATTCCATTTTGTTCCGTTTTTTTGTTTGTTGTTTATCTTTGAGCTCGATGTGCAGTTTCTGTAGAGATAAAATCAGATCAAGCCTGAACTGTGCGATTTAGTACGGAGTTGTAGTTTCCAACAGGCCAATATTCTACAGTTTAGCGCGGAAAACATGGTAATTAACTACAATGACCATAATCCATTGCACGCCCGCTTAAAGTTATCCGCGGAGACAAAGCGAGAACGCAGATAGAAAGCGATAAGAAAGTCATCAAATAAAACAAATATTTTAGTAAAGTAATGTGAATAAATGATGGTTAATGTGATATGCAGTAATGGGCAGTCACTGCCATCATGGGACTTTAATTATTTTTATTCTGTGTTGTTACAGAATTCAACTCACATAATGCATTTCATATCTCAAAAAATAATTGAAACTGAAATCCGTGATTATTCTTTAAATAATCGAACCGACCTCAAAAAGCACTAATTGCTCAGCACTAATAAGGCATGAGGACCACCAGTCCATGGGTCATTCAATAGTAACAGCTGAACACTGAGGAGCAAATGCAGAAATCCTTAAAGGGCGGCTGAACTTCCTGATTTGGCCTCGTTTTAGATTTGTCTCATTAAGAAATATCAACAGCCATGACAATTCAAACGTGAGTTGGTTTTGGGGTGTGGTTTGATGTGGGTATCTCGTGTGTGTGTTCGCAGGTGGGATGAGTTAGCCAAATTATTTTGCCAATAAGCTTCAGCCCTGGTGTGCAACCGTGGTAAAGTTGGTTTCACGTTGGATAGCCTATCTCCAGGCTAGTTAGGGACTGTCAATAAATTACACAATGTAAATGAGACAATATTTTCATGTTGCACACCTTTTAGTTCTCATTAAATGCTTTCAATATCTGTATATGCATTTCTACAATTTATAGTTGTTTGATGTATTTAAAATCATAGACATTTTGAGGTATTGGAATTTTTACATATTGTCCCATGTAGCCTACATTGTGTAATTTACAGATGGTCCCCAATTTGCCCCATGGGGATATCCAAAGTCAAACCACATTTACCACGGGCATTATGATAGGGTCAGTGACGATTACTTGTGTGCTGCCAGCTGTGGGCAGGATTGAAACAAACCCAACCTTAATTTAAATTGGGACATACTCAGGTACAAAATGCTGTTTTGGATGAGACTGACTTTGACTAAAATTATCCTATTTACACTGTTGTCAATTTTGACAGTAGAATACATGATTCGGACTCTTTTCTAAAATATACGTTGTTTTTTGCGAGCAGTTGGTCTTTACATTACCCAAGCAACTTTCTCTTGTCATGCTTCCTTGAACAACATTTACTTGTTAACAATTCACTTACCATAGAGAATGGGTAACTAGTTCAGGTGTCCTCATCTGCTACAAGTACAGCCTCACTTACAAAACTAACCTGCAATTAAAACATGTCCAAGAACAGAAAGAAGTGAATTATCTTACCAGCTCAAACATGTCTCCGTTTACCGTGGCTGCTGACGCCTCTGCAAACCCGGCATCTGGCAGAGGAAACAACATGACATCTTTAGCATTATTCTAACCTAGCTAAAGTCATCATTTGCTTTCGAGGGGTGGATAGATAGCTAGTGACACATGAACACCTGTTTGGGCAGTAACGTAAACTAGCTTCTGTAATTTGACCCGAGGATAGCTTCAAGACATGACACAATCACATCCAGACAAAGTGACTAACTTTAGTCATCATCATCCAACTAAAGGGTGTGGTGTGCTGCTCCATCTTAACGTTCCTGTTTACATTGACAGCTGTCAATTAGATAACTAAAAGCCAGGCTAACTTAGCTAACTAACTAGCTGTCTGGTAAGAATTAACTACCTAACTATAGCACTAATAAAAGTGACTTTTGTTGTCTCCGTTTATGTACTTTTAGCTTGGAGTTAGTTTAGCTAACATGCTAACTTAGCATAGTTAGCAACTTACGGTTTTCTACAGCAGCAGGTGAATCGGTTACCGGCGGTTGCTGGAGAAGCTCAACGGATCCGTCCAAAGCACCGAATCCTTCGTCGTTATTCTCTATCACCGCTATTTCGCTTTCTTGCTGGGCTAAGAAAGCTGCTGCTGGGTCCACCTCGACAGGCAGGACTCCGTTGTCAGACATCTTTCACAAAAAGTGAAAAGTGTAGCTAGCCTTTTGATACCTCTAACGTTATATTATTGCTTGTTAATCTTGCTGGCTATCAATTAATTCAGCTGAGAGAGAAGAGTTATGATGATGGATATATCTGAATCAGGCAGAACATGCAACTAACCCAACTTTTCATGAACGTTTGTCAGCTAATATAACAAGGACTAACGTTAGCAAGCTTGTGGCTGTGATGATTCATGATTGCTCATGTTGAACTCGCCTGGCCTGCCACAAGTACTTCCAACTTCTGCTTTATTAGGATGTGTCTCCATCTGCTGGTCAAACCTAGAAATGCACTCTCCTATTTCCTAACCGCTATCTGAACTAAACGTTTTCTTCTTGCCTATTAGGCTATTATGTATAAACCTTTTTCTATTTGTTAGTATAGAAGAGTATCAGAATATAATATAATTAGAATACAATAAAGGATTTTCCTTTTCTATTTTCAAAGTGTCTGTGGAAAATAAAACATTTCTGGATAAAGTCATCATTTTTGGGGGTCATGTGGGGGCAATTGATTGCTTATTCTTAGTCGCCTTTACATATTTCAGAATAGATGGGAAATAGAGAATGTTGGGGAAAGCGACAGCCAGAGTCGCCGTCGCACCACCTCTCATAGGAGAGCACAGAGGTAGGCCAGGGATATCCTACCCCCATGTGACTTGCTGACGTTACAGTAGAGCTCTACTAAAGAGGAATGCACTGAATGAATGCTGATTGCTGCTTAAGGAGGGATCCACAGTGCCGCTGACGTCCAAGTCGAGGAAGTCCGAAGTTTAGTTTTCAGCTGGTTTACTTGTTTGATTCACATATTTCTTTCAGATCACGACTACCGTTGGCCGACTCACGATGTCCGGCGATCATCACAATGACAAGGAGGTAGGCTGATAGGGAAAACTGTACTCTAAGTTATGAATGCAACTAGCGATTTCTACATGGATTCCATGGAAGTTTGTTGTAGCCAAGTCTGTAAAACATACATACCCTTGTCTGACGTTAGATTGTATAAAGTTACAATGGAAAAAAAAAAGTATGATGTTTTTCCTTTTACTTGAAAGTAAGATATTTTGCTGTTTTTCTTGGTGGAATAAAACTTTCCCGGCGGCGACACAGCGGTCTAGACCTCGAAGTGGGTCTAGTCTTGGCCGGGCCCGTCTTAATACTGCAGCCCTTTCTTTCGTATCGCATTCCACAATATTAAAAACCAATAGATTATATATTTCAACACCTGGTCTTGTTCAAAAGTTTTAGTTTTTTAACAGTTTCCTTCGTTTTTACAAGAGACTGTATGTATTGTATGGTGTTACATTGTATCCAGTCCATGTTAGTAGTGTGTAAGGGCAATAATGTAACATTATGCATGTCACTTTCTATATTTGAATGACGACAGTTTATTGATATGCCCTCCTTCCATAACTCAGTGTTGGCAATTTTTTTGGGGGGTGGGTTACAACACTTTCGTTTATACTGAACAAAAATATATACTGAACAAAAAACATGAAACAATTTCAAAGATTTTGCTGTTACAGTTCATATAAGGAAATCTGTCAATTGAAGTAAATTCATTCACGCAGGTGAAGAAGCCTGATGTTGGAGGCAGTTTACAGTAGAGAAATGAACATTCAAAACTCTGGTGGACATTCCTGCAGTCAGCATGCCAATTGCACACTCCCTCAAAGCTTGAGACATTGTGTTGTGTGACAAAACTGCAGTGGTATTTTTATTGTCCCCAGCACAAGGTGCACCTGTGTAATGATCATGCTGTTTAATCAGCTTCTTGATATGCCACACCTGTCAGGTGGATGTATTTTCTTGGCAAAGGAGAAATGCTCACTAACAGGGATGTAAACACATTAGTGCACAGAATTTGAGGAATAAGCTTTTTGTGTGTATGGAACATTTTCTGGGATCTTTTATTTCAGCTCATGAAACATGGGACCAACACTTTACATGTTGTGTTGTTGTTCAGTGTATTTTAAAAAGCAAAGATAATACTGTTCCTGAAAACAAGCGACACTGGTTTCAATAGCATTGTTACCACTCTAGTGTTCTGCCTGTATGCAAGGCAATACGTTAATGTCTTTCTTGCCAGTGGCTGTTATGGGAAACTACTAGGTTAACCTCTGAGTATCTTTTATTTTGATACATGGGGGGGAAAAAAAGACCAGCATTCATTTGGATATACACTGAGTATACAAAACATTAGGAACACCTTCCTAATATTGAGTTGTACCCCCCTTCAATGCTTCCCAGAGTTGTCAAGTTGGCTGGATGTCCTTTGGGTGGTGGACCATTCTTGATGCACACGGAAAACTGTTGAGCGTGAAAAACCCAGCAGCGTTGCATCCGGCACCGACTACCACACCCCGTTCAAAGGCACTTAAATGTGTTGTCCTGCCCATTCACCCTCTGAATGGTACACAATCCATGTCTCAATTGTCGCAAGGCTTAAAAATCCTTATTTAACCGGTCTCCTCCCCTTCATCTACACTGATTTGAAGTGGATTTAACAAGTGACATCAATAAGGGATCATAGCTTTCACCTGGTCAGTGTCTGTCATGGAAAGAGAAGTTGTTCTTAATGTTTTGTCCACTCAGTGGAATTTGCAATTTAAGCTTTGTTTTTAATTCTATTTAACTCTCATTAACTCTAACTTTTCATTTTGATTCAGGAGTGTTACATAAATAAGTCTTATTTAGCTAAAGAGTGTAGGCTACATAAATAAGTCTTATTTAGCTAAAGAGGGTATTGCAGTATATGAACAAGTCTTTATTTAGGATTGCAGTATTTATTTACAGGACCTCCTGAACCTGCTATTCTGGGCGTTGACGTCTGGCTTCTCTTCTCTTCTTTCATTAAAGTGTGTCTATGGTCATGGAGGCAACTACTGGAGAGGCCTAGTGACAGGATTCTCTAATTGTTACCGTCCCTTTTTAGTTTTGTTTGTGTGACTTTTCACACATTACCTCAGGCCAGATTGAACACCTATTTTAGATATGTAGGATACTAAGCCTAGCTTGCTGAGGTCTATATGAACACACTACCAGGAGATAATTCCGACAGGGCATATAGCATTTTCTAATAGCAGCAGCTCATTGGGGTTGACTTGTTTTTTAGAGTAGCGATAAGTACATGTAGCCTACACATTCTCAATTATTTGGATTTACTTTTAAACATAAATCAAAGTAACTTTTTCACTGCATATAGAAAAAGTCCAACCAGATCTGTCTCTTTTTTTAAGGTCTTTTGATGTCCTATATCCTAATTGCTGGTTTGGTTGAGGTTATAATGGACTGAGCTGTACTTCATGCCCTCTGGAAGGAATGTGGTTTTCACTTCACCTTCTTCTTCGTCACTTAGGTTCTGCTCTACTCTTCCTCCTGGGATTCCTCCCGTTCTAAATATCTTTTTGGCTTTTACGTGCGAAGCGCGGGTGCCAGATAATGTGTAGTTGATGTTCCCCCTCTCTCTCCTGCTCCTTCTCTCCATTGCTGCCCCCCCTCTCTCTGTGACTCATGTGGGTGTAGGGCTGAAATAGTTTGTAGTTTTGCATTCCTTATATAGCTCTCCGAGGAGAGGAGCCTGGCTGCCTAGCTGTGTCACTAGGGGAGGGGGGGAGAGGGCTTGCTCTGCCAACAGGGAGGGAGAAGAGTCAGCCCAGCCTGCGTCAGTACTGTAGCACCCAGCACTCCTGTAGTTTTCTGACAGCTTTGGGTTACCAGGAGGGCCTCAGGACAAGGTATGGTTGCATTGCAGGTAGCTCTGTGTCATGGTGAGGTTTTTGAATACCTTTGAGGAGGGAGAGGTGCAGCAAGCGTCATGGTCTCAGGTTGTCCTTGGTTCTTAAAATGACGTGTGTGTGGTGCTGTCTGTGAGCGAAGGGAATATGCTGTACCAATGTAATTTAAGCCTATATTACTTTGACAGATGCGTTTTAGTGCGTACAGCAAAGGCAGTTATATATTTCAATGGAGTTGAAGGATATTTGTTTGCGGACAGACTGACTTTTGGCAAGTATGTGGAATAAGCGTGAACAGCTTTAAATATGTTCTCTATGAGTGTCCCTCTGTTTGTTTCCAGGGTAACGTGTGACAGAATTGTACTAGGCCTACATTAATTAGCTTTTTCTTTAGTTTGTAATAAGGGCATACCAATGGATATATTTAGCCTAGTTTGCAGGCTATACATGTCATTCATGTCGCTTTATTGCTGTGACTTGACCTACTAATCTCCTACGTTAGTTAAAATGCACTGACTGTAAGCCACTCTGTATAAGAGTGTCTGCTAAATCACTTGAATGTAAAGGCAACGGCTCTCTGCTGTTCTCTGGATACTGTATGTTGAATGTAAAGGCAACGGCTCTCTGCTGTTCTCTGGATACTGTATGTTGAATGTAAAGGCAACGGCTCTCTGCTGTTCTCTGGATACTGTATGTTGAATGTAAAGGCAACGGCTCTCTGCTGTTCTCTGGATACTGTACGTCTGACTGTCAGTATGTGTCAATCAGACCAGAGGTGGATGTTTATTTTTTTATTGATTTATTTCACCTTTATTTAACCAGGTAAGCCAGTTGAGAACAAGTTCTCATTTACAACTGCGACCTGGCCAAGATAAAGCAAAGCAGTGCAATAAAAACAACAACACAGAGTTACATATGGGGTAAAACAAAACATAAAGTCAAAAATACAACAGAAAATATATATACAGTGTGTGCAAATGTAGCAAGTTATGGAGGTAAGGCAATAAATAGGCCATAGTGCAAAATAATTACAATTAGTATCAACACTGGAATGATAGATGTGCAGAAGAAGATGTGCAAATAGAGATACTGGGGTGCAAATGAGCAAAATAAATAACAATATAGGGATGAGGTAGTTGGGTGGGCTAATTTCAGATGGGCTGTGTACAGGTGCAGTGATCGGTAAGCTGCTCTGACAACTGATGCTTAAAGTTAGTGAGGGAGAATAAGAGTCTCCAGCTTCAGAGATTTGTGACTCTGGGGTTTAATTTATTAGTGCACATAAAGTAGTAAAACAGTTTTGCAACGGAAAATGAAAACCAGCGTTTCTTATTGGTCAAGAATTGACGTAGTCTCTCCCTGTTTCAGTCCGTTTCCTTGACTATGACCCAGGGCACGCAGTCTGAAATCCAGACTTGAACCCCTCCATATGCATAACTGGTCTCAGATGCGTAGCTCATGTTCTGATTTTTGAATGAGATATTTGCAGAAAATACTATTGAGCTTTCTGGAATAAGTAACTCCAGTCAGGCCTTCCTGTAGGATTCCATGGGCTAGACGTTGCATCACTCTGCCCAGAAGCGTCTTGAAACATTCGAGTTAGTTTGGCCTTGCATTAGACTGTCTCTCAAACAGTGTGTTGGAGCCCACTGGTGGGTCATGGCAGATGTGTCCCTGGTTAAAGGGTCCTGACTAAGGGTGGATTTACATGAGTAAAATCATTTATGTCTAGTGAGGTCTGTCTGTCTTCAACCTCAGACTGTTCTGTTTACACTATCCTTGGATGTGGTGTGGCCAAAGTCACATTCCTCCCTTACCTGAATGCATCTATTATCATACCACAGTACATAGACCGCCATACCACAGTACATAGACCGCCATACCACAGTACATAGACCGCCATACCACAGTACATAGACCGCCATACCACAGTACATAGACCGCCATACCACAGTATATAGACCGCCATACCACAGTATATAGACCGCCATACCACAGTACATAGACCGCCATACCACAGTACATAGACCGCCATACCACAGTACATAGACCGCCATACCACAGTACATAGACCGCCATGCCACAGTACATAGACCGCCATACCACAGTATATAGACCGCCATGCCACAGTATATAGACCGCCATGCCACAGTATATAGACCGCCATGCCACAGTATATAGACCGCCATACCACAGTACATAGACTGCCATACCACAGTACATAGACTGCCATACCACAGTACATAGACCGCCATGCCACAGTACATAGACCGCCATACCACAGTATATAGACCGCCATACCACAGTACATAGACCGCCATGCCACAGTATATAGACCGCCATACCACAGTACATAGACCGCCATACCACAGTACATAGACCGCCATACCACAGTACATAGACCGCCATACCACAGTATATAGACTGCCATACCACAGTACATAGACCGCCATGCCACAGTATATAGACCGCCATGCCACAGTATATAGACCGCCATGCCACAGTATATAGACCGCCATGCCACAGTATATAGACCGCCATGCCACAGTACATAGACTGCCATACCACAGTACATAGACTGCCATACCACAGTACATAGACCGCCATGCCACAGTACATAGACCGCCATACCACAGTATATAGACCGCCATACCACAGTACATAGACCGCCATGCCACAGTATATAGACTGCCATGCCACAGTATATAGACCGCCATACCACAGTACATAGACCGCCATACCACAGTACATAGACCGCCATACCACAGTACATAGACCGCCATACCACAGTATATAGACCGCCATGCCACAGTATATAGACCGCCATGCCACAGTATATAGACCGCCATACCACAGTACATAGACCGCCATGCCACAGTACATAGACCGCCATGCCACAGTTTATAGACCATCAAAATAAGGATAGAAATTCAAACTATACAGGAGCTTATCATCTAAACCATGTTGCACATAGTGTTGCACACTTGATTTAATGCAATGATTCACAATTGTGTGGATATTCTAAAAGCCTTTTTCATGTTCAATTTGGCTAACAGAGCATTAAGGTAATTCTTACGGGGACATATGGCGCGGGAGAGAGGCTGTCTTTGCGCTGGACCGCTCCGAGGGGGTATGTGGTGTAGATGTAGGTGGTGTGGGAGACATATCTCTTTTAAAGAGACATTTTTTAAAATCTAGATCCGTCTCGTTACACTACTCAAGTATCTTTCCTGGACCTAGTTTGTGATGCAGCGTTCTAAGGCACTGCGTCTCAGTGCTTCAGGTGTCACTACAGACACCCTGGTTGGCCCAGCGTCGTCCGGGTTTGGCCGGTGTAGGCCGTCCCATTTGTATTCTTAACTGACTGGTCCTCTGTAGCTCAATTGGTAGAGCATGGCGCTTGTAACGCCAGGGTAGTGGGTTCGATCCCCGGGACCACCCCATACGTAAAAATGTATGCACACATGACTGTAAGTCGCTTTGGATAAAAGCGTCTGCTAAATGGCTTATTATTATTAGTTAAATAAAGGTTATTTTATTTGTATTGTGTCATCAAAGTAGTGTAGTGTAAAGAGGCCCTAACTGGCTCCTGGTTTATTACCTTCTGGGTGACATGACAACTGTCAACTGAGAATGTGTTAAATGGGTCACAATGTAAAACATCTAGGGACCTACATCTTTGAATCATTCCAACACTAGTCTATCACCTCTGATTCAACTAATCAGCAGGGTGTCCCAGAGGAGGGCTGGGTTGGGAAACGCTGTGTCCTAAATGGTATCCTGTTCTCTACATAGTGCGCTGCTTTTCACATAGGGCGCTGGTCAAAAGTAGTGCTCTATAAAGGAATTAGGGAGGCCCTGGGGATGACCTCGGGGATGAGTATAATTTAAAAAAATAAAATAATAATGTATTCACTAACTGTAAGTCGCTCTGGATAAGAGCGTCTGCTAAATGACTGTAAATGTAAATGTAACTCTGAGTCCCTATTGTGGTGGTGTTCTGCTGCCAAGGCAAGCCCATCCATACCAACTATCCTCAAAGAAACTGGCCTTGCATGTAGTTCTATGCAAGGGTTTTAAACCTTGGCTCATTGTAGGTCTATTTGAAATAAATTACATTAAATTGGCCCTAATCTATGGATTTCACATGACTGGGCAGGGGCGCAGCCATGGGTGGGCCTGGGAGGGCATAGGCCCACCCACTGGGGAGCCAGGCCCAGCCAATCAGAATGAGTTTTTCCTCACAAAAGGGCTTTATTACAGACAGAAATACTCCTCAGTTTCATCAGCTGTCCGGGTGGCGTAGTTACACGTGGTCTGCAGTTGTGAGGCCGGTGGACGTACTGCCAAATTCTCTAAAATGACTTTGAAGGCGGCTTATGGTAGAGAAATTTAACTTTGAATTCTCTGGCAACAGCTCTGGTGGACATTCCTGCAGTCAGCATGCCAATTGCGCATTCCCTCAACTTGAGACATCTGTGGCATTGTGTTGTGTGACAAAACTGCACATTTTAGAGTGGCCTTTTATTGTCCCCAGCACAAGGTGCACCTGTGTAATGATCATGCTGTTTAATCAGCTTCTTGATATGCCACACCTGTCAGGTGGATGTATTATCTTGGCAAAGGAGAAATGCTCACTAACAGGGACGTAAACACATTCGTGCACAGAATTTGAGGAATAAGCTTGTGCGTATGGAACATTTCTGGGATCTTTTATTTCCGCTCATGAAACATGGGACCAACACTTTACATGTTGCGGTTTATATTTTTGTTCAGTGTGTATCTATTTCTCTCCTCTATAGGCCATATATAATATAAATATATATATATATATATATATATATACCGTTCAAAAGTTTGGGGTCACTTAGAAATGTCCTTGTTTTCCATGAGTTTGAATAGGAAATATAGCTAAATGAATAGGAAATGTAGTCATTGACAAGGTTAGAAATAATAATTTTTAATTGAAATAATAATTGTGTCCTTCAAACTTTGCTTTCGTCAAATAATCCTCCATTTGCAGCAATTACAGCCTTGCAGACCTTTGGCATTCTAGTTGTCAATTTGTTGAGGTAATCTGAAGAGATTTCACCCCATGATTCCTGAAGCACCTCCCACAAGTTGGATTGGCTTGATGGGCACTTCTTACGTACCATACGGTCAAGCTGCCATTGGAACACAGGACTGATGGTTGCTGATAATGGGCCTCTGTACACCTAATGTAGATATTCCATTAAAAATCTGCCGTTTCCAGCTACAAAATCCATTTACAACATTAACAAAGTCTACACTGTATTTCTGATCAATTTGATGTTATTTTAATGGACCATAAAATTGCTTTTCTTTCAAAAACAAGGACATTTCTAAGTGACCCCAAACTTGTGTGCATCTCTCTCCTCTATAGACCATGAATAACCCTCTCTCTTCTCTCCTCTCCTCTCCTCTATAGGCCATGAATAACCCTCTCTCTTCTCTCCTCTCCTCTCCTCTCCTCTCCTCTATAGACCATGAATAACCCTCTCCCCTCTCCTCTCCTCTATAGACCATGAATAACCCTCTCTCTTCTCTCCTCTCCTCTATAGGCCATGAATAACCCTCTCTCTTCTCTCCTCTCCTCTCCTCTATAGGCCATGAATAACCCTCTCTCTTCTCTTCTCTCCTCTCCTCTATAGGCCATGAATAACCCTCTCTCTTCTCTTCTCTCCTCTCCTCTATAGACCATGAATAACCCTCTCTCTTCTCTCCTCTCCTCTCCTCTATAGACCATGAATAACCCTCTCTCTTCTCTCTCTCCTCATAGACCATGAATAACCTCTCTCTCCTCTCCTCTCCTCTCCTCTATAGGCCATGAATAACCCTCTCTCTCCTCTCCTCTCCTCTAGGCCATGAATAACCCTCTCTCTTCTCTCCTCTCCTCTATAGGCCATGAATAACCCTCTCTCTTCTCTCCTCTTCTCTCCTCTCCTCTATAAGCCATGAATAACCCTCTCTTCTCTTCTCTCCTCTCCTCTATAGACCATGAATAACCCTCTCTCTTCTCTCCTCTCCTCTCCTCTATAGACCATGAATAACCCTCTCTCTTCTCTCCTCTCCTCTATAGACCATGAATAACCCTCTCTCTTCTCTTCTCTCCTCTCCTCTATAGACCATGAATAACCCTCTCTCTTCTCTTCTCTCCTCTCCTCTATAGGCCATGAATAACCCTCTCTCTCCTCTCCTCTCCTCTATAGACCATGAATAACCCTCTCTCTTCTCTCCTCTCCTCTATAGGCCATGAATAACCCTCTCTCTCCCCTCCCTCCTCCTCTATAGACCCATGAATAAACACCGCTCTCTTCTCTCCTCTCCTCTATAGGCCATGAATAACCCTCTCTCTCCTCTCCTCTATAGGCCATGAATAACCCTCTCTCTCCTCTCCTCTATAGACCATGAATAACCCTCTCTCTCCTCTCCTCTCCTCTATAGACCATGAATAACCCTCTCTCTTCTCTCCTCTCCTCTCCTCTATAGGCCATGAATAACCCTCTCTCTCCTCTATAGGCCATGAATTACCCTCTCTCTCCTCTCCTCTCCTCTCCTCTCCTCTATAGACCATGAATAACCCTCTCTCTTCTCTTCTCTCCTCTCCTCTATAGACCATGAATAACCCTCTCTCTTCTCTCCTCTCCTCTATAGGCCATGAATAACCCTCTCTCTCCTCTCCTCTCCTCTATAGGCCATGAATAACCCTCTCTCTTCTCTCCTCTCCTCTCCTCTCCTCTATAGACCATGAATAACCCTCTCTCTTCTCTCCTCTCCTCTATAGACCATGAATAACCCTCTCTCTCCTCTCCTCTCCTCTCCTCTATAGGCCATGAATAACCCTCTCTCTCCTCTCCTCTCCTCTAGGCCATGAATAACCCTCTCTCTTCTCTCCTCTACTCTCCTCTCCTCTATAGACCATGAATAACCCTCTCTCTTCTCTTCTCTCCTCTCCTCTATAGACCATGAATAACCCTCTCTCTTCTCTTCTCTCCTCTCCTCTATAGACCATGAATAACCCTCTCTTCTCTCCTCTCCTCTCCTTTCCTCTATAGGCCATGAATAACCCTCTCTCTTCTCTCCTCTACTCTCCTCTCCTCTATAGACCATGAATAACCCTCTCTCTTCTCTTCTCTCCTCTCCTCTATAGGCCATGAATAACCCTCTCTCTTCTCTTCTCTTCTCTCCTCTCCTCTATAGACCATGAATAACCCTCTCTCTTCTCTTCTCTCCTCTCCTCTATAGACCATGAATAACCCTCTCTCTTCTCTCCTCTTCTCTCCTCTCCTCTATAGACCATGAATAACCCTCTCTCTCCTCTCCTCTCCTCTCCTCTATAGGCCATGAATAACCCTCTCTCTTCTCTCCTCTCCTCTCCTCTCCTCTATAGACCATGAATAACCCTCTCTCTCCTCTTCTCTCCTCTCCTCTATAGGCCATGAATAACCCTCTCTCTTCTCTTCTCTCCTCTCCTCTATAGACCATGAATAACCCTCTCTCTTCTCTCCTCTCCTCTATAGACCATGAATAACCCTCTCTCTCCTCTCCTCTAGGCCATGAATAACCCCCTCTCTTCTCTCCTCTCCCCTATAGACCATGAATAACCCTCTCTCTTCTCTCCTCTCCTCTCCTCTATAGACCATGAATAACCCTCTCTCTTCTCTTCTCTCCTCTCCTCTATAGACCATGAATAACCCTCTCTCTTCTCTCCTCTTCTCTCCTCTCCTCTATAGGCCATGAATAACCCTCTCTCTCCTCTCCTCTCCTCTATAGGCCATGAATAACCCTCTCTCTTCTCTTCTCTTCTCTCCTCTATAGGCCATGAATAACCCTCTCTCTTCTCTTCTCTCCTCTCCTCTCCTCTCCTCTATAGACCATGAATAACCCTCTCTCTTCTCTTCTCTTCTCTCCTCTATAGGCCATGAATAACCCTCTCTCTTCTCTCCTCTCCTCTCCTCTATAGGCCATGAATAACCCTCTCTCTTCTCTTCTCTCCTCTCCTCTATAGGCCATGAATAACCCTCTCTCTTCTCTTCTCTCCTCTCCTCTATAGACCATGAATAACCCTCTCTCTTCTCTCCTCTCCTCTATAGACCATGAATAACCCTCTCTCTCCTCTCCTCTCCTCTCCTCTATAGGCCATGAATAACCCTCTCTCTCCTCTTCTCTCCTCTCCTCTATAGGCCATGAATAACCCTCTCTCTCCTCTCCTCTTCTCTCCTCTCCTCTATAGACCATGAATAACCCTCTCTCTCCTCTCCTCTCCTCTCCTCTATAGACCATGAATAACCCTCTCTCTCCTCTCCTCTTCTCTCCTCTCCTCTATAGACCATGAATAACCCTCTCTCTCCTCTCCTCTCCTCTCCTCTATAGGCCATGAATAACCCTCTCTCTCCTCTCCTCTTCTCTCCTCTCCTCTATAGACCATGAATAACCCTCTCTCTCCTCTCCTCTCCTCTATAGACCATGAATAACCCTCTCTCTCCTCTCCTCTTCTCTCCTCTCCTCTATAGACCATGAATAACCCTCTCTCTCCTCTCCTCTCCTCTCCTCTATAGGCCATGAATAACCCTCTCTCTTCTCTTCTCTCCTCTCCTCTATAGGCCATGAATAACCCTCTCTCTTCTCTTCTCTTCTCTCCTCTCCTCTATAGACCATGAATAACCCTCTCTCTTCTCTCCTCTCCTCTCTAGACCATGAATAACTCTCTCTCTCCTCTCCTCTCCTCTCCTCTATAGGCCATGAATAACCCTCTCTCTCCTCTCCTCTCCTCTCCTCTAGGCCATGAATAACCCTCTCTCTTCTCTCCTCTCCTCTAGGCCATGAGTATATACAGTATAACCCTCAACGGCCCAGCACCATGGGGCTTCAGACTTCAGGGGGGGAAGGACTTCAGCATGCCCCTCACTGTGTCCAGGGTAAGCTTTGTGTTTCTACCGTATTCTACTATATACCCGTATTGATGCTGGACCGGTTTGGGTTTTTACTTGACCTTCTATAACGGTATTTAGTTGTTGTTTTTTATAGTTTACTCCACTACTTTACACCGAGCCCTGCCTCCTGTCACTCAAGAAGCCCAGTTGTTGTTGCTCGTACACGAGAGATCATTTGCCGACCGTTCACTCTTCAGTGTGAATGGTCAATGCAGCAGATGCAACAATATGTTGATTGATGACAACGATGCTGTTTCCACTTTGCTTGTTAATATAAATCCACAAGCGTTCTATAATACACTATTAGTTAGTATCTTGCTGTCTGCAAACAGCTAGTGTCTTTTTCTTAGCAAGTCGCAAACGTAGCCAACGGTTATCCAGCAGTAATTATAACCCTAGAGCAATAAAAAGAATACAAAATAAATCCAGAAAAATGAAACTAAAGGCAATTGAACCCAGTCTGCCACAAAGAGAAGATTCAAGTATGAGCCAGGCCTACATCTATATACATACGTGCCATTTGCTGTGTGTTTGTATGACCTGGGGGGGGGGGGGGGTCTGTATGTGTGGTTTTGAATCTCTCTCTGTGTGTGTCCATGTTTTGTATCCCCTGTGGACATATCAATTATACAGGTTACACGCTACTCTGCCCAATCAAACAACCGGATATGTTTCATCCATATGCTACAATTCCTAAGCAGCTATTTTGAAAGTGGCTATATCTGAACGCAACATAAGCTCTTTCCCCCCCCCCCCCCCGGTGTGACCTGTACCCTGGGCCTGATCATGCCACCTGTTGTGTTTTTTTTATTTGAACAGCAAACTATTGGGGAGAATAGCTAGCTATGATTGGGTGTCATTTTTTAAATCCATGTTTCAGCTCTGAAACGATCAGTTGCGTGTCTCAGTTCATGCATTCCTCTGAGGTGTGTCAGTGGGCTGTATCCAAAATTGCACTCTATTACCCTTTGGACTATAGCACTACTTTTGACCACGGACCATAATGCTCTAGGGAATAGGGTGCCATTTGGAATGTACTCAGTATGTATGATACAGTATCAGAAGTCTCTGAGTTTCTCCACTTCTCTCTCTCTCTCTCTCTCTCTCTCTCTCCTCACAAGGACATGTTGTGGCTTGTTTAGCCTTGCCCAGGGACAACTTGTTACTGTGTTAGGTCACTGTGTCTTAGCTAAATTAATCATACGTAGTGAAATGGTTTCTCTGATTGTCCATAAACGACCGGCTATTGAACAGAGTGACACCCAGCACAGGGTTTCCAGCCCTTATAAGTGCTTTGTCGGTCGGTCGGTCTGCGTGTGTGTATATGCCTGTGATGGAGGGAGCAGTTACAGTGCCATGCAAAAGTATTCATCCCCCTTGGCGTTTGTCCTATTTTGTTGCATTACAACCTGTAATTTAAATTGATTTTTATTTGGATTTCATGTAATGGACATACAAAACATAGTCCAAATTGGTGAGGTGAAATTAAAAATAAAAAAAAAAGTTGTTTCAAAGAATTCTAAAAAATAAATAACGGAAAAGTGGTGTGTGCATATGTATTCATCCCCTTTGCTATGAAGCCCCTAAATAAGATCTGGTGCAACCAATTACCTTCAGAAGTCACATAATTAGTTAAATATTGCCCACCTGTGGGCAATCTAAGTGTCACCTGATCTCAATGTGTGTGTGTATGTATGTGTATATATACATACACACACACACAGTGCCCTCCACAATTATTGGCACCCCTGTTTAAGATGTGGTCAAGGACTTCCAAAAATTCTCCTTTTTTTTTAAACAACATAGAACCCAAATGCAAAAAAAGAGAAATCCAACCTTTTATTTAAGTACATTACTTTGGTGTAAAAAAAAATCACACATTTAGAAATTATTATTTTTTTGAAATCATGTGTCCCACAATTATTGGCACCCCTGATGTTAATACTTTGTACAACCCCCTTTTGCCAACAAGACAGCACTTAATCTCCTCCTATAACATTTCACAAGATTGGAGAACACAGAGAGAGGGATCTTTGACCATTCTTCTTTGCACAATCTTTCTAGATCATCCAGTGTCCTGGGTCCTCTCTTATGCACTCTCCTCTTTAGCTCGCCCCACAGGTTTTTGATTGGGTTGAGGTCTGGGGACTGAGATGGCCATGGGAGGACCTTGAGTTTGTGACTGCTGAACCATTTTTGTGTAGATTTTGCCACATGTTTTGGATCATTATCCTGCTGAAAGACCCAATGACGACCCATCTTCAGCTTTCTGGCAGAGGCCATCAGGTTTTTATTTAAAATGTCCTGGTAGTTCAAAGCGTTCATAATGCCATGCACCCTAACAAGGTTCCCAGGGCCTTTGGAAGAGAAACAGGCCCACAGCATCACAGATCCTCCACCATACTTCACGGTGGGCATGAGGTGCTTTTCGGCATACTCATCTTTTGTTTTACGCCAGACCCACTTAGAGTGTTTGTTGGCAAAAAGCTCAATCTTAGTCTCATCTGACCAAAGCACACGATCCCAGTTGAAGTCCCAGTGCCGCTTAGCAAACTCCAGACGTTTACGTTTGTGAGTGTTAGTGAGAAAAGGCTTTTTCCTTGCATGCCTCCCAAACAGCTTGTTGGCATGTAGAGAGCGTCTGATGGTTGTTTTGGAGACTTTTTGACCCCAAGATGCCACTCTTTGATGCAATTCTGTGACAGTGAGCTTAGGACTTTTTTTTACTTCTCTTACCATCCTCCTCACTATGCGTTGTGGCAAGATAAACTTGGGACCTCTTCCAGCCTTGTTTGTCACTGTTCCAGTTGTTTTAAACTTCTTAATGATTCCTCTGACTGTAGATACGGGCAAGTTAAGGCGAGTGGCTATTTTCTTGTAGCCATTGCCTGACTTATGAAGGTCGACACAAATCTGCCTTACTTGAATGGTGTGTTCTCTTGTCTTTGCCATGTTGACAAATGGGTAAGAGAATTAGGCCTCTGTGTCACGTCATATTTATACCCCAGGGAAACAGGAAGTCATGAATTACTAATTAAAAGTTCCTAGATACCCTGACCAACTTTAGCAACTACAGAAAAATATATTTAAAAAAAAATCAATAAAAATTTTCAGCGGAATTGTTAGGGGTGCCAATAATTGTGGGACACATGATTTCAAGTTTTTTTTTCTTCTAAATGTGTGATTTTTTTTTTTTATTTTTTACCACCAAAGTAATGTACTTAAATAAAAGGTTGGATTTTTCTATTTTTTTGCATTTGGGTTCTGTTTTTTTTTTTTTTTAAAGGAGAATTTTTGGAAGTCCTCGACCACATCTTAAACAGGGGTGCCAATAATAGTGGAGGGCACTGTATATACCAGTTTTTGCCCCAGAGTCTGCAACACCACTAAGCATGGGGCACCACCAAGCAAGCGGCACCATGAAGACCAAGGAGCTCTCCAAACAGGTCAGGGATAAAGTTGTGGAGAAGTACAGATCAGGGTTGGGTTACAAAAAAATATCAGAAACTTAACATCCCACGGAGCACCATTAAATCCATTATTAAAAAATGGAAAGAATATGGCACCACAACAAACCTGCCAAGAGAGTGCCGCTCACCAAAACTCACGGACCAGGCAAGGAGGGCATTAATCAGAGGCAACAAAGAGACCAAAGATAACCCTGAAGGAGCTGCAAAGCTCCACAGCAGAGATTGGAGTATCTGTCCATAGGACCACTTTAAGCCGAACACTCCCCAGAGCTGGGCTTTACGGAAGTGGCCAGAAAAAAGCCATTTGCTTAAAGAAAAAAATAAGCAAACACGTTTGGAAGAAGGTACTCTGGTCAGATGAGACTAAAATTGAGCTTTTTGGCCATCAAGGAAAACGCAATGTCTGGCGCAAACCCAACACCTCTCATCACCCCGAACACCATCATGCTGTGGGGATGTTTTTCATCGGCAGAGACTGGGAAACTGGTCAGAATTTAAGCAGATGGAGCTAAATACAGGGAAATTCTTGAGGGAAACCTGTTTCAGTCTTCCAGAGATTTGAGACTGGGACAGAGGTTCACATTCCAACAAGACAATGACCCTAAGCCTACTGCTAAAGCAACACTCGAGTGGTTTAAGGGGAAACATTTAAATGTCTTGGAATGGCCTAGTCAAAGCCCAGACCTCAATCCAATTGAGAATCTGTGGTATGACTTAAAGATTGCTGTACACCAGCGGAACCCAACCAACTTGAAGGAGCTGGAGCAGTTTTGCCTTGAAGAATGGGCAAAAATCCCAGTGGCTAGATGTGCCAAGCTTATGGAGACACGGTCATACTAACAGGCCTGACATACAGGAGTACAGTCATACTAACAGGACTGACATACAGGAGTACGGTCATACTAACAGGCCTGACATACAGGAGTACAGTCATACTTGGGTTGACACCTCCTGGTTAGGCTGTAGTTTTAGATTATATCCCCTAGCTCAGTCATTCTCAAATGGCGGACCGCGGTACGTGTCCGGACCCAGCGACGGGGTCAATACGGACCGAACGGCACCAAACGATATCGAAGTTTAGTACATTTTTAATTTCAGACAGCTTTCAAACATGATCGACCGGGCGCCGTTTCCCAAGTGCAGCGCGGCCTCTCTATGTCTCCAGTAGTGGTGAAGATACCCCAGATTGCATCCTATCCAAGTCGCGTGCATTTATGCAAATAAGTCTCACGAAGAGAGCTGTGTCTCATCCGATCGCATAAATATATGCAAATATCTTTGACAGTGAACGACTGTGTTGGGAGCAAGCAGCAGGAAGAAACACGGAAATACGTCCGTCGATAGACATTGTGAATGTGAAGGATGGCTTGTTCAAAGAAAAGTTGATAGTGAAAATCGCATTTTCAAAGACAAGTGGACAGAAGTACGCATTCATTCTCCCCGCAAACAAGTTCAAAACCAATGTGCCTGATTTGGCTCAGAGTCCGTAGCGCTCCTAATGTGAAGCGATGCTATGACACAAGTCATTTGGCGCAAACGTGTCCCCATAAAACACAGAGGTGAGAACGAGAAAGCCCAATATGAGCGGTTCACCAAAGTTCCCTGACAGCCCAAGAACATCCAATGGAGCGCTCACTGAAAAATAGCTAGTGTTTTGGGAAAACGCAAAAAGCCATTTACTGACGCAGAGATGTTTTAAAGAATGCAATGAGTGACGTTGCTGAGACCTTGATGGTGAACGAAAAGATGAGCTGAAGGAAAAGATCAAACCGATCCCACAGCAATGAGAACTGAAATATTAGCTGAAGATGTGATTTCACAACTTGATGAGGCCATTCAGAATGCATCATGCATTTCTTTAGCTGTGGATGAATCAACAGATGCCACCGATTTTTATTTTATTTTTATGCCCAGCTTCTGGTATTTGTGAGATTTTATAACAAAACAAAAAAGGAATTCTGTGAGGAGCTGTTTGGTTTAACAACTCTTGAAGCACACACACGAGGAGAGGACATTCATGAGGCCATCAAAGGGATGCTGACAAAGGGGGATAGATCTGAAGTCGGTGGTCTCCATCACCACAGATGGAGCTCCAGAAAATGGGGATAGATCTGAAGTCGGTGGTCTCCATCACCACAGATGGAGCTCCAGAAAATGGGGATAGATCTGAAGTCGGTGGTCTCCATCACCACAGATGATAGGAAGCTCCAGCCATGACAGGAAGAGGGAGGGGACTGGTTGCACGTTTTGAAAGACGACCGACCTGACATCATACCACTGCATCATCCACCAATCGGTCCTGTGTGCCAGTCTGGGAGAAGTGTACGCTGAGGTCATGACAACAATGATGAAACGGATCAACTTTTTGAGAGCATCATCATCCCTACAGCATGGTCTGCGAAGAGGCTTTCTGACAGCGGTTAATGCCAGCTATGATGACTTACTAGTGCACAACGATGTCAGATGGCTCGGCAAAGGCAGGGTTTTGGAGCGCTTTTGGGGAATTCGGGAGGAGATAATCTTTCCTATCAGAGTGAAAAGGCAACTCTGTTTACAGAGTTTTTGGAAGATGTGGAGAAAATGCAAACGGCTGTATTTCTGGCAGACATCACATCTTTAATGAGCTCAATGTTAAGCTGCAGGGACAGAACAACACAGTGTGTGATTTGATAACAGCAGTCCGGGCTTTCCGGAGGAAATTGGAGATTTTCAAGACTGATCTCCAGGGAGAACTTGTCCACTTCCCCAACTTTTGGAGCAAACCCAGGGAGAGCGAGATGTTCCTCACCACGGTGATTTTTTTAATAAAGAAGCTGACGGGTAACTTCAAGGCTCGCTTTTATGACTTTGCCTCTTGTAAGACAACTGCTGCTGTTTATACAGAAGCCCTTCTTGGTCACAAATGTCCCTTTTTTTTTTTTCAGAGGAAGCAAAACAGACCTTCAGATTGGTAAATGTTGCAACACTACAAATTGTAGTTGATTTGAACTGCAAGAAAATGTGGCTTTGAAAGAGCAGGTTGGTGATTTGTGACCCTGTCCGTTTCTGGGCAGGTTGGTGATTTGTGACCCTGTCCGTTTCTGGGGAAAGATGGTGCCTGCAGCTGGTTTCCCTGTTCTTAACAAAACGCCACTACACATCCTGACCACGTTTGGTTCCACATACTGCTGTGAGTCAGCCTTCTCCACAATGAACATTTATTAAAACCAAATACCGCACCAGGATCACCAATGAACACCTGCACCAGTGTCTTAGAATTGCACTCGCACCATTTTTGCCAAAGTTCTAAGTATTGGCAGGAGGGAAAAAAATGTGATTTCTCTCATTAGTCATTGATGCAAGGCCCAGAGTGACTTGGGCATGCATGGAACACAGTCTGTGCACTCAGATGTTATTTTCTATTGGACTCTCCTTTGTTCTCCATAAAATGTGCACTTTAGATGATTATTATTTATTAAATTAAGAGAAATGCAAGGCCCATGTACATTGGCTCAGTGACTTTTTTTGCTTACAGATTACTATGCAATCACTTTTGTTCTTCAGCAATGTTCAGCACTTTATTTTTTTTGTAAAAAGAGAAACCATTCATTTTAAAAAAATACTTTTTGTTGTACTAATTTCTTAAATGTCTTTTTGAAGCAGCATGACAAATAGTAATAGCATACTTGCTACTGCAGCACAGGTACATTGTTCACAGTCAAAATAAAGATGTTTTGTAATTCATTAAAATGTATCTGATTGGGCCCATTTTTTTATGTTTTTAATAGAGGTCCTGAAAACATTTTAGATATATAAAACATGTATCCCAAATCAGAATATGGACAATGGTAAGTTTGATACTATGCTGTGCTAGAGCACCAATAAATCAATATATATATATCTCTATCTATCTATCTCTCAGGACCTTTCCCACTTTGGAAGTTTGTGTGACCGCACCTTCTCAAGTTGTATTTGAATACCCCTGCCCCAGCTGTTTCCATACTGACATGCAGAGTACAGTCATACTAGCAGGTCCCTGTTGACTGACTGACTTTCATAATAAAAGGCCTTTTCCAATCAGCTCAGACTGGCTGACGTCAGACTAGCAGGCCCCTGTCTCAGACTGTTGACTGATCATAATAAAAGGCCTAGTCTAGTCAGCCCCATCTCCCTGGCTCTGACTGGCTGACAGACTTCTCTCCCTGGCTCTGACTGGCTGACAGACTTCTCTCCCTGGCTCTGACTGGCTGGTCCTCCTGGAAGTGATGTGTGTGGGTGGTCTGCTCTGCCCCAGGGCCCCTGAGATATCATCTCAACCCAGAGAGGGAGCTGATTTACACAATAAAGGACAATCCAACTGACAGCAAGACTAAAGCTTCAGAGAGAGGCTGCAGGGTGACGAGATGGGCAGTGTGAGATAAGGCTCAATTCTTAGGGCTTTAATAGCATGGGAAACACATGTTGCCAAAGCAAGTGAAATAGATAAAGGTGAGAAGAAAGAAACTATTACAAATGAACAGTAAACATTGCGCTCTAAGGTTTACAATATATCAAGACATTTCAAGTGTTCTAGTCACAGCTACATTTTTTTTTAGCAATGTGCAAATAGTTGTAGTACAAATAGTACTAGTTTCTCTCTCTCTCTCTCAGCTAATGTAGTTGGTAGCTTTGAGAAGGTTTGATTTATTAGGAGGAGTATAGGGCTGTATCTGTTTGAGTTTGGCCAGGTAACGGCGGCTGTTAAGGTCCATAAGTGACTTTATAGACGATTGTCCCGTAGACCTGTTAAATGGGGATCTGTTCCTCTGCTATTGGTCCTGTCGACCTGTTAAATGGGGATCTGTTCCTCTGCTATTGGTCCTGTCGACCTGTTAAATGGGGATCTGTTCCTCTGCTATTGGTCCTGTCGACCTGTTAAATGGGGATCTGTTCCTCTGCTATTGGTTTAGAACGGTGTGTGTGTGTGTGTGTGTGTGTAGGGTGGTATGTCTATGAATGCTCTGCTTCCAACCTCTCCCTGTATGAGCCAGGAACCCAATGTTTCCTCTAAATTCCTGGAATGCCGTCATTCCTCATGTCTCTCCCGTTCCCAGATCCTGGCAACAGCAGAGCCCTTTGTTTTCTCTCGGCATCCATTGGCTGGGTCCATATATAGGGCTCTACACATTGGCTGGGTCCATATATAGGGCTCTATCCATTGGCTGGGTCCCTATATAGGGCTCTATCCATTGGCTGGGTCCCTATATAGGGCTCTACACATTGGCTGGGTCCCTATATAGGGCTCTACACATTGGCTGGGTCCATATATAGGGCTCTACACATTGGCTGGGTCCCTATATAGGGCTCTATCCATTGGCTGGGTCCCTATATAGGGCTCTACCCATTGGCTGGGTCCCTATATAGGGCTCTATCCATTGGCTGGGTCCATATATAGGGCTCTACACATTGGCTGGGTCCCTATATAGGGCTCTATCCATTGGCTGGGTCCCTATATAGGGCTCTACCCATTGGCTGGGTCCCTATATAGGGCTCTACCCATTGGCTGGGTCCCTATATAGGGCTCTACCCATTGGCTGGGTCCCTATATAGGGCTCTACCCATTGGCTGGGTCCCTATATAGGGCTCTACCCATTGGCTGGGTCCCTATATAGGGCTCTACCCATTGGCTGGGTCTATATATAGGGCTCTACACATTGGCTGGGTCCCTATATAGGGCTCTATCCATTGGCTGGGTCCCTATATAGGGCTCTACACATTGGCTGGGTCCATATATAGGGCTCTATCCATTGGCTGGGTCCCTATATAGGGCTCTACCCATTGGCTGGGTCCCTATATAGGGCTCTACCCATTGGCTGGGTCCCTATATAGGGCTCTACACATTGGCTGGGTCCCTATATAGGGCTCTACCCATTGGCTGGGTCCATATATAGGGCTCTACACATTGGCTGGGTCCCTATATAGGGCTCTACACATTGTTTGCGTCCCTAATGCACCAACACCCTATGGGCCTGGTCAAAAGTGGTGCACTATGGAGGGAATAGGGTTCCATTTGGAACTCAACCCTGGTGTCCTGACCCAGCAGACAGAGCATGACTACCTTCTCACATCTCAAAGGAACGCTTTACCGCTGACATCACTGGAAGAAAAAGCACCATCTCAGCACCACGCCACAGCCCTGTGCCCCCGGCCCTGTGCCCCCGGCCCTGTGACCCCGGCCCTGTGCCCCCAGCCCTGTGCCCCCAGCCCTGCTATCAGAAGTCTCTTATCTTGTATTTAAATCTGGGGGCTTTGTGGAGCCTTTAAACGTAGTGATTGCTTAGCTTTGGGCCCCGCAGAGCCACAGAGGGGGGAGACATCTGGTTTCTATCTCAGAGCACATATCACCTTGCTAAAATCATTAACACAGCACGTTAATAAGCAGGAAGTGAGATTTGTGACTGGTACCAGAGTTAGATGTGTTATCATCGGGGGGGGGGGGGGGGGGGTCAGAGATAGATGTGTAATCAGGGGGGGGTGTCAGAGATAGATATGTTATCATCATGTAGGCTGTTCTCTGCTAGGGTTCAGTTTTGCTGTGGGTGTGTCCTGTTCACTGCTCATCTACACACACACACACACACACACACACACACACACACACACACACACACACACACACACACACACACACACACACACACAGGACTTGTCATGGGTGTGGATTAATAATTCAAGGCTGACTGATACATTGGCTGATGAAGGAAGGATAATCTAGTAGTTTATCTTTAGCTGGTTAAACGTGAATGGCCTGTGTTGTGTACTCCAACAGGGCTGGTTTAACCTGGAGTTACTGCTGGTTTAACCTGGAGTTACTGCTGGTTTAACCTGGAGTTACTGCTGGTTTAACCTGGAGTTACTGCTGGTTTAACCTGGAGTTACTGCTGGTTTAACCTGGAGTTACTGCTAGGTGTTGTTATTGTGATGGATACTGGTCCCTACGGAAGCAGGCTCCGTTTTATAAAAGAAAGCTTGTAAATTTAAAGGCAATTTTAGCTGGTTAATGTGAATCAATTGTGTTCAGAGTTAGTTTCAGAACTCAAATCAAATTTTATTTGTCACATAATTTCTATACAGGTGTAAACTAACAGTGACGTTAACATGGCAACAATGCAGAAAAAAGAAAAAAAAAAGCTGTTTTACTTTGAGTTAATGCTAACCGATCGATACTGGCCCGCACAGCTTTGTTACAAAGGAAAGGTTCTAAATAAAAGGCTATGTCAGCTGGTTAAACTCATGCTGTTGTGAATCACTTACACACTGACATGGCAGTTTGTTTTTTTTACCTTGACTTACTGCTAGGAGCCGGCACTGTGGTGAAGACGTCTAGCAGCATGCGTTGCTATAAAGGAGTGGTTAATGTGAATGACTTGTGTTGTGAATCACTTATCAGAACTATATTTACCTTGAGTTAGTGCTACAGTAAGTATTTATTGTCACCGCGGCGGGATACTGGAGCTCTACAGCAGGTTCTACTTCCCATTTCTCAGAGGGATATTTATGGGTTTCCATCAGCTGCGATGTAAGGAAAAGCTGGCTAGCTGGGTCTCTCCCAGGCCGGAGCTGGCTAGCTGGGTCTCTCCCAGGCCGGAGCTGGCTAGCTGGGTCTCTCCCAGGCCAAAGCTGGCTAGCTGGGTCTCTCCCAGGCCAGAGCTGAGCCCTGAAGAACGTGGACTCGGGGGGTGTAAGACATAACATAGTAAAGGTAAATCCGGGGGGGCTTTACAATTGCCCACGCATCCAACTACCCTACTTTCGTTTTTTTTTGCCTTAAGGAACCTTCATTCTTATGTAACCAAACGAAACGTGTCATACTCCATTTGACGTTTGACTATGTTACGTCTAGTCTGAGACCAGGCCGCCCTGAAGTGGGCAGCAGTGCAATGAGGAAAAGGTAACGGTCGGTATAGAGCTGGGCTCAGAGGCACTGAAATTGCATTGTCAGTTTGGTCAAATGGCCCCCCCTGTAGGGAGAGGTGAGAGGTGTGTTCAGAACACTGTCGGTTGAAAGGTACCGGTAGGCCTCTCCTTTTAAAATACTATAGTTAATACCAACACCTCATATATAACTTTTATTTAACTGTTTTACTGTAATTTCTCAAACAGCTGACACCTAAAGAGAAATCAGAAATGATATAGGTTGACTTTCGTTGATCAGAATGAATAATGTATTTTTTATAAATGTTTTTTTTTTTTTTTTACAATGTTTCAATAGGAAACTTAACGATACACCATCATTCTCTTGCTGATAAGATGCAGCTGTTTTCTAACCCCTTTGTGCACGTAACAAAAGTGCCACATTTTTAAAAAGCCGTCTTCATTACATATGGCAGATCATATGAGGCCATGCGATCTCATTGGTGTGTGGCGTGGTGTGATGTGTTCCAGGGTATGTTGTCCTCTCCTAGTCTCCGTCCTTCCCAGTATTGACTAACTGCGGTGGGGTGTAGCGTTTCCTCCTCCCCCCTCCCCTCTCTCGTCTAAAGGCCTGAGCACAGCACTTTTACTACGGCAGCGTCCCAAATGGCACCCTATTCCCTACATAGTGCACTACTTTTGACCAGGGCCCATAGGGAATAGGGTGTCGTTTGGGACCCATACGTACAGGAACAGCTGTGATCTAAACCTGAGACACCGACACAGGTGCCTGTGTCCATCACTGGCCTGGCCACACACACACACACACACACACACACACACACACACCCCTACTCTGGTGCCGCTACCTCTATCTGCTTCACTCATTCTTACTAATCACGCTGCATCTCACTCCATCTCACCTTCCCTCTGTTTTAACCTGTCACTGCTGCTTTCTATTATAATCTGCTCTGCTAGGCCTTACTGTCTCTGCCTTTCACTCTCTCTCTCTCCGCCTCTGTGTCTCTCTGCCTCTCTCGCTCTCTCTCGCTCTCTCGCTCTCTCTCGCTCTCGCGCTCTCTCGCTCTCTCGCTCTCTTGCTCTCTCGCTCTTTTGCTCTTTCGCTCTCTGTCTCTCTCTCTCGCTCTCGCTCTCTGTCTCTCGCTCTCTGCCTCGCTCTCTCTCTCTCTCTCTGCCTCGCTCTCTCTCTCTCTCTCTCTGCCTCTGCCTCTCTCTCTCGCCCTCTGCCTCTCTCTCGCCCTCTGCCTCTGCCTCTCTCTCTCTCTCTCTCGCCCTCTGCCTCTCTCTCGCCCTCTCTGCCGCCTCAGAATACCAGTCACACACGAGGGCCTACATGTGTTGTCTTAGTAGTTGTGGTGTTTCTCTGTAACAGATGCAGACCAAATTTAGAGAAGCTGTAACAACACCTTTAGTTCCCTTTTAATTGCTTCTAGCTTGGGTAGATCATAGGTAATTCACTTGATGTTAAAAGTAGTTTTTCATTAGGAATGCATTTAATGTAATTATATTTTTAGGTTTTTGACGTGTTGAGATTTTTTCCCTGAAAACAAAGAAAACCAGGTGCTTTTTTTCAACAAGCTACGCCTCACTGCAGAATTAGACTTTTGTCCGTGTTCTCCAAACGCCCGTGTTCTTGTTTCTCCTGCTGCTCTGTATCGTTCAATTTCTCCAAACATCACATTTCAAAGTTAATAGTTAAGTTAAGGCTCTCATTCCGAATGGTTAAGGTTTGGGAAGGGTTCAAATAAAACAAATTGTCCACGACTGGGATCAAACACACACAACCTTCTATCCACAACCTTCTGATCCAGAGTCATGGGATTACCCAGGCCTACTTGATGGTAATAGCGCTCAATGTTGCCCCTAGTGGCCAGTTTAAGGCATTTCTCGACGTCCTCAAGACATAGATAGACGTCCAATTTCAACATCAATCTTGAACGACCTGGCTGGCTTTTTTTTTTCTAGGTCTCTACAGTCAAGGAAAGGTGAAATTAAGCCACTCCACAAGGGAACTGTGTCATCAGCTATGGGTTAATGTTAATGTGCTGAATCAAAGAGGCTGGATCTTATAGCTTAGTGGAACACGACAGAAACCAATGATTAGGGTCTAGAATCCTCTGTTAATTTAAGAGCCAATAGTCTACAGGGATCTAAAAGGATCAATGACCGGAGAGGACAGGGTAATCAATGTCTACAGAGACCAGGTCTGCATCCCAAATGAGACCGTATTCCCCGTGTAGTGCACTACTTTTGACCAGAGCTCTATGGACCCTGGCCAAAAGTAGTGCACTATATAAGGAATAGGGTGCCATTTGGGATGCACACAATGTCTACATGACAGAAATCAGTATTCCAGTCAGGGTTCGGCCCTGCCTGCGACGTTCAGCCCTGTGATGTTCAGCCCTGTGATGTTCAACCTGGCTTTGGCTTTCTCTGGCTCGCTCTCCTTTTAGTGATCTGATGTTGAACACTTTGTACTCTGAGTGATCTGAGACTTTGACACGTTTCGTTAAGCCTCTGGGACAAGGCTGAGTAAGGCCCTTTATTAAACTAAACACGTTCTGGGACAAGGCTGAGTAAGGCCCTTTATTAAACACGTTCTGGTATCTCCTCTCTCTTCATACCATCTCCACTGTGTGTGTGTATCAACAGCCTCTGTGTACATCAAGAGTTTTTTAAAGGACACTTCTCAAATGGCACCCTATCCACTACATAGTGCACTTTATTTGACCAGAGCCCATAGGGGATAGGGTGCCATTTGGGAAACACCCACTTACACTGCTGTAGCAGGCCTGGCAGGGTAGGGACTGAGTGCACGTGTGGTATGAGGTTCATATTTACAGCCTGTTCCCTACGGAGTGTGATGCAGGGTAGGGACTGAGTCTGTTCCCTACGGAGTGTGATGCAGGGTAGGGACTGAGTCTGTTCCCTACGGAGTGTGATGCAGGGTAGGGACTGAGTCTGTTCCCTACGGAGTGTGATGCAGGGTAGGGACTGAGCCTGTTCCCTACGGAGTGTGATGCAGGGTAGGGACTGAGCCTGTTACCTACGGAGTGTGATGATGTGGCTGTAACTCATGTCTGTCATCCAACTTATTTACATGACATCATCGAAAATCAATCACGCTCGTATCATCATCCTGTACAGTCACGGTCAATGACCTGTGGTGCTGCTCGCTCCTGTACAGTCACGGTTAATGACCTGTGGTGCTGCTCGCTCCTGTACAGTCACGGTCAATGACCTGTGGTGCTGCTCGCTCCTGGACAGTCACGGTCAATGACCTGTGGTGCTGCTCGCTCCTGTACAGTCACGGTTAATGACCTGTGGTGCTGCTCGCTCCTGTACAGTCATGGTTAATGACCTGTGGTGCTGCTCGCTCCTGTACAGTCACGGTTAATGACCTGTGGTGCTGCTCGCTCCTGTACAGTCACAGTTAATGACCTGTGGTGCTGCTCGCTCCTGTACAGTCACGGTTAATGACCTGTGGTGCTGCTCGCTCCTGTACAGTCACGGTCAATGACCTGTGGTGCTGCTCGCTCCTGTACAGTCACGGTCAATGACCTGTGGTGCTGCTCGCTCCTGTACAGTCACGGTCAATGACCTGTGGTGCTGCTCGCTAATATAATCTACAGTAACAACTGCTCCCCAGGTGCCGACGACATGGACGCCGATTTAATACAGCCCTCCGCACCTCTCTGATTCAGAGGGGTTGGGTTAAATGCGGAAGACATACAGTGCATTGGGAAAGTATTCAGACCCCTTGACTTTCTCCACTGTTGCTTGACAGCCTTATTCTAAAATTGATTAAATCGTTTTTTTCCCCCTCATCAAGCTACACACAATACCTCCATAATGACAAAGCAAAAACAGGTTTAGAAATGTTTGCAAATAAATAAAAAAACTGAAATCACATTTATATAAGTATTCAGACCCTTTACTCAGTACTTTGTTGAAGCACCTTCGGCAGCGATTACAGCCTTCAGTGTCCCATTCTTCTCTGCAGATCCTCTCAAGCTATTTTCAGGTCTCTCCAGAGATGTTCGATTGGGTTCAAGTCCGGGCTCTGGCTGGGCCACTCAAGGACATTCAGAGACTTGTCCCGAAGCCGCTCCTCTGTTGTCTTGGCTGTGTGCTTAGGGTCGTTGTCCTGTTGGAAGGTGAACCTTCGCCCCTGTCTGAGGTCTTAGTGCTCTGAAGCAGGTTTTCATCAAGGATCTCTGTACTTTGCTCCGTTAATCTTTCCCTCGATCCAGACTAGTCTCCCAGTCCCTGCCGCTGAAAAACATCCCCACAGCATGATGCTGCCACCACCATGCTTTACCGTAGGGATGGTGCCAGGTTTCCTCCAGACATGACGCTTGGCATTCAGGCCACAGAGTTCAATCTTGGTTTCATCAGACCAGAGAATCTTGTTTCTCATGGTCTGAGAGTCCTTAAGGTGCCTTTTGGCAAAATCCAAACCGGGCTGTCATGTGCCTTTTTTTTATTGAGGATTGGCTTCCGTCTGGCCACTACCATAAAGGCCTGATTGGTGGAGTGCTGCAGAGATGGTTGTCCTTCTGGAAGGTTCTCCCATCTCCACAGAGGAACTCTGGAGCTCTGTCAGAGTGACCATCGGGTTCTTGGTCACCTCCCTGACCAAGGCCCTTCTCCCCCGATTGCTCAGTTTGGCCGGGCGGCCAGCTCTAGGAAGAGTCTTGGTGGTTCCAAACTTCTTCCATTTAAGAATGATGAAGGCCACTCTTTTTTTGGGGGGGACCTTCAATGCTGCAGAAATGTTTTGGTACCCTTCCCCAGATCTGCGCCTCGATGCAATCCTATCTCTGAGCTCTACAGACAATTCCTTCGACCTCATGGCTTGGTTTTTGCTCTGACATGCACTGTCAACTGTGAGACCTTATATAGACAGGTGTAGAAACAGCTCATGGATTATCAATGGAAACAGGATGCACCTGAGCTCAATTTCGAGTCTCATAGCAAAGGGTCTGAATACTTATGTAAATAAGGTATTTCCTCTTATTTTTTAATATACATTTGCAAAAAGTGTCTAAACCTGTTCACTTTGTCATTGTGGGGTATTGTGTGTAGATTTATGATGAAAAACAGCTATTTAATCCATTTTAGAATAAGGCTGTGACGTAACAAAGTGGAAAAAGTGAAGTGGTCTGAATACTTTCCGAATGCACTGTATTTTGGTTGAATGCATTCAGTTGTCCAACTGACTCTCTTTCCCTAAGATAATCTAACAGAGGAGTTTTGCTGCTAATATCATGTAGGGTAACTTTCTGATAATGAGGGACTGCAGTGGCTCTGCGGCTCGTGGGGTTTAGTGTATAGATGGTTACCCAGCCTCTCATGCGTCCCAAATGGCGCCCTATTCGGGCCCATAGGACTCTAGTGAAAAGTAGCGCTTCATGTAGGGAATAGGGTGACGTTTGGGGCGAAGTCTCTCTCTCTCTCTCTCTCTCTCTCTCTCTCTCTCTCTCTCTCTCTCTGTCTCTCTCTCTGTCTCTCTGTCTCTCTGTCTCTCTGTCTCTCTCTCTCTCTCTCTGTCTCTCTGTCTCTCTGTCTCTCTGTCTCTCTGTCTCTCTGTCTCTCTGTCTCTCTCTCTCTCTCTCTCTCTCTCTCTGTGGTGTCCTTTCGTGAGTTAACTTCACTTCAAAGCTTTGGTCCACATCTGTAGTGGATCACAAGAAAGTGATGTCATAGTGCTATTCAGAAACTCTTACCCCATGTCCTCATTGTGGTGTGGGGAACTGTCTGGCTAGACACAGACAGAAAGACAGACCCCTCTACAGATCATTAGACGGCGATAACAGACCCAAACATGAATCCTCTTGTTGACTTTGTATGTATATTTAGTCAATACACTAGTTGACAGTGTTAAAAGGTTCGCTAGCTAGTGGTAAAAGCAAGATAGGACACATCTCTGTTGTTTACCTGTTGATTTGGTGTGCACATACTAGGCCCTAGAACGTTTCACTGTGCACTTTCATCTCTCTGATCCAAGTCCTATTCTTAACCAATATGTTCCCTACTGACTAGATATCCTCCTGTTCTTCCCTTTAGACCAGCTACTGACTAGATATCCTCCTGTTCTTCCCTTTAGATCAGCCCTGCTACTGACTAGATATCCTCCTGTTCTTCCCTTTAGATCAGCCCTGCTACTGACTAGATATCCTCCTGTTCTTCCCTTTAGACCAGCCTGCTACTGACTAGATATCCTCCTGTTCCCCTTAGACAGCTACCGGAACTAGATATCCTCCTGTTCTTCCCTTTAGCCAGCCCTGCTACTGACTAGAATCCTCCGTTCTTTTTTTTGATCAGCCCTGCTATGCTAATACCTCCTTTCTTCCTTTTTTAGACCACCCCTGCAGACAGAATCCCCCTGTTTTTCCCTTTTGACCACCCCTGCCTACTAATATCCCCCTGTTCTTCCCTTTAGATCAGCCCTTTACTGATAATATCCTGTTCTTCCCTTAGATCACCCTGCTACTGACTAGATTCCTCCTTTCTTCCCTTTAATCAGCCCTGCTACTGCTAGTTCCCCTCCGTTTTTCCCTTTAGACCGCTACTGACTAATTCCTCCGGTTTTTCCCCCTTTAGACCACCTGTCGACTAGTACCCCCTGTTCTTCCCTTTTTAGCCCACCCTGCTACTGAAAATTTATCCTCCCCCTGTTTTTCCCCTTTAGATCACCCCCTGCACTGACTAGATATCCCCCCTTTTTTCCCCCCTTTTAATCAGCCCTGCACTGACTAGATACCCCCTTTCTCCCTTTATCACCCTGCTTGACTAATATCCTCCTGTTTTTTCCCTTTTTAACCAGCCCTCACTACTAGATACCTCCTGTTTTTCCCTTTAACCACTACTGACTAGATTCCTCCTGTTTTTCCTTTAGATCACCCTAGACTAATACCCTCCTGTTTTTCCCCCTTTAGATCACCCGAGATAGATATCCCCTTTTTTTTTCCCCTTTAGACCACCCTTATGCTAGATTCCTCCTTTTTTTCCCTTTGGGACCACTACTGACTAAATCCCCCCTTTCTTCCCTTTTAAAACCAGCTACTGACTAAATTCCCCCTGTTCTTCCCTTTTAACCACCCGGGCTACTGACTAATACCCCCCTGTTTTTCCCTTTAGATCCCCTGACTGCTAGAATCCTCCTGTTTTTTCCCCTTTGATCAGCCCTGCACGATAATACCTCCTGTTTTTCCCCTTTTTTAGAACCCCTGCTACTGACTAGATTCCCCCGTTCTTTTTTTAGCCCAGCCCTGCTACTGACTGATATCCCCCTTTTTTTTCCTTTTAATCAGCCCTGTTTTATGACGATACCTCCTTTTTTCCCCTTTAGATACCCTGTCTGATAAACCCTCCTGTTTTTCCCCTTTTTAGATCAGCCCTGCTACTGCTAGTTCCCTCTTTTCTTCTTTAGACCTGCTATGACTAATATCCTCCTTTCCCCTTTTTTAACCAGCCCTGCTACTGACTAATATCCCCTGTTCTTCCTTTTTAACCAGCCCGCAAACCGCTAGATATCCTCCTGTTTTTTTCCCTTTTAGATCACCCTGTACGACTAGATACCCCCTGTTCTTTCCCTTTAGTCACCCTGCTAGATTTAGTACCCTCCTTTTTTTCCCTTTAATCCCCCCGCTATTTGATGGATTTCCCCTCCTGTTCTCCCTTTTTAGACCACCCTGCTACTGACTGATATCCCCCTGTTCTTTTTTTAGATCACCCGCTCTAAAATTATCCCCCTTTTTTTCCCTTTAGATCCCCTCTACTACTAGATATCCCTCCTGTTCTCCCTTTAAGACCAGCCCTGCTCTGACTAGATAGCCTCCTGTTCTTCCCTTGAATCAGCCCTGCTACTGACTAGATATCCTCCTGTTCTTCCTTTAGATCACCCCGCTAACTGACTAGATCTCCTCCTGTTCTTTTCCTTTAGACCTGCTACTGACGAGAACCTCCTGGTTCTTACCCTTTTAGATCGCCCTGCTATTGACTCATTGAACATTATTGCATTGTTGTGTCTCACTGATAGTAGCTTATCTCAGACAATACGTTACATGCTTGTCTATGGGACCATATTTGAATAAGCACAGTATCGGTTATGGCAGATGTTTGTTCCATTTAACCCTGAAAATATTCAGAGACAACCGCGAGAGGATATAGTAGGTGATATTATTATTTTTCACATGTACTTATGCAGCCATACTGTTGGGTGAAACAGAAAGGCTGAATAATGTTCCGTGGGATTTGATGTGTTTTTGTGTCGGTGACCGGCATTAATAGGCCAAAGGTCATATTTCTGTATGATTGAGCGCCCCTGTTGAGACCCTCAAACCCCCCCCCCCCCCCCCCCCCCCCCCCCCCCTCTCTCTCTCTCTCCGTCTACAGCTGACCCCCGGGGGTAAGGCCGTGCAGGCCGGTGTGGGCGTAGGAGATTGGGTGGTGTCCATTGGGGAGACCAACGCAGAAGACATGACCCATGTGGAGGCACAGAACAAGATCAGAGCAGCAGAGCAGTCGCTCACCCTCACCCTCAGCAAGTAAGATACTATAACCATACTATACTCACCCTCAGCAAGTAAGATACTAGAACCATACTATACTCACCCTCAACAAGTAAGATATTATAACCATACTATACTCACCCTCAACAAGTAAGATATTATAACCATACTAGACTCACCCTCAGCAAGTAAGATACTATAACCATACTATACTCACCCTCAGCAAGTAAGATACTATAACCATACTATACTCACCCTCAGAAGATAAGATTATATAATTATACAATACTGTATACAGTGGCTTGCGTAAGTATTCCCCCCCTTGGCATTTTTCCTATTTTGTTGCCTTACAACCTGGAATTAAAATTGATTTTGGGGGGGTTTGTATCATTTGATTTACACAACATGCCTACCACTTTGAAGATGCAAAATATGTTTTATTGTGAAACAAGCTCCTTGGTCTTCATGGTGCTGCTTGCTTGGTGGTCTTGCTTGGTGGTGCTGCTTGCTTGCTTGGTGGTGCTGCTTGCTTGGTGGTGTTGCAGACTCTGGGGCCTTTCAGAACAGGTGTGTGTGTATATACTGAGATCATGTGAAAGATCATGTGACACTTCGATTGCACACAGGTGGACTTTATTTAACTAATTATGTGACTTCTGAAGGTAATTGGTTGCACCAGATCGTATTTAGGGGCTTCATAGCAAAGGGGGTGAATACATATGCACACACCACTTTTCAGTTATTTTTTTTTTTCACTTCACCAATTTGGACTATTTTGTGTATATGTCCATTTGATGAAATCCAAATCAAATTCAATTTAAATTACAGGTTGTAATGCAACAAAATAGGAAAAACGCCAAGGGGGAAGGATACTTTTGCAAGGCGCTGTATATACCATACTCTACTCACCCTCAGCACATAAGATGATATAATTATACCATACTGTACAATGCATTTGGAAAGTATTCAGACCCCTTGTTCCCCCCCCCACCCCACATTTTGCTACGTTACAGCCTTATTCTAAAATGTATTAAATATTTATATTTTTTCATCAATCTACACATAATACCCCATAATGACAAAGGGAAACAGGTTTTAGAAGTGTTTGGAAATAACAAAAATATAAAAATAAAAACCCACCTTTTTATTTACATAAGTATTCAGACCATTTGCTTTGAGACTTGAAATTGAGCTCGGGTGCATCCTGTTTCCATTGATCATCCTTGAGATGCTTCTCCAATTGATTGGAGTCCACCTATGGTAAATTCAATTGTTTGGATATGATTTGTAAAGGCACACACCTGTCTATATAAGGTCCCACAGTTGACAGTGCATGTCAGAGCAAAATCCAAGCCGTGAGGTCGAAGGAATTGTCCGTAGAGTACTGAGACAGGATTGTCGAGGCACAGATCTAGGGAAGGGTACCAAAACATTTCTGCAGCATTGAAGGTCCCCAAGAACACAGTGGCCTCCTTCATTCTTAAATGGAAGAAATGTGGAACCACCAAGACTCTTCCTAGAGCTGGCCGCCCGGCCAAACTGAGCAATCGGGGGAGAAGGGCCTTGGTCAGGGAGGTGACCCTGAACTCGATGGTCACTCTGACAGAGTTTCTCTGTGGAGATGGGAGAAACTTCCAGAAGGACAACCAATCAGGCCTTTATGGTAGAGGGGTCAGACAGAAGCCACTCCTCAGTAAAAGGCACATGACAGCCCGCTTGGAGTTTGCCAAAAGGCACCTAAAGGACTCTGACCATGAGAAACCAGATTCTCTGGTCTGATGAAACCAAGATTGAACTCTTTGGCCTGAATGCCAAGCGTCATGTCTGGAGGAAACCTGGCACCATCCCTATGGTGGTGGTGGTGGTAGCATCATGCTGTGGGGATGTTTTTCAGCGGCAGGGACTGGGAGACTAGTCAGGATCGAGGGAAGGATGAAAATAGTTATTTCTTAGTGTAGATTGATGAGGGGAAAAAACATTTTTAACCAATTTTAAAATAAGGCTGTAATGTAACAAAATGTGGAAAAAGTCAAGGGGTCTGAATACTTTCTGAAGGCACTGTATCTACCATACTATACTCATCCCAGCAAGTAAGAATAATACTATATACTATACTCTCACTTACCCTCGGCAAGAACAAATCCTACCGAACAATAATACTATACTATATTATACTGATTATATACTATATTATGCCCACTGTACCATGCCAGAATATACCATGCATACTAAACCATAAAACATCATGAAAGAACCCACCACACACAGGAAGGATTCATTATAACAAACGCACAGCAGTGATAATTTCTCCCAGCTAGCAAGATCATACACCCACAGAAACACAATGCATTATTTAGACTGAATGCAGTACAGAGGAGTGGCTCGTGATGTCTTGCTTTCTAATTCAATTGGAAAATCCATTCAATGAGATTTAAATCACTTTGAAAGTAAAATTAGATTTGCTTGGCTTTATTTAGCTGAGTTATTTTGATCCGGACTGGGGTTGGGTAACGTTCTCCTCCTACGCCAGAGAACATACCTGCTAGCTACAGAGGCACCCCAGTATTGCCATCTATTATATCTATATTGTATCTGAACAACAACTTCTCCCTCAATGAGATGATCTACTACAGGAAAAGGAGGGCAGAACACGCCCCAATTCACATCCACTGGGCTGTAGTGGAGCAGGTTGAGAGCTTCAAGTTCCTTGGTGTCCACATCACCAACATACTAACATTGTCCAAGCACAACAACACCGTCGTGAAGAGGGCACAACAACGTCTATTCCCCCTCAGGAGACTGAAAAGATTTGGCATGGGTCCTCAGATCCTCAAAAAGTTCTACAGCTGCACCATCGAGAGCATCCTGACTGGTTGCATCACCGCTTGGTACGGCAACTGCTCGGCCTCCGACCGCAAGGCACTACAGAGGGCAGTGTGTATGGCCCAGTACATCACTGGGGCCAAGCTTCCTGCCATTATTATCCAGGACCTCTATACCAGGCGGTGTCAGAGGAAGGCCCTAAAAATGGTCAGACTCCAGCCACCCTAGTAATAGACTGCTACTGCACAGCAAGCGGTACCGGAGCGCCAAGTCTAGGTCCAAAAGGCTTCTTAACAGCTTCTACCTCCAAGCCTTAAGACTGCAGAACAGCTAATCAAATGGCTACCCAGACTATTTGGATTGACCCCCCCCCCCCCCCCCTTTTTTTATGCTGCTGCTACTTGCTATCTCAACCCTAGTCTTCGTGCAGACACAGGCAGGGGGTATTTATGCACTGCTTCCATTGGAAACAGAAAGGCAACCGGAAATCCAGTGACGGATCTGAATCTAAGTGCTCTCGAGGCAATTTATCACAAATTGTCTCCACCACAAAAGAGAGAACAAAATGACTGAGCTCCTTTTTTGAGATCAAGGCACTGAAACCTTCAAGGGGATATGTGCTTCCTACCAACTGAAGTGGCTATCCCTAACAAATCAATGTAACACATGTACCAGTACTTAAAAACCCCCAATGATTAGGAAATAGGCACAAACAAATGGCTTTGTAGACCAACACACAGGGGACAAAGGCTGCTTCCCTTCCAGCATCCACCAAAACAAAACCACTAAAGCTTACACAATCAAGGAAAAACCCTGAAAAAAAATGAATGCATGAGACTCTTAAAGTTTGGCTTTAACAAAGACTACCAAACAAATAGTACCACGTTGCATTCTAAGAACTGTAGCAACATAGTAGAACCCAAATTTGGCACAAATTACTACCCCTACAAGGTGCTCCAAGCTGACCGTGAACAAAACGTAAACCAAACAAAACTAATTAGGCAAATAACATACCACCAAAACCTCAGATTGGACGAGCCCCCACTGTGTTACGACCTGGCTCATATAGTTCGTAACATCAAAGGGAGAGCACAAATGACTTAAATGTAAAAGGAATACTTTTTTAATGAGAGGGAGAGAGAGGGAGAGATTTAAAATTTGGCAGTACTATTTATAAACTGACTGACGGGCCAAAACAGGACATAGTCTAAAACATTTCAAAAAGTTCCTGAAATGTTATGAACGACACCCTGTACCAACACCTCTTTTTTGGTGAACTGTATCTTTTAAACAAACATTGTGCTTGACCTTAAAGGTTATGTGGCAGGTGTGTACCATGCATAAGCATTTTTAAAAACCTTTTTGTGTGACTATACAGTATATGCGGTGATACTGTAGGCCTAGTTTTCTGTAACTGTACGGATATTTGTATTTATTATGGATCCCCATTAGTTCCTGCCAAGGCAGCAGCAACTCTTCCAGGGGTCCAGCAAAATTAAGGCAGTTCATACAATTTTTAAACATTACAATACATTCACAGATTTCACAACACACTGTGTGCCCTCAGGCCCCTACTCTACTACCACATATCTACAGTACAATATCCATGTGTACGTGTGTGTATAGTGCATATGTTATTGTGTGTGTGTGTGTGTATGTATGTGTCTGTGCCTATGTTTGTGTTGATTCACAGTCCGCGCTGTTCCATAAGGTGTATTTTTATGTTTTTTCAAATCTGATTCTACTGCTTGCATCAGTTACCTGATGTGGAATAGAGTTCCATGTAGTCATGGCTCTATGTAGTACTGTGCGCCTCCCATAGTCTGTTCTGGACTTGGGGACTGTGAAGAGACCTCTGGTGGCATGTCTTGTGGGGTATGCATGGGTGTCTGAGCTGTGTGCTAGTCGTTGAAACAGACAGCTCGGTGCACCCAACATGTCAACACCTCTCATAAACACAAGTAGTGATGAAGTCAATCTCTCCTCCACTTTGAGCCAGGAGAGATTGACAGACATATTATTGTTAGCTCTCTGTGTACATCCAAGGGCCAGCTGTGCTGCCCTGTTCAGAGCCAATTGTAATTTTCTCTCTTTGTGGCATCTGACGACACGACTGAACAGTAGTCCAGGTGTGACAAAACTAGGGCCTGTAGGACCTGCCTTGTTGATGGTTATTATTAAGAAGGCAGAGCAGCCCTTTATTATGGACATGAACTGTGTTATTCAACTACATGTCGAGCAAAACATCTTTATCGTGTGGCTCAGTTGGTGCTTGCAATCCCAGGGTTGTGGGTTCAATTCCCACGAGGGACCAGTACGAAAAATGTATGCACTCACATCCCTGTAAGTCACTCAGGATAAAAGCTAAATGACTAAAATGTCAATGTAATGTCTGTGTACATGCTGTTGATGATGTTGTGAATAAATGGGTCACCGCTGTGCTCTGTTTGATTGTGTGTCGGGTTTCTCAGTCTCAGGCGGTGGTTATAATTGATTAGGCAGGTCTGTACTAGTCGGTAGTGAATCTGATGTCACACGGACATGTCTCTCTCGCCACAGTTTCCTCCCCGCGTAACCCAACTCCTTCTAAAGAAGAACTATTGAATATAACACTGATTTCTCCTCCTACCCGTGACACTCGCCCCCCTCTCTTCCTACTCCTCCGTGACACTCGCCCCTCTCTTCCTACTCCTCCGTCACAACAGACAATAAAGCTCCCGTTGAGTTGCATTTTGGCTGGAACACGTCTCTTAGTGCAGGAGCTGTTCTATCCTTGTTGTCTTTCTCTCAGGGTTCCACAGTTTAGTTTTCAGATGAGTTAGGAGGACAGTTTTATGACTGAATATTGGTGTGTTGGCTTTGGTTTGGGGCCTAGTTTTATATCCCATGGCTATGATAAAGTATTATCCTAGTTTTAGGATGTGGTCCTTTTGTAGCTCAGTTGATAGAGCATGGTGCTTGTAACGCCAGAGTAGTGTGTTCGATTCCCAAACATGTCTAACAATCTGTTTTCGCTTTGTCATTATGGGGTATTGTGTGTAGATTGAGAGGAAAAAATAATTTTAATCTATTTTGTCATGTGGAAAAAGTCAAGGGGTGAGTACTTTCCGAAGGCACTGTATATACAGGGAGTACCAGATCAATGTGGAGCTATATACAGGGAGTACCAGTACCAGATCAATGTGGTACCAGTACCGGATCAATGTGGAGCTATATACAGGGAGTACCAGTACCAGATCAATGTGGAGCAATATACAGGGAGTACCAGTACCAGATCAATGTGCAGAGGTACTAGGTATTTGAAGGCAGGGTAAAGTGACTAGGCATCAGGATAGATAATACTAAGATATTTGAGGTAGATATGTACATGAAGGCATGGTAAAGATGGCGTAGCAGTGCGGTCGTGTACTCTAGTGTGTCCGTGTAAATAGCCTGTTTTTTTTTCTTTTGTCTCTTTTTCGTATATATTTCTCAATCACACTTTTCATCCTTCTACAAAATATACTTTCCTGCAACCCGCCTCACCCAATGTGAAACAGATTCTATTATTTATTTTACCTTTTTATCCAGAACCTCCAGTTGAAACTAGCCAGCTAACTAGCTACTTGCTATTAGCCACCGGTAGCGTTTTTCACCATTGTCCGTGGCCTGCACTACCTACCAGCCAGCTCTAGTCTGGACTATTATCGGCCAGTCTGCACAGCGCGCTATCGACCAAGAACATATCGGATTTTCTGCCGGAATCACTGGACATTAACACCGGATCATCGCAACTAGCTAGCTGCAACCGAATGGATGTTGTTGGCTAATCACCACTCATCACCACTGCCCCCGACGCAAGCACCAGTTAGCCTTGAGCTAGCCTCGAGCCACACCCATCTCCCGGCTATCTACCTCTCTGTCAACCGGACAGGACCTCCTAGTGTCGACACGGAGCCCCACCGATCCATCACGACTGGTCTGCCGACATAATCGTCTGATGTGGTTTCAACAGGCTTCCCTTTGTGACGACCACGAAGATCCATTTAGCCTCAGCCCAAACTTTCGTCGCCATTACCAGTTGTTGTCTTAGCCCTCTCTAATAACACCTGTGATTGCTTTATGCCTCTCTCCCATGTCAATATGCCTTGCCTGTTGCTGTTCCGGTTAGTTCTTATTATACAATTTCACTGTAGAGCCCCCAGTCCCGCTCAACCAGCCTCAGAGCTCCTTTGTCCCACCCCCCATACACGCGGAGACCGGCTTAATCGGTGCCTCCAGTGATGCTATCTCTTTCATCGTTACCCAACGCTTAGGTTTACCTCCACTGTACTCATATCCTTCCATATCCTTGTCTGTACATAATGCCCTGAATCTATTCTACAACGCCCGGAAATCTGCCCCTTTAATTCTCTGTACCCAACGCACTAGAAGACCGGTTCTTAAAGCCTTTAGCCGTATCCTTATTCTACTCCTCCTCTGTTCCTCTGTTGATGTAGAGGTTAACCCAGGCCCTGTAGCCCCCAGTATCACTCCTGCTCCCCAGGCGCTATCATTTGTTGACTTCTGTAACCGTAAAAGCCTTGTTTTTTTTGCATGTTAACATCAGAAGCCTCCTCCCTAAGTTTGAGTTACTCACTGCATTAGCACACTCCGCCAACCCTGATGTTCTAGCAGTGTCTGAATCCTGGCTTAGGAAGACCACCAAAAACTCTGAAATTTCCATCCCCAACTACAACATTTTCCGTCTAGATAGAACTGCCAAAGGGGGCGAGTTGCAATCTACTGTAGAGAGAGCCTGCAGAGCTCTATCATACTATCCAGGTCTGTGCCCAAACAGTTTGAGCTTCTACTTCTAAAAATCCACCTTTCCAGAAATACATCTCTCACTGTTGCCGCTTGCTACAGACCCCCCTCAGCCCCCAGCTGTGCCCTGGACACCATATGTGAATTGATTGCCCCCCATCTATCCTCAGAGATCGTACTGCTTGGTGACCTAAACTGGGATATGCTTAACACCCCGGGCGTCCTACAATCTAAACTAGATGCCCTCAATCTCACACAAATTATCAAGGAACCTACCAGGTACAACCCTAAATCTGTAAACATGGGCACCCTCATAGATATCATCCTGACTAATTTACCCTCTAAATACACCTCCGCTGTCTTCAACCAGGATCTCAGCGATCACTATGGGTCCGCGGTCAAACGACCACCCCTCATCACTGTCAAATGCTCCCTAAAACACTTTAGCGAACAGGCCTTTCTAATTGACCTGGCCCGGGTATCCTGGATGGATATTGACCTCATTCCGTCAGTAGAGGATGCCTGGATGTTCTCAAAAGTGCTTTCTTCTCCATCTTAAATAAGCATGCCCCATTCAAAAAATTCTGAACTAAGAACAGATATAGCCCCTGGTTCACCCCAGACTTGACTGCCCTTGACCAGCACAAAAACATCCTGTGGCGTACTGCATTAGCATTGAACAGCCCCCACGATATGCATTTTTTCTGGGTAGTCAGGAACCAATATACACAATCAGTCAGGAAAGCAAAGGCTAGCTTTTTCAAACAGAAATCTGCATTCTGTAGCACTAACTCCAAAACATTTTGAGACGCTGTAAAGTCCATGGAGAATAAGAGCACCTCCTCCCAGCTGCCCACTGCACTGAGGCTAGGAAACACTGTCACCACCGATAAATCTACGATAATCGAGAATTTCAATAAGCATTTTGCTACGGCTGTCCATGCTTTCCACCTGGCTACCCCTACACTGGCCACCAGCTCTGTCCCCCCCCCCCCCCCCCCCCCCCCCCCCCCCCCCCCCCCCTGCATCTCCTTCACCCACATCCAGATAGCTGATGTTCTGAAAGAGCTGCAAAATCTGGACCCCTACAAATCAGCTGGGCTAGACAATCTGGACCCTTTTCTTTCTAAAATTAGCAGCCGAAATTGTAGCAACCCCTATTACCAGCCTGTTCAACCTCTCTTTCGTATCGTCTGAGATCCCCAGAGATTGGAAAGCTGCTGCGGTCATCCACCTCTTCAAAGGAGGTGACACTCTAGATCCAAATTGTTACAGACCTATATCCATCCTGCCCTGCCTTTCGAAAGTATTTGAAAGCCAAATTAACAAACAGATCACCATCCATTTCGAATCCAACTGTACCTTCTCCGCTATGCAATCTGGTTTCCGAGCTGGTCATGGGTGCACCTCAGCCACGCTAAAGGTCCTAAACGATATTATAACCGTGATCGATAAAAGACAGTACTGTGCAGTCGTCTTCATCGACCTGGCCAAGGCTTTCGACTCTGTCAATCACTGCATTCTTATTGGCAGACCTAAATAGCCTGGGTTTCTCAAATGACTGCCTCGCCTGGTTCACCAACTACTTCTCAGATAGAGTTCAATGTGTCAAATCGGAGGGCCTGTTGTCTGGACCTCTGGCAGTCTCTATGGGGGTGCCACAGGGTTCAATTCTCGGGCCGACTCTATTCTCTGTGTATGTCAATGATGTCGCTCTTGCTGCTGGTGACTCTCAGATCCACCTCTATGCAGACAATACCCTTTTGTATACATCTGGCCCTTCATTGGACACTGTGTTAACAAACCTCCAAACGAGCTTCAATGCCATAAAGCACTCCTTCCGTAGCCTCCAACTGCTCTTAAACGCTAGTAAAACTAAATGCCTGCTCTTCAATCGAACGCTGCTTGCACCCGCCTGCCCGACTAGAATCACTACTCTCGGCGGGTCTGACTTAGAATATGTGGACAACTACAAATACCTAGGTGTCTGGTTAGACCGTAAACTCTCCTTCCAGACTCACATTAAGCATCTCCAATCCAAAGTGAAATCTTGAATCGGCTTCCTATTTTGCAACAAAGCCTCCTTCACTCATGCTGCCAAACATGCCCTCGTAAAACTGACTATCCTGCCGATCCTTGACTTCGGCAATGTCATTTACAAAATAGCCTCCAACACTCTACTCAGCAAATTGGATGTAGTCTATCACAGTGCCATCCGTTTTGTCACCAAAGCCCCATATACTACCCACCATTGTGACCTGTACGCTGTCGTTGGCTGGCCCTCACTACATATTCGTCGCCAAACCCACTGGCTCCAGGTCATCTATAAATCACTGCTAGGCAAATCCCCGCCTTATCTTAGCTCATTGGTCACCATTGCAACACCCACCCGTAGTATGCGCTCCAGCAGGTATATCTCATTGGTCATCCCCAAAGCCAACACCTCCTTTGGCCGCCATTCCTTCCAGTTCTCTGCTGCAAATGACTGGAACGAATTGCAAAAATCTCTGAAGCTGGAGACACTTATCTCCCTCACTAACTTTAAGCATCAGTTGTCAGAGCAGCTTACCGATCACTGCACCTGTACACAGCCCATCTGAAATTAGCCCACCCAACTACCTCATCCCCCATATTGTTATTTATTTTGCTCATTTGCACTCCAGTATCTCTATTTGCACATCTTCTTCTGCACATCTATCACCCCAGTGTTAATACTAAATTGTAATTATTTTGCACTATGGCCTATTTATTGCCTTACCTCCATAACTTACTACATTTGCACACACAGTATATAGATTTTATTTTGTGTTATTGACTGTATGTTTTGTTTTATCCCAAGTGTAACTCTGTGTTGTTTTTATCGCACTGCTTTGCTTTATCTTGGCCAGGTCGCAGTTGTAAATGAGAACTTGTTCTCAACTGGCTGGTTAGTGTTACCAACTGGCTTACCTGGTTAAATAAAGGTGGGAAAAAAAAAAAATGACTGACTAGGCATCAGGATAGATAATAATAAGGTATTTGAGGTAGATATGTACATGAAGGCAGGGTAAAGTGACTAGGCATCAGGATAGATAATAATAAGGTATTTGAGGTAGATATGTACATGAAGGCAGGGTAAAGTGACTAGGCATCAGGATAGATAATACTAAGGTATTTGAGGTAGATATGTACATGAAGGCAGGGTAAAGTGACTAGGCATCAGGATAGATAATACTAAGGTATTTGAGGTAGATATGTACATGAAGGCAGGGTAAAGTGACTAGTCATCAGGATAGATAATAATAAGGTATTTGAGGTAGATATGTACATGAAGGCAGGGTAAAGTGACTAGGCATCAGGATAAAAAAAAAAAAAAAATAATAATAATAATACAAGTAAAATAAAGACCTGAGTAGCAGCAGCATGTAAAGTGTGTGCATATGAAGTTTGTATGTCTGTCTAGTGAGTCAGTGCAGGAATGTTAAAGGATAGAGACGGAGGACAGTGGTGTCAGAGGGTTAGAATGAATGGGATGCCTGTGGTGGGGCACTACCATTATAAAGCCTAGAGAATGATGATCTGAATGTGAGGTACCCTACCCATATAGGGCCTCAGTGTTGGGTAGTAATGGTGGTTCACTTTTACTATTTTTAGGAGACAAGGTGTAATTCTAACCTTGGATATTTTGGATTTGTCACGACCGTCTTGAAATGAAGCGGGCCAAGGCGCAGCGTTGAATGCGTACATATTATTTATTAAACAGATCACACGATCAAAACAACGAACGAAACGTGAAGTCCTTCGATACACACAAACCAAAAGGAACAAGAAACCACAACCACAAAGTGAAAACAGACAGTTTAAATATGGCTCCCAATCAGAGACAACCAGAAAACAGCTGACACTCGTTGCCTCTGATTGGGAGTCACTTAGGCCAACACAGAAAACAACAACCTAGAAAACCCAACATAGAAACAACCCACACAGAACGAACACACCCTGGCTCAACATACAGAGTCCCGGAGCCAGAGCGTGACAGTACCCCCCCCTAAAGGCGCGGACTGCGACCGCGCCTCAAAAATAGCAAAACAGGGGAGGGCTGGGTGGGCATACTTCCTCGGTGGCGGTTCCGGCTCCGGGCTTGACCACCACCCCTCCATAATCCCCCCGTAGCGCCCCTGATCCGGTCTGACCCCGCTGGCTGGATCTGGACTGGACATCGACGGAGCAGATTGCTTAACCTCCGTTGTGGAGCAGCTGACCTGTACCTGATCAGGCACCGGACTGACGACGCGCACCCCTGGCTTGGCGCGTGAGGCAGGAACGGACCGGACCTGGCTGACGATGCGCACCCCTGGCTCGGTGCGTGGAGCAGCAACGGACCGGACCGGGCTGACGATACGCACCCCTGGCTTGGTGCGTGGAGCCGGAACGGGCCTCACCGGACTGACTGCTCGCATCCCTGGCTTGGTGCGAGTAGCAGGAACAGGCCGGACCGGGCTGGCGACGCGCACCGTAGGTTTGGTGCGAGTGGCATGAACAGGCCGGGTCGGGCTGGCGACGCGCACCGTAGGTTTGGTGCGAGTGGCAGGAACAGGCCGGGTCGGGCTGGCGACGTGCACCGTAAACTTGGTGCGGGTGGCAGGAACAGGCCGGACAGAGCTGACGAAACGCACCACAGACTTGGTGCGGGGAGCAGGAACAGGCCGGACAGGGCTGACGACGCGCACCACAGACTTGGTGCGGGGAGCAGGAACAGGCCGGGCCGGGCTGACGACACGCACCACAGGCTCGATGCGAGGAACAGGAACAGGCCGGACCGTACTGGGGACACACACCACTGGCCCTACGCAGGGATCAGGAACGGGCCGGACCGGACTGGTAACACACCCCAGTACCTCTCGCCGTGCCTCCACACTTTCCCTCTCCTCTGTGACCGGTGGCCCCCTTAACCTGGCGGCCCTCTCTGCCAACCTTCTGCACCACTCTATCCCGTACTCCTGCTGCCCCGTCGTCCACGGCGTGAGCCCCCCCCTAAAACATTTCTGGGCTTGTCTCTCCCCCGTGGACCAGGCCTCCATGGTTCTCGTCCAATTCTCTCTCCACTTTTCGTAATTCCAGCCTTTCTCCTCATCACGCTGCTTGACCCAGTCGTGGTGGTTTCTTCTGTCACGACCGTCTTGAAATGAAGCGGGCCAAGGCGCAGCGTTGAATGCGTACATATTATTTATTAAACAGATCACACGATCAAAATAATGAACGAAACGTGAAGTCCTTCGATACACACAAACCAAAAGGAACAAGAAACCACAACCACAAAGTGAAAACAGACAGTTTAAATATGGCTCCCAATCAGAGACAACCAGCTGACACTCGTTGCCTCTGATTGGGAGTCACTTAGGCCAACACAGAAAACAACAACCTAGAAAACCCAACATAGAAACAACCCACACAGAACGAACACACCCTGGCTCAACATACAGAGTCCCGGAGCCAGAGCGTGACAGGATTAGTGTATGTTTAACACTTTTTTAAATCGAGACAAATATGAATTTGTTTGTGATGGATTTAGTTCAGTGCATTTTCGGACACCAAAAAGCCAGATTTGATTATGGTAACTAAGCGTACATAATATTTACTCTGCATCAAGCGACTTCTTCAAAACTAACCAAAGTTATAATAAAAACAAACTATACACCAGTCTAGTATACATAGAATTTCCTGCAAATTAAACTAAATTAGACCCTGAAAAGTTGACGCTTCTATTTCAGAACTGTTCCCAAAAGCCCATATTGAAGTCCATATGGAAATGCAACAAACTGCTATTTTTATGCAGAATAAAGAACTTAAACTTTCAGAAGTTTTGAGGTCGAGAGATTTTTAAGTTTAATTTCAAATGCAGAAAATGATACATTCAGACTTACAGTTGAAGTCGGAAGTTTACATAAACTTAGGTTGGAGTCATTTAAACTCGTTTTTCAACCACTCCACAAGTTCTTGTTAACAAGCTATAGTTTTGGCAAGTCGGTTAGGACATCTACTTTGTGCATGACACAAGTAATTTTTCCAACAGTTGTTTAGACAGATTATTTCACTTATAATTCACTGTATCACAATTCCAGTGGATCAGAAGTTTACATACACTAAGTTGACTGTGCCTTTAAAAAGCTTGGAAAATTCCAGAAAATGATGTCATGGCTTTAGAAGCTTCTGATAGGCTAATTGACATCCATTTGATTCAATTGGAGGTGTACCTGTGGATGTATTTCAAGGCCTACCTTCAAACTCAGTGCCTCTTTGCTTGACATCATGGGAAAATCAAAAAATTATAGACCTCCACAAGTCTGGTTCATCCTTGGGAGCAATTTCCAAATGCCTGAAGGTACCACATTCATCTGTACAAACAATAGTACGCAAGTATAAACACCATGGGACCACACAGCCGTCATATGTGGATATATTGAAGCAACGTCTCAAGACATCAGTCAGGAAGTTAAAGCTTGGTCGCAAATGGGTCTTCCAAATGGACAATGACCCCAAGAATACTTCCAAAGTTGTGGCAAAATGGCTTAAGGGCAACAAAGTCAAGGTATTGGGGTGGCCATCACAAAGCCCTGACCTCAATCCTATAGAAAATGTGTGCGAGCAAGGAGGCCTACAAACCTGACTCAGTTACACCAGCTCTGTCAGGAGGAATGGGCCAAAATTCACCCAACTTATTGTGGGAAGCTTGTGGAAGGCTACCCGAAACGTTTGACCCAAGTTAAACAATTTTAAAGGCAATGCTACCAAATACTAATTGAGTGTATGTAAACTTTTGACCCACTGGGAATGTGATGAAAGAAATAAAAGCTGAAATAAATAATTCTCTCAACTATTATTCTGACATTTCACATTCTTAAAATAAAGTGGTGATCCTAACTGACCTAAGACAGGGAATTTTTACTAGGATTAAATGTCAGGAATTGTGAAATACTGAGTTGAAATGTATTTGGCTAAGGTGTATGTAAACTTCCGACTTCAACTGTATGTAAATGAAGGATTTCTAGGATCTACCACTGTGGCGTTCTAACACTATTTTCTAATCTTTCAGAGCTTTCCATGCGGGTGGCGATCAGAAGGTAAGAGTGTCTGCCTTGCATCCCAAACACCACCATATTCCCTATATAGTGCACTACTCTATCAGGGCTCAGGTCAAAAGTAGTAACCTACACATGGAAAAGGGTTTCAGATTCACATTTTAATGTCTGTGTTAACTCACACCTCTGAAACCCTGTGACGGTGATGCTTCTGCAATGTGAATGAACAGATCCCTGTCTTCACTAGGCAGTGAATAAACAGTCGGTCAAGTCCTATCTAGTTCATAGTCCAAACATTTATTACGCTCTATGACAGTGCTTACATACAGTTTTCCCTACAGCCTGTTAATATTGTGGTGTCAGATGAGAGGAATTCACTTTTGTGTTTTGGCTCCTAGTGGCCTCTCAACAACCTACACCATCGCCTTGCATCTAAAGTCGTTCAGTCATTGTGATTCAATCCCCCATCGGGCTGTCAGCTGGTTCATAGCACACATTGCACAAGCAGCAGCCAGTTATACGTTTGTTTGTTTGTTGAGGTGAAATGATTATAGTATTAGTTATACACGTGAGTGGCCCTAAAGAGCACAATCCCAGACTCAATAATATGTGAAAGGCAACAATAATGTTATCATGACACTTTTTCATTTCAACCCAATGTATTCATTATCATGCGACGTTCATAGTTCAAGCCCTATTATGGAAATGCAGTATTATTTCCATCGAAGGCAGTACAATGAAACATCTTACCCCTAGTGGACATTGTGTCAGACACAATGAGAAATCCCAGCTGAGGAAAACACTGTTCAACTCAAAGTTCAGTGAACATTTTGGAAATCTATTTAAGTGTTAAGTGTCATAGCCAAGCTAACAGAGACCGAGGAAGAACCTTAGTGGGACAAACTCCAGCTTTGCAAGATAAACGTAGTTGCTTTCCAAATGGCACCCTATTCCCTATATAGTGCACTGCTATGGGTAGTCAATGGGTCAAAAGTATTATAGTGAAATGGGGTACCATCTGGGATGCAGGCCGTGAGTCACACGTCTTCCCTCCACACAGAGAGACCGAGCTGGCCTTGGCAAGGCCCTGATCTTGCAACACATACTGATGTTATGAGTCATGTTGAGGCTAACAGAGTTGGTTTTCAGCAGATATGGGATTGATACAGTACACTACACTTAGCTAGGGCTCTCACAATTTATGCACACGTGTGTGTGTGTGTGTGTGTGTGTGTGTTTGTCTAACTGCATGTTATTTGCTGTGGTTTTTGCCCCTGTGTCTCCCCCCCTCTCTCACACCCTGTAGGATTCGCTCGCCCCCGCCTACGTTCAGCCCAAATACTCCTTTGCCCCCAGCACCGCTATCAACAAGATGGCGCGGCCATTCACGCCGGGCGGCGGTAACACGGTCATTAAACCGGTGGCGTACGCCCCTAAAGTAAACACCCCGGCCTCAACGGCCCGCACCAGCATGCTACAGCCACACAACGGGTAGGTACACAACAAACAAACAAACAAACAAACAAACAAACACAAAGCCTCCGCTGGGAGAGAACAGACCAAATGTTTTCACTGTATTTGAGTTCTGAAACAAGTCACTCTGGGTTCCTGTGGAAGGTATACATTTAGTATACATTTCAGCTCTGAGTCATTCAGGTAACTCTGGGGAGGAGACATTTCTGACTGCACCTTTAAGAGTGAAGGTTGAGTTGCAGTAAGATTGATGATCTGATCAGAAGAGTCCTTCTCCTGGTCTGTTGGGAGCAGACTGTTGAGTAGAATACAGGAAATAAAATGGACTTCCATCAGCCAAAGGCTTCAACTGTGTCTTATTGGCTAGAGGGAGAACATTCTCTTTGTCTTATTGGCTAGAGGGAGAACATTCTATTTTGTCTTATTGGCTAGAGGGAGAACATTCTCTTTGTCTTATTGGCTAGAGGGAGAACATTCTATTTTGTCTTATTGGCTAGAGGGAGAACATTCTCTTTGTCTTATTGGCTAGAGGGAGAACATTCTCTTTGTCTTATTGGCTAGAGGGAGAACATTCTCTTTTGTCTTATTGGCTAGAGGGAGAACATTCTCTTTTGTCTTATTGGCTAGAGGGAGAACATTCTCTTTTGTCTTATTGGCTAGAGGGAGAACATTCTCTTTTGTCTTATTGGCTAGAGGGAGAACATTCTCTTTTGTCTTATTGGCTAGAGGGAGAACATTCTCTTTTGTCTTATTGGCTAGAGGGAGAACATTATCTTTTGTCTTATTGGCTAGAGGGAGAACATTCTCTTTTGTCTTATTGGCTAGAGGGAGAACATTCTCTTTTGTCTTATTGGCTAGAGGGAGAACATTCTCTCCACATGTAGTCATTATTCCTGCGTTTAACATTCCTAAGCGACCAATATGTACATCTGTCTAAAAGTTCCAAGAGTTCTTTCTCATTTAGTTCTGGAGGATGAACCGTGGTGTGTTCTCCAGACCAGAGGTTCCCAAACCTTTTCACTCAGGTCCCCCTTCCATCATTGGGGAACATCCCGCACCCCGGGGATGTTTTTGGAACTCAACGCGCCCCCTATTTCTAAAGCCTCTGTCCATGACTGCGTCCCAAATGTCACCCTATTCCCTATATAGTGCACTACTTTTGACCAGGGGGGCTCTGGTCAAAAGTAGTGCACTATATAGGGAATAGGGTGCCATTTGGGACTAATAAATGATTTCATCTCTGGCTTGCGTTAACCAGCTGTGAACTGCTCCGTTCTGTTAACAAACTGTAACATGTTGTAAGACTGACATCACGTCTGACGTAGAAGTCATGGCTTTCAGCAGTTTTATTTCCTCCTCTTCCAAACCGGCCAAGTACTGTAGTTAAGTGTTCACACGATACACACCACGGAGAATAGACAACCTGTATACTGCTTTACAAGGGTTTCAGATGTTCTATGTCGGGCCGAAAGGACCCTTAAGGGAAAAGCCACATGGATTTAATGTGATCTAATGTGAAGTTCATGTGATAACATGGGAAAACATGTAAAGCAACGTGTGGTTTCATGTTATCACATGTGAAGCGTTCCAAAAACACGTCTTCACATGATTTTACATGTGAAATTTCACGTGAGAATCATGTGGTTTTTCCTGTAAGGGGAGTACTTTTCTCCTATAACATGACTTGGCCTGTGTCCTTAATGACACCCTATTCTCCCTATACACTGATTGTACAAAACATTAAGGGCACTTGCTCTTTCCTTTTTGGGTGTAGGCAACTTAATGGTTTGTACACTCCGTGTATAGCTCTGGTCAAAAGTAGTGCACTATATAGTAAATTCTCCACAGGGTGGTCAGACCAGGCGTTACTGTACGGTTTTTACAAATCTTGGTTGGAAGATTCCTGGAATCAGGAGGGAATATGTAGGAAATCCAGAATTCTCTGATCAGGATTTCTGGAAAACCAGTCAGTTTTTGGGAAAGTTTTGAAGGATTTTGCAACCCTTGTTCCATGCCTGATACTTGGTACACGGTCTACGGTCACCGTGGTGTGTCGGGGGATGGGATAGGATGGGGTTTAAGGTCTGACGAGGTTTTGGCGAGGTCTAGATGTTGTCTGTGGCTGCATTTAGCCGTGCCGTGCCGTGCTGTGCTCAGGACCCCTCCCGTAGAATCTGCTGAGCTGTCAGAATGGTTTTACTGTGGCGGTGCTGCGTTACCAAACTAGCCTTACTTGGAGAAGTCACATGGACCTGATCAAGCCTGATCTGTATAGCTCTCATGCTTTCACTGTCTAAAGCATAGCATAGAGAGAGAGAGGTTAGAAACACTAGTTTACTAAAATTCAACGTTTTAATGATTGGTCATTTTAAGTTGTTATGAACGGTTAAGGCCCACATCTGTATTCTGTATAGCTCTTCTCATGCTTTCAGTGTCGCAAGCACAGCATACTGAGAGAGCGAGGGGGAAATTAGGGTTTATAACACTAGAAACAGTTGAGTCTATCGAAAAAGCTTCAAATTCAACCAGTGTTCTTTTATAAGACCATATGAATCTATTCTATGAAGAGTCATACAAGTGTTGTGAACAGTTTTTTTTTTTTAAAGACACAGTTAGTACTTAAGTTTAAAGGAGTAAGTAGTCTTTCCTCCAGAAGTCTTAGGTTGCCCGCCACAGTATTCGGCAGGAGTCTATAAACTGCCACTCCTTCACACAGCTGTTTTCTTATGACAGGGGCTAAATCATGCAGAGTCCTACTATTCCTGTTCAGAACTAATCTGTGATTTACTACAAGGCAGGGTTGTATGGAACGCCGTTTGGGTCTTTACGTGTCAAAAAGAAGATGGACGTCAAATAACACTTTGACGCATCAAATAAGCTTGTTGACCAATCAGGACCTGGATATGATATTTTTTTACATAGTTATTACACATTGATTACACTGTCACTCATATGTCATATGTAACAGCGATTCACCGATACGTGTGCTATGATACTGGGAAAGTTATGTCTTGTACACCTGCCGCTGCCGAACGAGGCAGACTGGGACAGTGCTGGTCAAAAACAAAAGCTAGCTAGCTGATGGGGATGCAAACAATGTTCTACCCCCAAAACATAGCAAAACAACAATCTGTTTCAGTAGCTATAGTTAGATAGCTAACTATCTAGCTAGGGGTCGTCATCTAAAATAACCCTAATTTATAAGACAGTTTTCGTATTTGGCTGATGATGGTCAGAGCCACTAGCCAGCTAGCTTGCTAGCTGCTTATAATATTAGCTTGGGGCAACAGGGTTAAGTAGCTGGCTAGTTTGTTATCTAGCTGGCTAGTTATTTTCATGAACTGAGGTTATATTTCAATAAGAGAACAACAAGTGGCTGCCTAACTAACACTGTCACATGGACTCCTAAATCATTGCTAAGAATATTGAAAATGATTGCATTTTCTGGTCATTGTTTTCAGGCTGGTTGCATTGGTTCTAGCAAGGTACCAAGCTAAAGCTAGCTAGCTACCCCAGAAGTTGCTAATAACATGGAAGATATTTGTGAGTGACTTTGTCATACTGCAAACCGATCAACGTAGTAGAGAGACCGCCTTCCTCCAGTTCTCAAACTGTCGTCAATGTTGACACAATGCTTGGTTGTTATTCGGTATTTTGACCAGGTTAGGATGAATCAGGTTGGGGTGTGGCTGGCTGGCTGGTTGGCAGAGGCAGCAGGATCACCATCCTTTCTCCCCTGCCTCTGGAATGGTTGCATGTCGTGGAGATTGTTGGACTGCCTTAACATTTTGTAATCCTGATAGTTTGATCCTCATCTTATTTTGTTATGCTCACAGACGTTTTTCTCATTTGGTCGAACAAATAGTGGTTTATTACCAACGTGGTATTGTAAACCCGTTGTGGCCGGTGACTTTGTTCAGGTGCAGCTTTGACAGTGCTGCTGACCGGATTGGTGCTGCTGACCGGATTGGTGCTGCTGACCGGATTGGTGCTGCTTGACTTGCGCATGCAACATTCTATAATATCATTTTGTTAATTTGACGTGCATCTTTTTTGATACGCAAAGACCCAAATGGCGTTAGGGTAAATTCCATTTAAATTCAGGAAGTAAACTGAAATTACAATTCAAATTGTTTCTCATCGAGAAGCTTTGAGGATAATTGAAATTGAAATTTTACTTCCCGAATTGACTGGGTTGAAATGGAATATCCCAACCCTGCTGGAAGGTATTCGGAAGAACATATTTGAATTTGAGGTCTTTCCCACTACACAGTAGTAATCTAGTATGTGGGTATACTAGGTCGTTTTGGCATGGCTGGGTGATACAGCACAAAGCAGGGAATGTGTCCAATGTCTAGGCATGTTGTATACTAGCAGGTCTGGTGTATTTGCACAGAGCTTACCCTGCTGTCATGACGCATCAGTCTAATGAGCACTAGCTAGGATGAATCAGGTTGGGGTGTGGCTGGCTGGTTGGCAGAAGCAGCGGGGACTCTAAGCAAAAAAAAGTATTACTGCGTCCTTATGGAAGTGTGTACACAATGGACATATTGGACTTTCCGGTTGGTCGTAAATAAGTTCGAATTGGAATTGTACACCGTTTGATGGAATAAATATATGGGCCAGATAATTATTGTAAAAGAGAATGTGTTTTCAATGACTTACCTGGTTAAACAAAGGCAAAAATAAAGAAATCGTTTTAGAATTTAGGAACAGTCAATACAGACGTCAACTTGAACCGGATCCGTTGTAGATCAGGTGAGAGGAAGCCGTGGACACTGGATGCGCGTCCCAGATGTGTCACACAGCCTGCCTGCCTGCCTGCACGTTTTCTGTGAAAGTCTCTGAGTCCGCGTCATCAGAACACCCCATGCTGTGTGTCTTTGACAGAACCCGTCAACAATGAAAGCCTGTGTGTGTTTTCACCCCCACTGCATGATTCTCTGCATCCCACAACAACTCTGTCTCCTCACTGTTGACTGTTCTCTGCAACTATTGTTGATTTGAAAAGTTCTTCCAAGCTGTTGTCATCTTGTTTTTCCAAACTGACCTTTTTACCCCCCCATCTTCTTTCCCTCCTCTCTTCTTTCACTCCGCAGATGGATGAGAAGTCAGTAAACTCTCTTTACTTCCTTTTTACTTGAATGTTAAATCAGTGTTTTCCTGTCAGTAGCTGAGCTAGTGGTCAGTAATGATTAGTGGTATTTCTACTAGCAGTATTAGTAACAGTTCATTAATCATTGGCTAATCATTCATTTTTCAGAATTCTTCATCTTTAACAGTATTTCTCTCTTTCTCCTGTGATTTGTTGTTCATTCTGTCGATTACTACCTCATCCTCTCCTACCTCTCCTCTCTTCATCTCCTCTTCCTCCTACCGCTTCACCCCTTTTCTTCCTCCTCCTCCTCCCCCCTACAGAGATGATCAACCTTTCTATGATCACCAGATTTACCAACACGAGAAGTAAGAGACTGATGCATTATGGTCCAGCCTGTTTGACCGCTGGTCACTAGACAGACATGTTAGAGAGGACATATTGACATGGTTAAAGAGAGGACATATTGACATGGTGTTGGACAGACATGTTAGAGAGGACATATTGACATGGTTAAAGAGAGGACATATTGACATGGTGTTGGACAGACATGTTAGAGAGGACATATTGACATGGTGTTAGACAGACATGTTAGCGAGGACATATTGACATGGTGTCAGACAGCATGGTAGAGAGGACATATTGACATGGTGTTGGACAGTCATGGTAGAGAGGACATATTCGAGGACATATGCCAGTTGAATATGATATTGAGTTGCATCCGAAATGGCACCCTATTCCCTACGTAGTGCACTACTTTTGACCAGGGATCTAGGGCTCTTGTGTTTGTCTGTGTGTTTGTCTGTGTGTGTGTGTGTGTGTGTGTGTGTGTGTGTGTGTTTGAGGAGCCAACACTAAAAACCCTAAGGATGATCATCTGCTGGATGCATAATCAGTGCATGGTAATGTTTTCTAATTAGTGGCCATCGTTCTTTGCTTGCCCGTCGCTGGGTTCACGTCATGGTGGTTTCATCATTGTGATAATGCCATGTCTGTGTGTAGGCACGGTTTGTTACGTTAACGTTGTTGGAAACTTGCGTGTGTGCTGGGCATGGTACGTTGTTGTTAATGTTATTTTAACGTTGTGGTGACGTTGGGTGTGTACTAGGCATGGTACGTTGTTGTTAATGTTATATTAACGTTGTGGTGACGTGGGGTGTGTACTAGGCATGGTCCGTTGTTGTTAATGTTATTTTAACGTTGTGACGTGGGGTGTGTACTAGGCATGGTCCGTTGTTGTTAATGTTATTTTAACGTTGTGGTGACGTTGGGTGTGTACTAGGCATGGTACGTTGTTGTTAATGTTATTTTAACGTTGTGGTGACGTGGGGTGTGTACTAGGCACGGTCTGCGGGTGGATGGCATCCCCATGTTCATCCCCAACGACCGCAGCAAGAAGAGGCTGATCGAGGACACTCAGGATTGGCAGCCCCGCACAGGCACCACCCAGTCACGCTCCTTCCGCATGCTGGCCCAGCTCACAGGCACCGACTACAGTAAGTCGGAGAGGGAGAGGTCAGATAGAGGGGGGGGTGTCGGTGGTCGAGAAGCGTAGGAGGGAGGGAGAGAAGCGTAGGAGGGAGGGAGGGAGGGAGGGAGGGAGAGAGAAGTGTCGGTGGTCGAGAGTGAGTGAGTGAGTGAGCGATGTCTCTTGTAACATAACATTCTGATTGTGTTTTTTTCCTGGCTCTCAGTGCAGGACCCAGACGATGAGACAATGAAGAGGGCCAGGTAAACAACCTGTTGACCGGTATAACCTGTCTGTTATAAAGCTCCAGTTGACTGGTATAGCCTGTGTGTTTAAAGGCTGTGTGTTTAAAGGCTGTGTGTTACTGTAAAGTTACGGCTGATGCTGACATGCTTGTGTGTTAGAGCTAACGATAAAGGTACACTCTGCAAGATGAATCATTACACACACGAGGAAACTTCCTACTTCGCAATGTGGGCGTGCCACAGTTGATGATGATGATGATGATTTCTTCATCTTGCTGAGTTCACCTTTTTTAAAGACCTTCTAGTTGAACTCAACAGTTGAGTTATGGACATCCGCTGCTTTCAGCTCTAGCATGTGGTTTGGTGTGTGAGTTATACAGGTGTTGTTCCAGGACCACTTTTGTAGCTTTTCTCTGTCCCCATATTGAGTTGTGATGTAGTTTTACCATTTCCGTTGCGTGGTGAATTGTCTGTCTGTTAGGAAATGAAGACATAACTCTATCAATTTTCTCTCTCTCTCGTGGTGGTTAGGGAAAAGTTCCTTACAGAGATTCAGAGCCCCCGTTATGCCCGTCTGAGGGACTGGCACCACGAGAGGTCCGCACGCGCCCTCAACATCAAGTCCTGAGCGTCACCATGGCAACATGCAACGCAGGGCCGGAGCCCTAGCGATCGATAGCCATTCACAACGACGACAATGACTAAAACGACAAACGACGATAGCCCGATAATCCAGACAACACACCAGATATACAGAGGAGGGGAGAAAAAAATAAGTTATTAAAAAAAATAAAGATGAGGAATCTATGATCACTAAAGCCATACGTGGAACCATTGCATACTGAGCCTGTCTGACTGCCAGATTCACTTCTTCTCCTGGAGTTGATGAGTTAGTAGTGTTGATAACATCTTGTGGATCACCTTGTGTTTGTAGCAGACCTGGGGCCAACACATACGTCAAATACATTGATTGATTGATTGATTGATTGATTGATTGATTGATTGATTGATTGATCAAATATCTGAGGTGCAGGGGGGAGTTTGAACTTTGGGACTGTTCTATTGGTCCCATTGTCCCGGAGCAATCCAAATCAAGTGCGCCTCAAGACTTCTACAGTATTTGACGTTATGTATCTGACCAAGGTCTGGTTTGTAGTCCTGTTCCGCATAGTAAACTGTGTTACTCAGAGTTATCTAAACGGGGAGGAGGGGGGGTCACAGCTGTTGGAACAGCACCGTTAAGGCTGTTCTTCCTGTTCTATTCTGATTCTGTAGTTTAGTTCCAGAACCTTCTTTTGATCTAAACTCTCTCTCTCTTTCTTAGCTCTGTGTTTTTGAGTTCTGCTCTCTTTTTCTGTTTTCATTTTCTGAACTATGTCCTTGTTCTTTAGTCACCTCCCTCTGATAAGAAATGGAAAGAGAAATAAATATGTACTTTGTTTTTTCTGCTGCTGTCATAAAACATTTGAAAACACCCCGTCCTCCTGCTATCTGTCATTTATCTTTCTCTGCTTGCTTCTTCTTTACTGCACTGTACTCCACAATACTGCACTGTACTCCACAATACTATACTGTACTCCACAATACTATACTGTCCTCCACAATACTATACTGTCCTCCACAATACTATACTGTCCTCCACAATAATATACTGTACTCCACTATACTGTTACTCCCCAATACTATACTGTACTCCACAATACTATACTGTACTCCACAATACTATACTGCACTCCCCTATACTATACTGCGCTCCCCAATACTATACTGTTACTCCACAATACTATACTGTACTCCCCAATACTATACTGTTACTCCACAATACTATACTGCACTCCCCTATACTATACTGCGCTCCCCAATACTATACTGTTACTCCACAATACTATACTGTACTCCCCAATACTATACTGCGCTCCCCAATACTATACTGCACTCCACAATACTATAATGTACTCCCCAATACTATACTGTTACTCCCCAATACTATACTGCACTCCACAATACTATACTGTTACTCCACAATACTATACTGCACTCCCCAATACTATACTGTTACTCCCCAATACTATACTGTACTCCCCAATACTATACTGTTACTCCCCAATACTATACTGTACTCCCCAATACTATACTGTTACTCCCCAATACTATACTGCACTCCACAATACTATACTGCACTCCACAATACTATACTATACTCCCATATACTGTACTCCACAATACTGTACTCCACTATACTGTTACTCCACAATACTATACTGTACTCCCCAATACTATACTGTTACTCCACAATACTATACTGCGCTCCCCGATACTATACTGTACTCACAATACTATACTGCACTCCACAATACTATACTGTACTCCCCTATACTGTACTCACAATACTATACTGCGCTCCACAAAACTATACTGTTACTCCACAATACTATACTGTTACTCCGCAATACTATACTGCGCTCCACAATACTGTACTCACAATACTATACTGCACTCCACAATACTATACTGTTACTCCACAATACTATACTGTTACTCCACAATACTATAATGTTACTCCACAATACTATAATGTTACTCCACAATACTATACTGCGCTCCCCAATACTATACTGTACTCACAATACTATACTGCACTCCACAATACTATACTGTACTCCACAATACTATACTGCACTCCACAATACTATACTGTACTCCACAATACTATACTCCACTTCACAATACTATACTGCGCTCCACAATACTGTACTCGCAATACTATACTGCACTCCACAATACTATACTGCACTCCACAATACTATACTGTACTCCACAATACTATACTGTACTCCACAATACTATACTCCACTCCACAATACTATACTATACTCCCCAATACTGCGCTCCACAATACTATACTGCACTCAGCGATACTCGACCATTATACTTTACCATGCAATACTCATTATACTGTATAATACTATATCATGCAATACTCATTATACTGTATAATACTATATCATGCAATACTCATACTGTATAATACTATATCATGTAATACTCGTTATACTGTATAGTACTATCATGCAATATTACCTACTGTTATGTAATAGTCTCCATATCTTTTTTTCACTAGACTTCAGTGTTTGACACTAGAGTTAGCCCCATCCACGTCTGCAGTAGCTCATCTAGGTGATTATAGACTACCATTGCATGTCAAAGTGCATTTTCAACATTTTTGTTTTTAGAAGATTTTATATAGGTGGCACTTTTTGGCAAACGGATAGAACATGAATAAATGGTAGTCGGCACTCCGATAACCGGCTGTACAGAAGTCTGCATCTTAATCATGGTACATCGAAGTCCGTCTGTCTGGTAATGACGTCAAACCCAACGCTTAACCTGCTGTTCACACCAAGGTAGTAACCGGTATGATGACACTATCATGTCTCATTTGGATAGAGAACTACCAGAAGACAGTGAAGATGATGTGTTCCTCTGTAGCTCAGCTGGTAGAGCACGGCGCTTGTAACGCCAGGGTAGTGGGTTCAATCCCCGGGACCACCCATACGTAAAAATGTATGCGCACATGACTGTAAGTCACTTTGGATAAAAGCGTCTGCTAAATGGCAAATTATTATTATTTTACTATCTGACCACTTTCACAAATACATCTTTCGCTCCTCTGTAATATATCTGATCTCTCTGCCGTTACAAGTTTGTAGTAAGGAGAATTTGTATCCAGAGTTTGCTGTAGACACCTGTTACTGAAACAGATGCTACTAACTCTACAGAAGGGGTAGGCAACTTGATTCAGCCAGGGGCCGATTTTTTTTTTTTGTCGGGGGGGGGGGGTCATCATCATAATAATAATAATAATAATAATAATAATAATAATAATAATAACAATAATAACAATAATAATAATTTGTACACTGCAAATTGACCACAACTAAGCCCAAAAATAGATTGTATTTGAAAATAACAATCATTCCATACCTTCATTTACATTGAGACACTATCACGTCTCTTTTTTTGTTCAAGTGGGAAGGAATACTTGGGATCAGATGTCCTAAATTAAACATGTGACTGACCACTTCAATTCGGTCTTATGTAGCAACATTTGAAAGTTTTTTTTTTTTTTTTTTACATTGGATAAAGGTAGAGACTCAGAGCTACAAAATGGTAGATCATAAACGGCAGTTGAGGAAAATGGGAAAGTAACTCTGCTTTGAGAAAATGGCCCTTGAATGTTTTGGTACCTACTGGAGATCTCTTTGTCTACACCCATTCAGCATCGTTCACACCCTCTTAAGCCCCACCCATATCTTTAAGGATTCACGTGCAGGTCATGTTGTAGTATAAATACTATTTATCTGGGGGCCTATATCCTAACCTGACTGGTGCAAGTCATGTTGTAGTATAAAGACTATTTATCTGGTCCTATATCCTAACCTGACTGGTGCAAGTCATGTTGTAGTATAAAGACTATTTATCTGGTCCTATATCCTAACCTGACTGGTGCAAGTCATGTTGTAGTATAAAGACTATCTGGTCCTATATCCTAACCTGACTGGTGCAAGTCATGTTGTAGTATAAATACTATTTATCTGGTCCTATATCCTAACCTGACTGGTGCAAGTCATGTTGTAGTATAAAGACTATTTATCTGGTCCTATATCCTAGCCTGACTGGTGCAAGTCATGTTGTAGTATAAAGACTATTTATCTGGTCCTATATCCTAACCTGACTGGTGCAAGTCATGTTGTAGTATAAAGACTATTTATCTGGTCCTATATCCTAACCTGACTGGTGCAAGTCATGTTGTAGTATAAATACTATTTATCTGGTCCTATATCCTAACCTGACTGGTGCAAGTCATGTTGTAGTATAAAGACTATCTGGTCCTATATCCTAACCTGACTGGTGCAGGTCATGTTGTAGTATAAATACTATTTATCTGGGGGCCTATATCAAATCAAATCAAATCAAATCAAATTGTATTGGTCACATGCGCCGAATACAACAGGTGCAGACATTACAGTGAAATGCTTACTTACAGCCCTTAACCAACAGTGCATTTATTTTAAACAAAAAGTAAGAATAAAACAACAACAAAAAAGTGTTGAGAAAAAAAAGAGCAGAAGTAAAAATAAAGTGACAGTAGGGAGGCTATATATACAATAGAATAAAGTGACTGTAGGGAGGCTATATATACAGGGGGGTACCGTTGCATAGTCAATGTGCGGGGGCACCGGCTAGTTGAGGTAGTTGAGGTAATATGTACATGTGGGTAGAGTTAAAGTGACTATGCATAAATACTTAACAGAGTAGCAGCAGCGTAAAAAGTATGGGGTGGGGGGGCAGTGCAAATAGTCCGGGTAGCCATGATTAGCTGTTCAGGAGTCTTATGGCTTGGGGGTAGAAGCTGTTGAGAAGTCTTTTGGACCTAGACTTGGCACTCCGGTACCGCTTGCCGTGCGGTAGCAGAGAGAACAGTCTATGACTAGGGTGACTGGAGTCTTTGACAATTTTGAGGGCCTTCCTCTGACACCGCCTGGTATAGAGGTCCTGGATGACAGGGAGCTTTGCCCCTGTGATGTACTGGGCCGTACGCACTACCCTCTGTAGTGCCTTGCGGTCAGAGGCCAAGCAGTTGCCATACCAGGCGGTGATGCAACCAGTCAGGATGCTCTCGATGGTGCAGCTGTAGAATTTTTTGAGGATCTGAGGACCCATGCCAAATCTTTTTAGTCTCCTGAGGGGGAATAGGCTTTGTCGTGCCCTCTTCACGACTGTCTTGGTGTGTTTGGACCATGATAGTTCGTTGGTGATGTGGACACCAAGGAACTTGAAGCTCTCAACCTGTTCCACTACAGCCCCGTCGATGAGAATGGGGGCGTGCTCAGTCCTCTTTTTTTTCCTGTAGTCCACAATCATCTCCTTTGTCTTGGTCACGTTGAGGGAGAGGTTGTTGTCCTGGCACCACACGGCCAGATCTCTGACCTCCTCCCTATAGGCTGTCTCATCGTTGTCGGTGATCAGGCCTACCACTGTTGAGTCGTCGGCAAACTTAATGATGGTGTTGGAGTCGTGCCTGGCCATGCAGTCATGAGTGAACAGAGAGTACAGGAGGGGACTGAGCACGCACCCCTGAGGGGCCCCCGTGTTGAGGATCAGTGTGGCAGATGTGTTGTTACCTACCCTTACCACCTGGGGGCGGCCCGTCAGGAAGTCCAGGATCCAGTTGCAGAGGGAGGTGTTTAGTCCCAGGATCCTTAGCTTAGTGATGAGCTTTGAGGGCACTATGGTGTTGAATGCTGAGCTGTAGTCAATGAATAGCATTCTCACGTAGGTGTTCCTCTTGTCCAGGTGGGAAAGGGCAGTGTGGAGTGCGATAGAGATTGCATCATCTGTGGATCTGTTGGGGCGGTATGCAAATTGGAGTGGGTCTAGGGTTTCTGGGATTATGCTGTTGATGTGAGCCATGACCAGTCTTTCAAAGCACTTCATGGCTACAGACGTCAGTGCCACGGGTCGGTAGTCATTTAGGCAGGTTATCTTAGAGTTCTTGGGCACGGGGACTATGGTGGTCTGCTTGAAACATGTTGGTATTACAGACTCAGTCAGGGACATGTTGAAAATGTCAGTGAAGACACTTGCCAGTTGGTCAGCACATGCTCGGAGTACACGTCCTGGTAATCCGTCTGGCCCTGCAGCCTTGTGAATGTTGACCTGCTTAAAAGTCTTACTCACATCGGCTACGGAGAGCGTGATCACATAGTCGTCCGGAACAGCTGGTGCTCTCATGCATGCTTCAGTGTTGCTTGCCTCGAAGCGAGCATAGAAGTGGTTTAGCTCGTCTGGTAGGCTTGTGTCACTGGGCAGCTCGCGGCTGTGCTTCCCTTTGTAGTCTGTAATAGTTTTCAAGCCCTGCCACATCCTAACCTGACTGGTGCAAGTCATGTTGTAGTATAAAGACTATTTATCTGGTCCTATATCCTAACCTGACTGGTGCAGGTCATGTTGTAGTATACATACTATTTATCTGGTCCTATATCCTAACCTGACTGGTGCAAGTCATGTTGTAGTATAAAGACTATTTATCTGGTCCTATATCCTAACCTGACTGGTGCAAGTCATGTTGTAGTATAAAGACTATTTATCTGGTCCTATATCCTAACCTGACTGGTGCAAGTCATGTTGTAGTATAAAGACTATCTGGTCCTATATCCTAACCTGACTGGTGCAAGTCATGTTGTAGTATAAAGACTATCTGGTCCTATATCCTAACCTGACTGGTGCAAGTCATGTTGTAGTATAAAGACGATTTATCTGGTCCTATATCCTAGCCTGACTGGTGCAAGTCATGTTGTAGTATAAAGACTATTTATCTGGTCCTATATCCTAACCTGACTGGTGCAAGTCATGTTGTAGTATAAAGACTATCTGGTCCTATATCCTAACCTGACTGGTGCAAGTCATGTTGTAGTATAAAGACTATTTATCTGGTCCTATATCCTAACCTGACTGGTGCAGGTCATGTTGTAGTATAAATACTATTTATCTGGGGGCCTATATCCTAACCTGACTGGTGCAAGTCATGTTGTAGTATAAAGACTATTTAACTGGTCATATATCCTAACCTGACTGGTGCAAGTCATGTTGTAGTATAAAGACTATCTGGTCCTATATCCTAACCTGACTGGTGCAAGTCATGTTGTAGTATAAATACTATTTATCTGGTCCTATATCCTAACCTGACTGGTGCAAGTCATGTTGTAGTATAAAGACTATCTGGTCCTATATCCTAACCTGACTGGTGCAAGTCATGTTGTAGTATAAAGACTATTTATCTGGTCCTATATCCTAACCTGACTGGTGCAAGTCATGTTGTAGTGTAAAGACTATTTATCTGGTCCTATATCCTAACCTGACTGGTGCAAGTCATGTTGTAGTATAAATACTATTTATCTGGGGGCCTATATCCTAACCTGACTGGTGCAAGTCATGTTGTAGTATAAAGACTATTTATCTGGTCCTATATCCTAACCTGACTGGTGCAAGTCATGTTGTAGTATAAAGACTATTTATCTGGTCCTATATCCTAACCTGACTGGTGCAAGTCATGTTGTAGTATAAAGACTATCTGGTCCTATATCCTAACCCGACTGGTGCAAGTCATGTTGTAGTATAAATACTATTTATCTGGTCCTATATCCTAACCTGACTGGTGCAAGTCATGTTGTAGTATAAAAACTATCTGGTCCTATATCCTAGCCTGACTGGTGCAAGTCATGTTGTAGTATAAAGACTATCTGGTCCTGTATCCTAACCTGACTGGTGCAAGTCATGTTGTAGTATAAAGACTATTTATCTGGTCCTATATCCTAACCTGACTGGTGCAAGTCATGTTGTAGTATAAAGACTATCTGGACCTATATCCTAACCTGACTGGTGCAAGTCATGTTGTAGTATAAAGACTATTTATCTGGTCCTATATCCTAACCTGACTGGTGCAAGTCATGTTGTAGTATAAAGACTATTTATCTGGTCCTATATCCTAACCTGACTGGTGCAAGTCATGTTGTAATATAAAGACTATTTATCTGGTCCTATATCCTAATCTGACTGGTGCAAGTCATGTTGTAGTATAAAGACTATCTGGTCCTATATCCTAACCTGACTGGTGCAAGTCATGTTGTAGTATAAAGACTATTTATCTGGTCCTATATCCTAACCTGACTGGTGCAAGTCATGTTGTAGTATAAAGACTATCTGGTCCTATATCCTAATCTGATTGGTACAGGTCATGTTGTTCTTCACATTACTGTCTCTGGTAAAAACACACTATATCAAATAAAATCAACATTTATTTGTCACATGCACAAGATACAGAAGGTGTAAACAGTACAGTGAAATGGTTACTTGCATAGTAGCAATATCAAAAATAGTGTCCAGATAAAAAATATTTTATCGATAGCGCCTGCTAAATTCAGGGCAGCAATGTTGTTGAGAGAAGTAGCAACACTTTTGCAGTTCTCCATATCTTAAAAAAAAAAGCTGCGGTAGCAAGGATTATCTACACATACTGAGCAGCTCATGTTATAGACAGAAGCGTGCTACATGGCAGACCAATCCCAACTCATCTCTCGGCATGTCCAGCCCATCCATTATCTCAGCCAATCATGGCTAGCGGGAAGGTTCCTGTCTTTTTCTGTGGCTAAACCAACTAGGCTCGTAATTTAACAATTGTATTTGTATTTACAGATGGCATACACGTTAGTTATTAAGGCACAGAAAAGTTCACATTTCAGCCTCTTATCTCTCCTTCCTCTCCTCTCCTCCTCAAATCAAATCAAACCTTCCTCGTCTCTCCTCGTATCTCTCCTTCCTCGTCTCCTCTTATCTATCCTTCCTCGTCTCTCCTCGTATCTCTCCTTCCTCGTCTCTCCTGCCTCATCTCTCCTCTTATCTCTCCTGCCTCGTCTCTCCTCTCATCTCCCCTTCCTCGTCTCTCCTCTTATCTCTCCTGCCTCATCTCTCCTCTCATCTCTCCTCTCATCTCCCCTTCCTCGTCTCTCCTCTTATCTCTTCTCTCCTCTCATCTCCCCTTCCTCGTCTCTCCTCTTCTCTCCTGCCTCGTCTCTCCTCTCTTTTCCCCTTCCTCGTCTCTCCTCTTATCTCTCCTGCCTCGCCTCTCCTCGTCTGTTTTTTTTTGGGGGGGGCCAAAAAACAAAAACGTGTGTCCTGTTGCTGACTCCTGCTCTCCAGACTTCAGTCATAGAAGTAGTATGATACATACAGCAGGATAGTAGTCACAGCTGTTTGGAGGAACATGACTTAACTGTAAGTCGCTCTGGATAAGAGCGTCTGCTAAATGACTAAAATGTAAATGTTAACAATTCCCAGTCCACTTTCTATGAGCAGTGGTATAGTCACAGAGAGATGTGAAGTTAAGGAGCAATCCTCTCAATCACTATTCCATTATGCTCCTTCGATTTTAAAAAATGCACACAGAAATCACTCCAAAATGGTGTCATGATGATGATGATGTCAGCCAATACTGCCACTCTATCTCTTCTGAGTCACCATGGTAACCCTATAGCACCTGTTCCTAAGGGAGTGTGTTTCTCCACAGCGTCAAGGCCTCTGTGTCACCTGCCAAGGCCCAGACCCAGGCAGCGGACAAACCTGATGGTGAGTTACTACAGTTCAGAGTTCAAATGACCAGGGATGCTGGTAATATGTATTAGTTAGATGCATCATAACATGCTATAAGCATCCATATAATCCCACACTTCCTTATAATATGCTATATGAGTCTACCTGTTTGACGTGCTGAATGAATACATTTCTCTGGGTTCCCCAGCCTCTAGGACGCCAGCTCCAGTCAGCTCTGGTCCTAAGGTGCGTCCTCCGTGGGTGACCGACCCAGGATTCGCTGACCGCTACGCCCCAGATAAGACCAGTACGGTTCTGACCCAGCACAGACAGCCGGCCCAGCCTACGCCCATGCAGAACCGCTCCTCTATCCTACAGGCAGCTCAGCAGGCACCCGAGGACAGTGGAAGGACCCCTCTCTGTGGAGCCTGCAACAAGATCATTAGGTGGGAACCATATGATTATACTACCCTCTGTCTGTTAGATTAATAACGCCAAGGCCTTTATTTACTACTGCCCACTGTCTGTTATATCTATAAACACTAGAGCCAGCCAAGCCGGAAATGCCACCCAATTCCTTTATATATTGCAAAATGTTTGACCAAAACCCTGAATGTCAAAGTAGCCCCCTATCGGGTCAATACAGCAACTGCTGTTCCTACATGAGTCCTACATGAAAAAGTACTGCACTATATGAATAAAGAGAATAAACTCCATAGACTATCATAATACCTGGGATAGGAGCCCCCTTACCCCACCCCCCCAAAAAAATAGAAAAAATAAATAAACATATTGTAAAGTGGTTATCCCACTGGCTATAAGGTGAATGCACCAATTTGTAAGTCGCTCTGGATAAGAGCGTCTGCTAAATGACGTAAATGTAAATTTCATAATAGACTGTATTTATTTCATTGAACTGCTAGGCCCTGATTTCATTGACCATGTGACCTGACCAGGGAACACTCTCTTGGTCTTTTTTATATAAACCCATTATTCTATAGAAAATAACCCGTTGTCTCTCAAACCGGAACGACCTGACACCATCTGAACAGTTAAGTGGATTCATCCAGTAAGTCATGTCTGTGATGGTAGGATCACTATGCTCCATTACAGAGAGCTACAGTAGATACCTCTGTTACTCCCAGCTGGGCTTATCTAACTGGTGTTTACTTTGTGTGTGCCTGTGTCTGTCTGTCTGTCTGTGTGTATAGGGGCCGGTACCTGGTGGCGCTGGGTCAGTCCTGGCACCCAGAAGAGTTCCGGTGTTCCCAGTGTAAGGTGGTGTTGGATGAGGGAGGATTCTTTGAGGAGCGGGGCTCAGTCTTCTGCGCCAAGTGTTATGATAACCGCTACGCTCCCAACTGTGCCAAATGCAAAAAGGTCATCGTAGGGGTAAGATCTCTACCGTGTCTGTCTACCACCATCCATGATAATACTGTGGAATGTGGACCACAAGCTAGTTTAGTAGGTAACTTGGTGGTTAAGAGCGTTGTGCCAGTAACCGAAAGGTCGCTGGTTCTAATCCCCGAGCCGACTAGGTGAAAAATCTGTCGATGTGCCCTTGAGCAATGCATTTAACCCTAATTGCTCATGTAAGTCGCTCTGGATAAGAGCGTATGCAAAAAAAAACAAAAAAAAACGTAAATGTCTACCATCATCCATGATAATACTGTGGAATGTGGACCACAACCTAGGTTAGCAGGACAGGATGCACGTGGAAGCTGAGGCCTGACCACCTTCCTTCCTTCCTTTCTTTCCTCTTGTGTAGGAGATCATGCATGCTCTGAAGATGACCTACCATGTCCAGTGTTTCATGTGCGCTGCCTGTAAGAGCCCCATCCGGAACCAGGCCTTCTATATGGAGGAGGGAGAACCTTACTGTGAGAGAGGTGAGGCTTAGAGAGAGGTGTCTGTGTGTGGGAACCGGGCCTTCTATATGGAGGAGGGAGAACCTTACCGTGAGAGAGGTGAGGCTTAGAGAGAGGTGTCTGTGTGTGGGAACCGGGCCTTCTATATGGAGGAGGGAGAACCTTACTGTGAGAGAGGTGAGGCTTAGAGAGAGGTGTCTGTGTGTGGGAACCGGGCCTTCTATATGGAGGAGGGAGAACCTTACTGTGAGAGAGGTGAGGCTTAGAGAGAGGTGTCTGTGTGTGGGAACCGGGCCTTCTATATGGAGGAGGGAGAACCTTACCGTGAGAGAGGTGAGGCTTAGAGAGAGGTGTCTGTGTGTTGCCTTACATGTTGACGTTATAACTTTTCAATCAACAACAAGGAAAACTGTGTGAGGTACTTAGAGAAAGAATGAGTTAAACTACATGTACACACATTCACAGCCTTGGGGGGAGTGGACAGATTCTCTCAGTGAGATATCCACAGCTACTGCTTCCATAGATGATGACTTCATATGGGAACATCTGTTTAGCTGATTTTTTTACGTTATGTCATCCCTTCCCTACATACAGGAACATCACTAATGTCATCCCTTCCCTACATACAGGAACATCACTAATGTCATCCCTTCCCTACATACAGGAACATCACTGATGTCATCCCTTCCCTACATACAGGAACATCACTGATGTCATCCCTTCCCTACATACAGGAACATCACTGATGTCATCCCTTCCCTACATACAGGAACATCACTGATGTCATCCCTTCCCTACATACAGGAACATCACTGATGTCATCCCTTCCCTACATACAGGAACATCACTGATGTCATCCCTTCCCTACATACAGGATCATCACTGATGTCATCCCTCTTTTTCGTTCTGTTTTTTTCTTTGATCCGTTGATGTTCTCAGGCCAAAACCTTACAGGGAAAACATTTTTGCTGATGAATATGGTAACTCAACCTCTCTCTTTCTCCTCTCTGTCTCCACCCCCTCTCAACTTCTCTCTCTCCTCCACCCCCCTCTCTCTCCTCCACCCCCCTCTCTCTCTCCTCCACCCCCCCTCTCCCTCTCTCTCCTCCACCCCCCCCTCTCCCTCTCTCTCCTCCACCCCCCCCCTCTCCCTCTCTCTCCTCCACCCCCCCCCTCTCTCCTCCACCCCCCCCTCTCTCCTCCACCCCCCCTCCTCTCTCTCCCTCCACCCATCTCTCTCTCCCTCCACCCCATCTCTCTCTCCTCCACCCCCATCTCTCTCCTCCACCCCCTCTCTCTCCTCCACCCCCCCTCTCCTCCTCCCCCCCTCTCTCTCTCCTCCACCCCCCCCCTCTCTCTCTCCTCCACCCCCCCTCTCTCTCTCCTCCACCCCCCCCCCCTCTCTCTCCTCCACCCCCCCCCCCCCCTCTCTCTCCTCCACCCCCCTCCCTCTCTCCTCACCACCCTCCCACCCCCCTCTCTCGTCCTCCCCCCCTCCTATCCTCTCCCACCCCCCTCTCTCTCTCCTCCACCCCCCTCTCTCTCTCCTCCACCCCCCCTCTCTCCCTTCTCCCTCTCTCCTCTCCCCACCCCCCCCTCTCTCTCTCCTCCACCCCCCCCCCTCTCCCTCTCTCTCCCTCTCCCTGTAGATTATGAGAAGATGTTTGGCACTAAGTGTCATGGCTGTGACTTTAAGATTGATGCTGGGGACCGCTTCCTAGAGGCCTTGGGATTCAGTTGGCACGACACCTGCTTCGTCTGCGCTGTAAGTCACTCTCCTGATTCACCTGGCTATCTCACCTCTATCTACCTACGTCTCTACCTGTCTCTCCTGGACCTGCTCCATCCTACGTCTCTACCTGTCTCACCTGGACCTGCTCCAACCTACGTCTCTACCTGTCTCTCCTGGACCTGCTCCATCCTACGTCTCTACCTGTCTCTCCTGGACCTGCTCCAACCTACGTCTCTACCTGTCTCTCCTGGACCTGCTCCAACCTACGTCTCTACCTGTCTCTCCTGGACCTGCTCCAACCTACGTCTCTACCTGTCTCTCCTGGACCTGCTCCAACCTATGTCTCTACCTGTCTCTCCTGGACCTGCTCCAACCTACGTCTCTACCTGTCTCACCTGGACCTGCTCCATCCTACGTCTCTACCTGTCTCACCTGGACCTGCTCCAACCTACGTCTCTACCTGTCTCTCCTGGACCTGCTCCATCCTACGTCTCTACCTGTCTCTCCTGGACCTGCTCCAACCTACGTCTCTACCTGTCTCTCCTGGACCTGCTCCAACCTACGTCTCTACCTGTCTCTCCTGGACCTGCTCCAACCTACGTCTCTACCTGTCTCTCCTGGACCTGCTCCAACCTATGTCTCTACCTGTCTCTCCTGGACCTGCTCCAACCTACGTCTCTACCTGTCTCACCTGGACCTGCTCCAACCTACGTTTCTACCTGTCTCTCCTGGACCTGCTCCAACCTACGTCTTTACCTGTCTCTCCTGGACCTGCTCCAACCTACGTCTTTACCTGTCTCTCCTGGACCTGCTCCAACCTACGTCTCTACCTGTCTCTCCTGGACCTGCTCCAACCTACGTCTCTACCTGTCTCTCCTGGACCTGCTACAACCTACGTCTCTACCTGTCTCACCTGGACCTGCTCCAACCTACGTCTCTACCTGTCTCTCCTGGACCTGCTCCATCCTACGTCTCTACCTGTCTCTCCTGGACCTGCTCCAACCTACGTCTCTACCTGTCTCTCCTGGACCTGCTCCATCCTACGTCTCTACCTGTCTCTCCTGGACCTGCTCCAACCTACGTCTCTACCTGTCTCTCCTGGACCTGCTCCAACCTACGTCTTTACCTGTCTCACCTGGACCTGCTCCAACCTACGTCTCTACCTGTCTCTCCTGGACCTGCTCCAACCTACGTCTCTACCTGTCTCTCCTGGACCTGCTCCAACCTACGTCTCTACCTGTCTCTCCTGGACCTGCTCCAACCTACGTCTCTACCTGTCTCTCCTGGACCTGCTCCAACCTACGTCTCTACCTGTCTCTCCCTGGACCTGCTCCAACCTACGTCTCTACCTGTCTCTCCTGGACCTGCGCCAACCTACGTCTCTACCTGTCTCTCCTGGACCTGCTCCAACCTAACGTCTCTACCTGTCTCTCCTGGACCTGCTCCAACCTACGTCTCTACCGGTCTCTCCTGGACCTGCTCCAACCTACGTCTCTACCTGTCTCTCCTGGACCTGCTCCAACCTACGTCTTTACCTGTCTCTTTGACCTGCTCCAACCTACGTCTCTACCTGTCTCTCCTGGACCTGCTCCAACCTACGTCTCTACCTGTCTCTCCTGGACCTGCTCCAACCTACGTCTCTACCTGTCTCTCCTGGACCTGCTCCAACCTACGTCTCTACCTGTCTCTCCTGGACCTGCTCCAACCTACGTCTCTACCTGTCTCTCCTGGACCTGCTCCAACCTACGTCTCTACCTGTCTCTCCTGGACCTGCTCCAACCTACGTCTCTACCTGTCTCTCCTGGACCTGCTCCAACCTACGTCTCTACCTGTCTCTCCTGGACCTGCTCCAACCTACGTCTCTACCTGTCTCTCCTGGACCTGCTCCAACCTACGTCTCTACCTGTCTCTTTGACCTGCTCCAACCTACGTCTCTACCTGTCTCTCCTGGACCTGCTCCAACCTACGTCTCTACCTGTCTCTCCTGGACCTGCTCCAACCTACGTCTCTACCTGTCTCTCCTGGACCTGCTCCAACCTACGTCTCTACCTGTCTCTCCTGGACCTGCTCCAACCTACGTCTCTACCTGTCTCTTTGACCTGCTCCAACCTACGTCTCTACCTGTCTCCTTGACCTGCTCCAACCTACGTCTCTACCTGTCTCTCCTGGTCCTGCTCCAACCTACGTCTCTACCTGTCTCTCCTGGTCCTGCTCCAACATACGTCTCTACCTGTCTCTATTCTGTCTCTGTTATGTCTCACTTCAGTCTCTCTGTCTCTCTGTTATGTCTCACCTCAGTCTCTCTCTGTTATTTCTCACCTCAGTCTCTCTGTCTCTGTAGCACAATGCCCCGTTAGAGATAATGGCACCAACTTCTGATCCTGAGAAATCCTCTCTGTCTCTCTCTCTCTGTCTCGGTGTGTGTGGACTGTGTAAGTAGTGATAGATAAATGCTATGGATCAGCTGCTCAGCACAAGGCTGCATTATGGTGATTCACACAGTGATGTCTCTTACACTGCTCTCTCTCTCTCTCTCTCTCTCTCTCTCTCTCTCTCTCTCTCTCTCTCTCTCTCTCTCTCTCTCTCTCTCTCAGCTGTGCCAGATCAACCTCGAAGGGAAGACATTCTACTCTAAGAAGGATAAGCCTCTGTGTAAAGACCATGCCTTTGCTCCCGTCTGAGAGAGAGAGAGAGAGGTGGTTCAGAGGGGACAGGAACCCACCCCGTTCTCTAGACCCTTCAGACCCCTGTACTCAGCAACACACGGCGCCAGATACTCTCCTCTCCACTGCAAACCACACGGCGCCAGATACTCTCCTCTCCACTGCAAACCACACGGCGCCAGATACTCTCCACTCCACTGCAAACCAGACGGCGCCAGATACTCTCCACTCCACTGCAAACCAGACGGCGCCAGATACTCTCCACTCCACTGCAAACCAGACGGCGCCAGATACTCTCCACTCCACTGCAAACCAGACGGCGCCAGATACTCTCCACTCCACTGCAAACCAGACGGCGCCAGCGTCAGTGTTCAGATCCTCACTATCGCTCAAGATGTACTTCATCGCTCAACTTCTATCCCTCAACTTTTCAAATGCGTCCTGTGCTGGCTCTCTCTACCGCGTTCAGCCATACTCACTTGTCTCTTAGTCTAAGATCTAAAGGAATATGATGTCAACCTTTCAAACAAACTGCCAGTTTTCTCTACTGTTGTTAATCATAGCAGGTTATTTAATGGTATAACGAAGTGAGAGTGTTATTTTCAAACGGAGTCATTTCAAGCCTTAGCTCAACTATATTTCTATCTCATTTATTACCAGTGGACCACTGAATATATACGTAATTCTCACTCTGATTGTGACGCTAACCACTGTTGTTGACAAGTCATTATTTTACTCCAGTGTGTCAAGTCAGTTCAACTGTGTTTGGGCCAATGCCTGTTAGTCCAGTAAAATATCACGCCCCCTTCTAATCTCAACCTCGTTCATTTCACTTTTAACTCTTTAACTGTCTTCAAAGTTGAACGAACCATTCAGCGTGTCATCTTCTAAAATGTTGCAGCAACTATCACTCCACTATCGACCTCATTTAAAGTCCCCTCCTAGTCTCTGGTCCGTTCGACGCCCCTCTATACTCCAGTACCTGAGATAATGTAAAGGGGTACCCTTACTGCAGTACTTAAAGTAATAGGAACTCAGTGATGTGGAACTACACTGAACAAAAATATAAACGCAACATGCAACAATTTCTATGATTTTACTGAGTTACAGTTCATATAAGGAAATCAGTCAATTGAAATAAATTCATTAGGCCCTAATCTATGGATTTCACGACTGGGCAGGGGTGCATCCAATCAGAATGAGTTTTTCCCCACAAAAGGGCTTTCTCACAGACAGAAATACTCCTCAGCAACCCGTCCAACCCCCCCAACCCGACCCCTCTCAGACGATCCCACAGGTGAAGAAGCCGGATGTGGAGGTCCTGGGCTGGCGTGATTAAACGTGGTCTGCGGTTGTGAGGCCGGTTGGACGTGCTGCCAAATTCTCTAAAACGACGTTGGAGGCAGCTTATGGGAAATAAATATTACATTATCTGGCAACCGCTCTGGTGGACATTCCTGCAGTCAGCATGCCAATTTCACACTCCCTCAAAACTTGAGACATCTGTGGCATTGTGTTGTGTGACAAAACTGCACATTTTAGAGTGGCCTTTTATTGTCCCCCAGCACAAGGTGCACCTGTGTAATGATCATGCTGTTTAATCAGCTTGATATGCCACACCTGTCAGGTGGATGGATTATCTTGGCAAAGGACAAATGCTCACTAACAGGGATGTAAACAAATTTGTGCACAACATTTGAGAGAAATAGGGACATTTCTGGGATCTTTTATTTCAGCTCATGAAACCTGACCAACACTTTACATGTTGCATTTGTTGTTGTTCAGTGTAGTTTCCTGTAGTGTTTATTGTGTAGTTTCCTGTAGTGTTTACGGTGTTGTTCAGTGTAGTTTCCTGTAGTGTTTACGGTGTTGTTCAGTGTCGTTTCCTGTAGTGTTTACGGTGTTGTTCAGTGTAGTTTCCTGTAGTGTTTATCGTGTTGTTCAGCGTCGTTTCCTGTAGTGTTTAAGGTGTTGTTCAGCGTAGTTTCCTGTAGTGTTTACGGTGTTGTTCAGTGTCGTTTCCTGTAGTCTTTACGGTGTTGTTCAGCGTAGTTTCCTGTAGTGTTTACGGTGTTGTTCAGCGTAGTTTCCTGTAGTGTTTACGGTGTTGTTCAGCGTAGTTTCCTGTAGTGTTTACGGTGTTGGTCAGCGTAGTTTCCTGTAGTGTTTACGGTGTTGGTCAGCGTAGTTTCCTGTAGTGTTTACGGTGTTGTTCAGCGTCGTTTCCTGTAGTGTTTACGGTGTTGTTCAGCGTCGTTTCCTGTAGTGTTTACGGTGTTGTTCAGCGTCGTTTCCTGTAGTGTTTACGGTGTTGTTCAGTGTCGTTTCCTGTAGTGTTTACGGTGTTGTTCAGCGTCGTTTCCTGTAGTGTTTACGGTGTTGTTCAGTGTAGTTTCCTGTAGTGTTTACGGTGTTGTTCAGTGTAGTTTCCTGTAGTGTTTACGGTGTTGTTTCAGCGTCGTTTCCTGTAGTGTTTACGGTGTTGTTCAGCGTAGTTTCCTGTAGTGTTTACGGTGTTGTTCAGCGTCGTTTCCTGTAGTGTTTACGGTGTTGTTCAGTGTAGTTTCCTGTAGTGTTTACGGTGTTGTTCAGCGTAGTTTCCTGTAGTGTTTACGGTGTTGTTCAGTGTAGTTTCCTGTAGTGTTTACGGTGTTGTTCAGTGTAGTTTCCTGTAGTGTTTACGGTGTTGTTCAGCGTCGTTTCCTGTAGTGTTTACGGTGTTGGTTCAGCGTCGTTTTCCTGTAGTGTTTACGGTGTTGTTCAGCGTAGTTTCCTGTAGTGTTTACGGTGTTGTTCAGCGTCGTTTCCTTGTAGTGTTTACGGTGTTTGTTTCAGCGTAGTTTCCTGTAGTGTTTACGGTGTTGTTCAGCGTCGTTTCCTGTAGTGTTTACGGTGTTGTTCAGCGTCGTTTCCTGTAGTGTTTACGGTGTTGTTCAGCGTCGTTTCCTGTAGTTTACGGTGTTGTTCAGCGTCGTTTCCTGTAGTGTTTACGGTGTTGTTCAGCGTAGTTTCCTGTAGTGTTTACGGTGTTGTTCAGCGTCGTTTCCTGTAGTGTTTATGGTGTTGTTCAGCGTCGTTTCCTGTAGTGTTTACGGTGTTGTTCAGCGTCGTTTCCTGCCCGCTGGTGCGGAAGCTCTACTTACTGTAAAACACTCCCTGGATGCATTCCAAATGGCTCCCTATATAGTGCACTAAGTTCTATGGGTTATAGTAGTGCACTATATAGGGAATAAGGTGTCCTTTGGGACGCATCCCATATTGCATTAGCACTAGTGACTATACACACTGTAGAACACTCCACATTGACCCCAGAGACCCAGAACGCATCACTTCAAGTCATCTATATTATTCATTGGTTCCTTTAAATCCGAATAGTACATCATCAAAAGGTTTTAGTATTTTGAAGCTGTCAATGTACTGCATATGGAAATAAACTATGGCTTGTTAACAGGCCTGGGGGTCAAATACAGTTTAACTGTGGAAGTGAGATGTCGCTTTTGAATGGAGAACAATCTCATAGAACATTTCTAGAATATCATTACAACTAATTGACCCCCACCCCAAAACTGTGTGATAGGTTTTGTAGTCATTGCGTTGTCCTGGGATTGAAGTCATTCTATACAAGTGGATGTATGTATTGGACCAAATACTGTATAATCTAAGGCTCTATTCAATCCGTATCGCGGGAATTCAGCTTTACAGCGTGAATGAAATTTTAAAGGCAGTGCTCCCTACCGTTTGCATGGTAAACGCTGCAGATCTCAGCTCAATTGCAAATTACCTTTTTACATTTCATAGGGCTTATCTGTAACACTTCAACGACACCGATTTTTGAATAGAGCTCAAGCCTTGCAAAAAGGCCTGTAAGCAGTTATTTGATGGGGTGTGTTTTGAAACCAAATGATTTAGTAATGTACTGTTTGTTTTGTGTAGAGTATTGAGATGGTTCTCTTCTGATTTGAACCCATTCCTACAAGTGTACGCTCAATGTCAATCTAATGGTCCTATCCCCTCCTACTGTCAGCCTCTGCTCCAAGAATAATAGGATTTATAATAGAATTGTAAAAAAAAAAATTCTCAAGTAATTTTGTTACAATTTTTTTTTGTATTAAAGTATTGGATACCAAGTGCCTTTTCAAGCTTTACACTCTGAGCTTTACAATAACGCTTACATTTGAATGTAAAACTGCTGTATTCATATGTGTACATGCTTGAGATGTTTTTAGCAAAATAATTGCTATTCTTGATAGAAGAGCTGTATTGTGTGTTTTAGAACCAGTTAATCAATAAACAATGTCTTCATTCTTCCATAGTCTCTTTTCACTGCAGACCCGGCGCCAGAACGAATCAGTTGGACAGGCATTTGATTTCCATAGGGCGGACCGTTTTTTCACGGGACCTCCTATGTGTGTGTGTACGCCAGTGCCGATTTTTTTAGCATGTAAATCTTGGTGGGGCAAAAAACAAAAGTGGGATGCATGCCAACAAAGCCACTACACAACACAACACAACACAACACTAAACAATACATTAATTGCACTATAACGGTGACAAACGGTGCCCACAAACTGTTAGGGCCTCCATAAAGCTGTCCCAACAGCAGAGTCCCGACAGCAGTCCCAACACCTTACCACTGCTACACCTGGCTATCAGCGGAGCCTTGTCTGGCAGCGAAACAGTTCATTCAGCCTCATTTACTGCCTTTAAAAAAAAAACATAGCTGATATGGCTGACTTGCTTAAACAAATGTGGTCTCTACTGACAATTGAGATGTACAAACTATGGCATAAGGGGATGATGAGCGGATAATTTCGATTAAGACCATAAATGAGCGAGCAACGACGGACGTAGGCAATATAACTATTTGTTCAGCACTTTGGAAATGTACAGCGACAGAATTCAGAACATGGGCCATTCTTACAGTGTTCTCACTGTACACCAAGTCAGAACCGTAGGATAAATAAAGGGGGCATATAAGCAGACAATGAAAGCTCTTACAATATTCAATGATTACATTTCTCTAAAACAGGCTATAGGCTACATGTGAACCACCAAGTCAGAACAGTAGGTGAAATTAAAGGGAAAAAAATAACAAATTATTTGGGTGAGGCACATGGGCTACTAACAGCTTACTACACAACATACACTTAGTATTACTTTCTTAGCTACAGTATACATATCTCTCTGGCATATTACATAATTTCTGCAGCAGCATACAATACATTTTTGGACTCACCTTGTTGTGCTGCGCTCACTTGAACAGGAAGGTGGCGCGGCGGTCCTTCACGGGCAAATTTTGTCATCAAACTTCGTCATCAAAGTCAGCGATTTTATGGAACTCGGGGGGGGGGGAAAAAAACACACAGCCGCTCCACTGAATAGCAGGCTAGTGATCGCTTTGCAATGCTTGCAGTTAGCCACTGATTCCATCCAAAACACTCATTGTTGAATTTGTGATTTCCAACTTGTTGTGTAATGTTCATGTCCAATGGCCGATGAGCA